GTTAAAATAAATTTCCTCTTTTCACACGGGGGATCCCACTCTGGCGGCAAAGAGAGAAGATCTGCGCTAAATCTCTTGTTTTTCAGGCCCCACACCAAAGGCCGCGACCGTCAAGTGTTTTCGACATTTTCCTACAATCGCTGTGAACCCAGCCACGTAGGGCTAACACAGAGGCGAGTAAAAAGCAGAACACAGATCCGCAGCGCCGCACACCCCCGGCGAGAATGGATACAGGGAGGCATAGCGCATACCAAGCATGCAGCCGACGCAACGCAAGAACGAAGAAGACGAGTCAGACAAGGAAGACGAGAGAGCATGAGGCTGGAATCTAAGCCAAGAGGAGCGTACAGCACCACAGGGAGGGCGGGGGCGGGCAGGGGGCGGGTACGGAGGGGGGAGGGGGTAGAAAGTTCAATTCAGCCAGGCGGGAGCAGTACTCTCACTGCGCTCGTGGGCGCTCTATTGTCCGCCCTTCATGCGCGCCTCAAAGGCGGCAGTGATCTCGGCGTTGCGGGCAGACTGCGCGGCGCGCTTGGCCTCATTCTTCCGGCGGTTCTCCTGCGGGCGCGGGCAGGGGGGGGTGGGGGGGTGGGGGGGGTGGGGGGATGGGGGGTGGGGGGGTGGGGGGGAGGGGGGTGGGGGGGAGGGGGGTGCGAGAGGAGGAGGGAAAGGGGAAGGGGGGCGCCGGCGGGGCGCGCGCGAGGGGGGTTGGCAGGAGCGGTGGGGGCGGCGGCGCGGCGGCGCGCGCGAAGGGACGACCGCGCGGATAGTCGGGCGGGGAGAGAGAGAGAGGGGCAGAGGGGCGGGCAAGCGCGCCTCAATCATCTTCATGACGTCGTCAAAGCCTCCGTCCGCCGCAGGCGCCGCTGCGCTCGCCGCGGCCGCCGCATTGAGCTTTTCGCTGTCGCCAGCCTCGCGCTTCGCCTGCTCGTCCTTCTCCATCTGCGTCTCCAGCCACGCCTGCGGTCCGCAGCGCGTTCCGGTTTTGCGGCGCCCGCGCGCGGGGGAGAAGCAGGGGAAGGGGGAGGGCGAGGGAGGGCGCGGCGCGCCTGCTCCTCGTCCGTGGGCGGCTGCTCCGCTCTTTGCTGCGGCGGATGCTGCGGCACGGGCTGCTGGCCGGGAGGCAGGTACGGTGACGCGCCGCCGTTCATGGGTTGCTGGTAGCCGTTGCCGCCGTACATGCCGGGGACGAACTCTCCCGCGCCCGGATGCATGCCGCCATAGGGCGCGCCGCCGTAGGGCATGCCGTACCCTTGCTGTCCGGGCTGCCCGTACATACTGCGGCGGATCGGGGCCTTGCACACCGAGCCGAGTGAGGGAGCACACAACTCAAGCCCTTCGACGACAAGAAACGCGAGGTCCGCTCGCTCTGCAGGCACCGATGGTCCCCCCGGGGGGCTCACTTGAAAATCGGTGCGATTATTCTCTTCGCAAATGCTGAGGACGACGACCTGCTCGCACACACTGGGCACGGGACTGGCGCGCACTGGCCAGGCACTGGCACTTCCGCGCCGTTTGGACGTCCCGCCCGTGCGCGCCCCCCTCTTTTGCCGTGTTGGGTTGGGGCGCAAGAGGCAAGTTGGGCCTGCCACCCCCCTCGGCCGAGCTGCTCTTCTTTATCTTTCTTTCATGTTCTATCTAAAGGCTGTCAAAGGAAGCACTCCCTCTTGGGACTTGGCTCTTGCGTCCCCCCTTCGAACGTACTTACTCGATCGAGTAGCTAAATGATTCAAGATTCAGGTTTCAGACAGACCTCAGTTCAGAGAGACCCGGACTCCGCGGCCTCGCGGCCAGGTGTGGACTGCTGACAGGGTTTGCGATGAGGATCTTCGGACTATTTGGCTTACCTTTTACTTACGTACATTCCCGGACGGATGACAGGGTTTGTTAGCGATGAGGAGCGACCCGCGAAGGGACAAGGGTTTCTCGCATCTCGGAGGTTAGTGCACCTCACCAACCGATTTTGGGGTTGGTTTGGCGAGCCTCGTTATGAGCGCGTGGCTCGTCGGCGTCTAACACTCGGACCCAGCTTCAGACACTTCACTCCGCACCCGCACACCCACAACTTGTCATAGAACCGAAGCGTAACGGTGATCAGCAGCCCCCTGCGCCCGCGCCGGCCCCGCTGCCACATCCCAGCTCTGCGTGCCCCTCGGGCGGTCGCCGCCGGGGATGCGGCCGGTGCGCAAGGGCCACATCGGCAGGACCAACAAGTGGGGGCGGCTCGGCCGTGCTGAGGACGATCCCGCCTCGCGGGCGGCAGAGGACGACCGCTTTGCCCCGATCATCCCTCCGCGCGCAAGCCCGAGGCAGCGCGCGGAGGTCGCCAGGCGGCTTCGCCCGGCCACCGCGCCGCGATTGCACGCGCGGCAGCCCAACCCACTCGCCCAGGTGGACCCGGCGCCGCTGACGGCGCGGAGGCGGCAGCCGCGGCCGTGGGAGCCGCCCGCCGCACCAGCAAAGGCCGCGTTGCCAGAGGCGGCGCAGCGGGCGCTTATCAAGGCGTGCCCGCCGCTGGTGACCTGGTACGACCCCGACAAGGTCCTGTCGCAGGTCTTCCGCGCTTGGGACACGGACGGCTCGGGGACCCTCTCAAAGCGAGAGATTGATGTCGCTCTCGGGCAACTCGGGGTGGCAGACTCCGCCTCGATCGACGCGCTGTACAGGTCGGTTGACAAGGACAACTCGGGCGAGATCGACTACCGCGAGTTTGCCGCACACATCGCGCAGGGGATGACCAACCCGGAGGACATCAAGGGTGGAGGCATCGTGCCCGAGTTGCGGAGGGCGTTGGACTCGGTCGAGGCGCAAGGTGGTGTCGGGGCGGGGGACGCGCAGGCGGCCGAGCCACCGCTCACGCAGGCAGAGCAGGCCATCCACAATCGCGTTCAGCGCGCGGCGGCCGCCCGGCTGGAGCGAAATCGCGTCGAGGCCGAGCGAGGCTCGTGGAGGGACGCCAAGCCCGCAGAGGCGCAGGCCAAGCCGTCGCCCTCCCCGCGACCGAGCGCACGCAGCGCGCGGAGCGGGCCGGGCTACCGCATCGAGCCGGTCCCGGTGCCACCACCCGCCACCGCTGCCTCGCACCCGCCCCCGGCCGCCGGCGTCCCTCGCGGGCGCGGGCACAGGGAGGGCGCCCGTGAGGCGCTCTACCCGGCGCCTGGGACGCCGTCGCACGCGAGCGAGGCGGAGCGGCTTCAGCGCGTGTCGGCCTCTCGCGAGCACGCGCCCTGGCAGGCCGCCGACGCCGCGCGCACCAGGGCTCGGCGGGAGGCCAAGCTCGCAACGATGCGGGCGGCGGCGGAGGGAGTCTATCAGCGCAACGTCGTCACGCGTTGCGCCCTCGACGACCAGCGCCACGAGGCCAACATCGAGACGAAACTGCAGTCGTACGAGCGCTACGTTAAGGCCCTCGCCGTCGAGAACCGGCGCTTCCTCATCTTTTAGCTGGCGGGCCGCGGCGCTTCAGTTTTTTACGCAGACGAGAGGCCAGCGCAGCAGTACACAGCTCTCTCAACTGGCCAGTGTGCACATGGTCCCAGAGCACATGTTCGTGTCACGTGTGCCGACAAGCGACAACCGACATGAGACACACACGCACAGAGTGGTGGCGCATGAATGAGACAGGCGCTCTGTGTGGACTGTGCGGAACAGGATCAGGAGTCAAAAAACTATGCGTGTAAACCGTGTATGTTCTATGTTTCTATGTATCTGAGAGCTGAGTACCTTCTCTGGGGAAAGTTATTTAGGAGCACCCCCCTACCGCCGCCCAGTACGTGCTCCGCAGCTGAGCCCACGCACCCCACAGCAGCTCAGGGACACAATGAGCTCGCATACAAGTGCTGGTACGCACAGCTCGACGCGTACTCGAATGCTGCCACTGTCATTCTAGCCGGCGAGCGGCGGCGTCACAGCGTCGACTCTCGCATCGCGATGAGACGCACTGCTTGCCCAGACGCGCGCCTTGGCGCGCTCCTGTGGTGCAGGAGGAAGGCCAGCGGTCGTGCTGCGCAGGCCCGGCCGTCTGGCTGAAGGGAGCAGCAGCTGGCGCTCAACAGCAGCGCTGTCGAGCAGCGCAGCCACACCACACTCCCGCCAAGCCACGTGTCATTTCCCGCCAAGATTTGGCGCCAAAATGGCACTTTAGTGTCCACCTAGCCACGTGGTCGCGGCCTGAAGCTCCAAGCTTCTGGGACTGAGGTCCCACATCGCTGGACTCCATTTGGCTCAGTTGGAAGCACCGTCCAATCGTTCGCCGATGTCCGAAACCAGGGTGGTCCTAAATAACTTTCCCCAGAGAAGGTAAGTGAGTATCTCCGGACTCCGGTTCTCCGCCGTGTGAACGTTGGGAAGAGGCACGAGGAGGGCGGCGACCTCAACCGACTATATGGAGGACCAGTCGCCAGACGACGCAGGGCAGACGACGGGGAGAATTGGGGCAGACGCGCAGGGCGAGATACGAGGGAAGGAGCAGGACTTCGCGGAGATACCACGAGTAGCAGGAGGATGTACGACGAGATTAGGAGCAGCAGGGACCCGAGGGACCATGTGGAAGACGGCTAGGGCTAGTCCCCCATCGGGAGGATGACCCCGGCTAGTCGCCGACCACACCCACAAAGAACCCTGCACAAAGAGATCGCACGGGCGGGGACCTGTTCCTTTTTACCCCCAAGCCCCAAGCCCATCTCACAGCGAGAGAGGTGTCCGTTAGCGTACCTCCGTTTTTCGTATGCCGTTTTTATTTATTTATTATCTCCGCCGTGTGCGCGAGTGCGAGCGCGTGCCCGTGCGGAGTGTGAAGAGATGGGTGGGTGCCCCGCCCCAGCGCCCCACAAGAGCGTAGTATACACATGCAACACGATGCAACATGGACACGGCCCACGCGCGTCGCGCGCTGGTCGCGCGTGCTCTCTGCGTTGTTATAAGACACGACCCACTTAGACGTCACCGAGACCCAACCCCCTGCGCCGACCCGACACGCCTTGTTCTCATCGCAGCGGGGCCCTCCGACGGGGCGGCCCGCTTTCTGTCCCGCACGAGCTCCTCCCGCGCGAGAGGCCTCCTGTCGAACGGGCAGCAGCCCCTCGCGTCCACCTGGGGGGCAGGCCGATGAGCGGGTTTGCTCGCTGCAGCGGCACACCGAGGCGAGGCGCGGGGCCGGGAGCGGGCAGCGCGCCTCTCGAGAGATGCAGCCGTAGCAAAACTCGTGTCCGCAGGGGGTCCGCGTGCGCTGCCGCATCGGAGAAGCGCAGATGCTGCAGAGCGTGGCGGCCAACCCCCTCCCGCCCTCCTCGCCGCCCTCCTCGCCGCCCTCCTCGCCCTCCTCCACGCCGTTGTAAGGCAACTCACTCCACAGCAGCCGTCGGCCACGCCTCTCCCTCGGCGCCGCAGCCACACCCTCGCCGTGGAGGAGCCAGTAGTGCCCGTTGTTGCCGCCGCCCTCGCCGCCATCGTCGCACGCAAAGCAGGCCGCGATGACGTGGTAGCCGACTGTGCCTAGCAGGGCCGGAACAGCAGGCGTGAGCGGCTCTGGCGCACACTCGCCTGCGCGGAAGGATCCTGCGCGGCCTCGGCAGCTGGAGCAGCTCACGTCCCGTATGCGACAGTGGCACAGCGGCGCCGACTTTGCGCACGCCTCCTCGACGAGCGCCTCAGTCGGAATGTCTGTCGAGAAGAGGCGTGTCGTGCTGTCGGCGCAGAGCCACACGCGCATGCCGCGGCGCGTCAGCTCCGTCTCGCAGTGCGAGCACCGAAGCACGTACACGAGCGGGTCCGCCAAGTCTCCGCAGCCCATTTCTTCGCAGCTCCGGTCTGCCGCCGAGGGCTCCTGTCCCGCCGCCGTCGGGCGCTCCTCTCCAACGGCGTCAGAGTCTTGCTCTGCCATGAATGTCGGCGGCTGGTGGGGAGGGGAGGAGCTGGGAGGTGATGGCTGCCTGGCGGGGTTCCAGCTTTTCATGGTATGGTAATCTTGCGAGAGGGGGGAAAAGACTACATACCATACCCCCAAGCAGGTCTGTCAGCAGGCGGGGGGGTATGGTCTCGAGGTGGGTTGCGCGCGCGGGAGGGGGGGGGGGGTACTCCTGGGACAACAAGTGCAGGGACACCCTGAATAAACTTGGCCGCTTTGTGTATCTCGAGACCTCGAGAGAAGGCCGCCCGCAGGCCCAAGTCAAGAATTGGCTTTCTTTTGGCGGGCAATGAATAAACAGAATGTAGCATTCAAGTGAGCGAAAATTAATATTTCAACTTGTCCTGGTACTTGATCCGGGGACGGCTGGTGCAACTTCGGAGCTCGTTCGTTGCTGGCCGGCCGGGGCGCGCGCGTCACCTTGCCTCCACCAGAACAACAATAAATCTCTCTCTCCCCCACCAGACATCACAGTTCGGATCATGCCCGTCCCGCCGATGTGCGAAACGGGCGCGGTCGAGAGTGCGGTCGAGAGTGTCCTGCTCTCGGCTGACCTGCTGCCAAGCGTACTCGCCCAACTCCCGCTTGCAGACTACTTCCACGCCGCGTCCACATGCCGGGATTGGCAGAAAGCTCAAGCGGAGGACTGGCTAGAAGAGCCAAACCCAGTGGCATTGTGCAGTGCTGAGCCCCTCGAGGCTCTGAGGTTGCTCGCGCAGTGCCAGGCGCGCGGAGTTTGCTCGGCGCGAGTGACAGAGGCGTGCTTGCGACGGCTGCGCAGCGCGCTGGCACGGATAAAGCGTGGCACACCCGACGCGGAGCGTGAGACGGCGCTTCTGGAACAGCGCGAGACGACTCGGGCGCAGCTGATGGCTGCGGCCGTGGTGCCAGCGCTGGTCGCCGCGCTGACCGAGCACGCTGGCCGTACCGCCGTGCAGTTGGTGGGCTGCGACGTGCTGCAGAGGCTCAGTTTGCAGCTCATCCAGCAGGGCGCCCTTGTAGACGATGCTGTGATGCGCAGCACGGTCAACGCCGGTATCGTGCCGCTGATCCTTGCCAACCTACGCCACGGTGGTGCGTGTGCCGACGACTCCAAGCTGGTGCTACTCAGGGCGTCGCTCGGTGCAGCCCGCCACCTTGGCCGCGCCTCGCTTCTCCGCGAGGCCGTGGGCGCGCCACCGCTGCCCTCGGTCGTCGATGCGCTGCTCGCCGCCATCGACCACCTCATGGACGTGTGCGCGCGTGGCAAGGCGTCAGTGATCTACTCGCCAAAATCGTCCCGCCGTCACCGCCGCGCCGCAGCCGCCACCGCCGCCACCGCCACCGTCGACGCCGTCACTGATACGGCGGGTATACTGGGTGGTCTAATCGAGGGGAGGAGTGAGGAGCGCCCGTGGCATGGTGGCTCGGCGCCCCTTCCGCGCGACCGCGCAACGCACGCCCTCTGGATCGACCGAGTGGTGCGTCTCCTCGACGCTTCCGCGCGCTTCTCCGACGGCGCCATCTGCATCGGGAGCAATGGCGCGATGCGGGCGGCGGTCGCTGCGTCGCGTGCGGCGCGGCTGCTGATATGGCTCGCGAGCAGCCGCCAGCCCGCCACGGCCACCGTGTCCACGCCAGATGACGAACGCGGCACTGGCCTGCTCATAGCCGAAGACCACCCAAATTGGCTGGCGGTGGTGCTGCGCCGCGGCGGCCTCGAGGCGGTGGCGCGCAATCTCCTAGCGGCGGAGGCGCGCGCATCGCGCATGCGGCAAGGGCGGGAAAAGAAACAGTGGGCGGGCATGCGCTCGCATCAGTGCGCGCCGCTGCGCAACGCCCTGACGTTGCTCGTGCGCCGTGAGGAGGAGATGGGGCTCAGCGTGGGTGGCACCAAGGGCATCACGTGTGTTGTCGCACGCGCTTGCGCGGCCTCAAAGCGTGCGCGTGAGTTCAGCCGCGGCTGCTGGTGGCACGTCGCCGATGAGGTGCGGGTTAATGCGGCATTCGACATCGGAGAGCTCTGTCGCAACGGCCGTCTAAGTAGTCCGGTGTCTCAGACGTGAGATCGTGAAACGAAGGGGTGCAGAAGGGGTGAGATTGATGGGGCGTGCGACGCACATACACAGTCGCGTCCGGAAGCAAGGAGACCGGAGAGAGAGGGGTTGTCGTTTCCGATTCTGATTTCTGTGTCCTCCGGTGCGCTCTGGCAGTTTCCGGATTCCGATCTGGGTCTGAGTTGCCCTTTGACGAAGTGTATATGCCTCCCTCTCTACTGAGCCCTGACTGTCAGGCTGTCAGGTGATGTGTATCGGGGTGCGGTGTTTACTGTCGGCTGTCAGACCGGGGTTCAGCCTCTCTATCTCTCCTTGCTTTTACTAAATCTTTTACCTTCATATTTTTCTCTTGTACACATAGACAGAGCCACGCAGTGAGCCGACGGCTCCAGAGGTATTCACCGTCGCACAACATCAACAAGTGGCTCTCCCCTACTCGCGCGGAAGCAGGGCGGCGGCTCAAAGTCCGACGCGTTGACCGCCGCCGAGAAGCGCGAGAGGCGGACGTGCGTGCGCACCCAGCCCGCCTCCTCGACCAAGCTGCTTTGTGGCAGCCGCGCGCCGAACGCCGTGGCGCCCCACCCAGCCTGCACACTCAGCGCGTGGCGGCGCGTCGTCGCGACCCCGCTGTGCACCACCGATGCGCCCTCGAAGAAGGCGCCGGTCCAGCGCACGCCGCGCCAGAGCGAGCCATCGAGCGTATATAGGCCGGCCGTGTCGCGCAGCCCAAAGGGCAGCGTGCATACCTCGCACACGCGCGGCGAGACGTCCGCCGGGATGGCTCTGACGGCGCAGTTGCTGCCCTGCAGGTCGAAGCTGTACACGCGCCCCTCGTCGCAGCGCATAAGCTGCGTGTGGAAGTTTCCAAACGTGGTGCGGCTCATCTGCCTCCGCGGCCCCGCGGAGCAGTCTGCAGCAAAGTCGAGCAGCACGTTCCCTCCGTCGTACCCCGGGTGAGAGATGTTGACCACGAGGTGGGCGGCGAAGGCGGCGGGGAAGGAGGGAGGGGCGCCGACGCGGGCCGGGCGGAGCAAGTCTGGCGTAGGCGCTGGCGGCGTTGGTGAGTCGAGCGGCGCGTTCGCTGTGAGCGGCTCATGCGGCGGAGGGCAGCTGGAGGGGACGGCAAATGCGTCCGCTGGCGTCGAGGTGCTAAAGCCCGCAAACGACGTCGAGGTCGACACCCAGAGTGGGCTGTCGACGCGGAGCGAGTGCGGCGCTCCGCTCAAGCTCACAGAGTACTCGATGCCGAGCGAGTCACCAACGAGCACACCCCTCCAAACTCGGACGGGCTCGCCGCTGATTGGGCTGCTGCCGCTCACGTTGCCCGCCTCCCACGTCACGTCCTGAATCTCACCGCCCTCCGCAGTCGTCCACCGCCCGCCGGTGTCACGGATGCAGAATGGGCATGCGCATGCGTTGCGGCAGAGTCTCTCGCGCTCACGCGCCTGCATGCTCCACGCCTCGCATTTGCCACCCCTGCTTCCTGGCGAGAGGATGAACTGCGTCGCCTCGGCACACAGCGTGAGCACTGTGTAGCCGTCGGGGTAGACCGTCTTGCTGCTTTGCGAGGCGGGGCTGTGGCAATCTCCGTGGAAGTCTGTGGCCACGAGACCGGCGTCGAAGCCCGGAGTCGATAGGTTCGTCTGCGGTTTTGCTGACCACCGCCGTGGGAAGGGTGGTGGGTCGGGGACGCGAGGAGATATTGCTTGCATGCCGGCGAGGTCCGCCGAACCAGATCGCGGGGCGAGGGTGGCAAATCGGTGCCATTTCTCACAGGGTTCCAAGTTTTTCCGGGGTATGGTATGGTATTCGGCCAGCCCACCTCGAGACCATACCCCCCCGCCTCTTGGAAGACCTGCTTGGGGTATGGTAGGGCTAGCCTTGAGCGGTCAGAACCATACCCCCCCCCCCCCCCCGCCTTTGGGCCGCCGAGCCTACCATACCACGCCCCGGAAAAAGTTGGAACCCAGCCTTGTCATTGAGAAGAAAATACATCGCGTCAAGTGCTCCAAGTGCTCCAAGATGTCGCTGTGCGCTGGTCTATGAGAGGTTGAGGTGCGAGCCCTGGAGGCCCTGGGGATGGGGGGAGACTACCCGCGGGCCTAGAAGGCCCGCGCGTGCCTCGAGAATACAAAGGCGGCCAAATCAAATGCGCCTCGACATAGCGCGGCCGTTCTTTGTTGTCATTGGGATTGGTGTGACGCGATCCAAGAACTGAATCCAAGATCTGCGGGGTGTTCGTAGATCAATAACAGCCACACCCACTCTCCTTCTCCCAAAGAAAAAGAAAGAAGAACAGCCCAAGGGAGGGCCACCACCACACAGGGATTTTAAGGAGAGGAGTGTGGTGCTAGCCGTCGCCCAGCCTTGGGCGTGTCCCTCTTCCTTCTCCCATCTTCTCTTGATCACATCAAGCTGTGAACTAAGGTCTACGCCCTTTTGTGAACGGCGTTGCAGACATCGGGCGTTCCCCTCTCACGACCGCAACGGTCAAAAAGTGCTCCGCAACTCGGATGCTCACAGCAGTGGACGATCTCGCTGGCTTCGCGATATACTGCTGCTTCTTCCTCTACTGCATACCGTGGCTGCTGCAGCGGCGTCTGCCGGGAGCGCTGACGCTCTACATGTCAAACGTCGACATCATAGCCAACGTGCTTTGCTCCTCGGAGAGCACGCGCGCTGGCCTCTTTGGCAGGCTTTACCTGTCTAGTCCCGACGATCTCTTCACGTCTTTCTCCTTCTCCTTCATCTCGTGGATATCCCTCGTCGGTTCTCGCCCTTCGCCAGACACACGGCGTTTTGTGTCGGCCGCCTCCATCGCTCTCGCCGCTTCCGTAGGCATCTCGCACGGAGTCTCGACCGTCGCCTCGAGACGAGACCCGCACACCGCGCTCAAGGTGGCGGCCTTCATGATGGCTGTCACCTTCATGCTGCCCAGTGCGTGCGCCGTCCCTGTGGCTGGACACCCATCACGCCCACCGCGCCTCCCCGCCCAGACCGCCTGCCTCTGCAGAGCCGCCCCGCTGCTCGTCCACCCCACAGGCGTGCTGCTTCCGAACCTGCTCAAGGACGGGGGCCTGGCGGAGCCGCTCCTGCCACCAGGCGACGAGGCGCGCCGCCTCGCCGCCAAGATCGCGGTCGGCGCGGCGACAGGTGCGCACGGCCACGCGCGCGCTCGCTTGGCCAACTGAGAGAGACAGAGCGCGCGCGGAGGTTGCCACAGAAGTGCGCCGCTCAGAACCACTCGAGTATTGGCCGGCGGTACGCTGTCAGGCCCTCCGCACACACCCGCGCGCGCAGGCGCAGCCCTCGTCGGCTTCGAGTCGCTCGTGCTCTTCCACCCGCACGGCTTTGGGCTGCGGCCGCACCCGTGCTCTGGCGGCGTCGGGGAGGGCGCTTCGCGGCAACTGGGCGAGGAGTTTCTCCCGTTTGCGAGCCCCGAAAAGTCGGCGCTCATGGAATCTGCTTCGGACGGTGAGCGTTAATTCTGTATGTACTCCTCGAGAGATCTCTCCAAATCTGCCCTCTGATCAACCGTGATCATTCGGGAAGTCGGTAGTATGAGCGAGTATGCGATGAGCGCCGGGGCCCCTTCCGCACTGCGGCGCGGCGCACGGTGTGGGCCGGGGGGAGCCCCGCCCCCCGCGACCCCCAGAGGGACGCACCCTTTGCCGCGTCGCTTCTTGAAGCGGCACCTTGTGCTCCAGCCAGGCAGGCAGCCTCCTGCCTCCCTCCCTCCCCCGCCCGCGTCTGCGCGCGCGGCCAGCGCCAGGCAGGCAGGCGCAACAACGGCTGGTTCGGGAGAAGAACACGCGCTACCGACCTAAAGGTACCTATCCAGTGACGCAGTGGAGGTCTGTGTGGCACCTCAATCCCCGCCCTACTAGCGAGCTATCCAGGTCACACCGCCATCGCCGTCGGGGAGAGGGGGGACGGCACTGACGGCTCTGGCAGCGTGCACCTCGATCCTGTACCGTGTTTGTTATGACCCCCCCCCCATGAACACACCAGTGAGGGAGGGCGAGACGATCGAGGGGTCCCGTACCAACCATGCGGAATCGACCCTATCCAGTGCTCAAGTGCTCAAGCTATCCAAGCGAGCTATCCAAGAACACAGACGATCCCGCATTTCGCTGCCCGGGCTTCGCGGTTTGCCGGCGCAGCTGTGAGCGCTGTCAGAGCGGTGTTTCGACACCGATATCGTTCAAGGAGAACTTCACAGGTAAGTGTAAGCGGAGCAGCTGAGTAGATACAGCGAATCCTTTGTGTTCACACCTGCAAAAACAGGTGTGAACAGATTTCGGCCTTAGCCGTCGGTATGCCAATAGCGTGCTAGCCAAGTAGTACGCAGTTGGATTCCGAGGGTGTCCCATCACAAGTTCGGCTGCCGACAGACAAGATTGTCCCTTAGTCGACAGCACCCGCCTTTGGACGGTGCTCTGACTGGCTTTGAGAATATATTTTTTCTTTTGGTTCACATGGTTAGAGGTTGGCCTCCCACCGTTGTGTCTGTGCGATGTGAGCTTCTTGTTTTTTATCAACCTATCTGTGAAAGCTAAGCCCGCGGGTAGTCCCCCCCCATCCCCAGGGCCTCCAGGGCTCGCACCTCAACCTCTCACAGGCCAGCGCACAGCGCCATAGGAGGTATTTTCTTCTCAATAACAAGGCTGTGAACATAGTCTGCCCCGAAAAGAGCCCGCTCATCGCTTGTCCGGGCAAACGCGCGCCCGGCCTGAAGTCTCGCCGTGCATGCTGCCTTTGAAAATATGCGGCCTCCCGCTCGTGCCACAGCCCCGCGCCTGCTCTCCTCTGTGGCGGTGCCCGCTCCCGGCGAGTTCGCCTTCCTGGCGTGGCTCGAGGGAGAGCTCGCCGAGGCTCCCGGCTCCGACGTGTACTCCGACGTGTATGCAGACGCAGTCGCTAGCGTCGGCCGGTGGCGCCGCCGCTACCGCGGCAACCAGGCTCTCTGGCGGCGGCTGCTGCGGCCCGAGCGTCTCGTCAAAGAGATAGTCGAGACGGCGCCCGTGATTGCGGCGGTGCGTGACTATGTCGCCGCAGAGCCGCGGCGTGTGACGATTGTGGACCTCTGCTGCGGCAAGGGATACCTGTCGATGCTGCTCGCCGAGATGCTGCCCACCGACCGCGTGCGTGGCTGCGTGCTCGTGGACAACGCGTGGCCAAGGCACGACGTGGCCGTGCAGGACAAGCACATCAACCCGGAGCACCTCTGGGGCCGCTACGCTGACGCGTGGCCGGTGCCTCTGTGCACCAGCAAGATCGACCTCAAGAAGCGCTGCAGTCTCAAGGCGCTGGGCGAGCGCTGGCTGTCCGCCGAGGAGGGGGAGGAGGACGGCGGCGTGCTGCTGCTCGGCGTCCACCTGTGCGGCACCCTCTCACTGCGCGCTGTCGAGCTCTTCAATTCGCACCCTCGCTGCACCTTCCTCGCCCTCAAGCCCTGCTGCCTGCCGCCGCCCGTCCACGCGCGCCGCGGCGACTTCTTTGAGATTGGCCGCCACCGCTTCGCCGCCGCCGACGTTGCCGCGGCGGGAGGCTTTCAGGCGGGCGGCGTGTGGCGCGGGCCGCCTCGCTCGCACCTCGCGGCGCGGTTCGAGCGGTGGACGGGGCACCTGCTCCAGGGCATCGAGTCCGGGCAGGGCGGGGCCAGTGCGGTCGAGGAGAGGCGAGTCCAGGTGCGGGGCGGCTTCCAGAATGCCTTCATCTTTGCGGAGCGCGGCGCGCGCACGCCGCGGCTGTGGGACGGGCTTGCGGCGCGGCGCGCTGGCGGGGTCACGCGGTTGCGCGGTGGCGCGCTCGCCCCCTCCCGCCCGACCGCCCGCCGCGCCGCGCCGCCGGCTCCGTGGCAGTACTCTGCTCGCGAGGCGCGCGCCGAGGCGACGATCGACGGAGTGCCAGCCGGGCAGCTGCTGTGCTGGCAGCACGTCAAGGGGGTGGCTTGCGCCTGCGGTGGCAGCCGCGCTCACCTCTTCCAAGGCCACTGCGGGACGGCCATCGCGGCGGCGCTCGGCCTCGGACGCGGCTGCCGCACCGGCCGCTGCCGCAAGCCGCACCCGGCCGACGCGCTTGGCGACCTCATCGCGCATGCAGAGTCGGCCAGCGGGAGGAGAGCGCTCCTCGGCACGGTCGCGGCGCCGTCGCTGCGCGCCGATATTGACAAAGGCTCCCGCTCTGTGCAGACGTCGCGCTCTGTGCAAGCTTGCCGGCACAACGCAGCGCGGCGCTGCAGCTTGCCACCCGAGGCTGCACTCGACGCGCTGCGGCGGAGGCAGGGGGAGAGCTCTCACCTCGCGGCGCTGCTTGCGGCGCCGTGGCTCGAGGAGGCGATCGCCGACGACCGCGTGCGCCGCTTGTTTGCGCGCGACTCCAGGTCGGTCCGCAAGGACTGCAGCGAGGCGTGGGCTGCCGCCGAGCGGGTGCGCACTCTGCTCCGCTCGCTGGGCATGCCCGCCGACGGCGAGGGGGCGGCGTTGCTCGACGTGTGCTCGGGCAAGGGCATGACGGCGCTCGTCCTCTCGTTCGAGTTTCCGCGCGCGCGAGTGCACATGCTCGACGCCAACGGAGAGATGGAGCTCTCGCACGTCAGGGTGCGCATTGCTGACAGTACCGCCCGCCGGGAGACGCTGTCCACTCGCTCACCCGCCGCTCGCTCGCCGCCGTGCAGGCGCGCCCGAACCTCGACTTTGTGCAGTGCGACCTCTTCTCGCGCGACGCCGCCGCAGCGCTCGCCGCGTGCCGTGCCGACGCCGCTGCCTGCGTCGCGGTTGGCATGCATTTGTGCGGCGCGCTGTCGCCGCGTTTGCTCACGCTCGCCGCGCGCTCCCCCGCCGTCGACGCCGTCGTGGTCTGCCCCTGCTGCTTGAAGGGGTCGCTCAAGGAGCGCGTGCGCGCGGAGGCGCGCCGCGACGGCCGCGAGCACTACGCGGTGCTCGTGGACACCCTGGCGTCGCTCGCGCGCGACGAGTGCGGCGACAGGGGTGGGAGGGTGAGCGTCGAGTGGGACGGCGAGATGCTGTCGCCCAGGAACGCGCTCGTGTCGCTCTGTGCGTGATAGAAAAAAGTCAGCGCGATTTCTTTTCGCGTCAAAATTCTTTTTCCTAGACGCCACCACAGCGAGCGAGTTCTTTACCAGGTTGCAACCCTTGTTCCGCACTGTGCTGTGAACAGAGCACCAACCAACAGCTCTCAGGACCCCCCGGTGTGCTGGGGGGTGCTGCCAGCAACCAACCAAGTCGAGCGGAGCAGCGTCGTTCCGATGTTTCGGCGGGCACTTCTCACCTAAGTCCTTGTGGCGGGCCGCCAGGCCCGGAAGCAGATGCCGACGAGGATCAGACACGGCGCGCTATCTGGGCTCGGAGGTCGGCAAAAAGGTTGCGCAACCGACACCAGCGACCAGGATCGTCGATCGAGGTAGGTGCACGCTGCTGAAGCAGTGCACCTACATAGTGCGGGACCTGGGGCAGCAACCAACAACCTGGATGGGGACGGGGTGCTGCTCAACCGGCGGCAAACAGCAGCGTTCACAGCCGAGTGCGGAACAAGGGCAACTTGGTAAAGAACTCGCGCGCCGGCGATGCTTCTCGCGCGAACTGCGGCAGCGCCGTGCGCCCAAAGGCTGCCCAGTGCCTTCGCCAGTGCCTCCACATCCACTCGCGCCGCCCGCCACGCCTCCTCATCCTCTGGCACCACCCTCGACGACGGCGCCGACCCGTTCGCGGTGCTCGGCCTGAGCCGCTGCGCCACAGTTGATGAAGCACGGGCGGCGTTCCACGCGGCGGCGATGCGTCACCATCCGGACCGCCAGCCGCACGCCGATCGCGAGGCGGCCGCCGTGTCTTTCCGCCGTGCAACAGAGGCGTACCGCAGCCTCGCCGGGCTGCTGGGGCGCGGAGGGAGCGTGGCGGAGGCGTGGGCCGCGGAGGAGCGGCGGATGTACGACGCTCTACGCGCGCATGGGGTTGGCGGCGGCGGAGGCGAGAGCTCCGCACGCGTAACCCGCCGGGTGGTGCGGCGAGGCGATGGGACGCTGACATTGCGTGTGACGACCACGACGGTGGACCGAAAGGGACGAGCGTCGAGCACAGTGGAGGAGCATCCCCTAGGCGGGCAGGCGGTCTGGGGTGACGAAGCGGGGAGTTAACGTAAGCCGGGCGGTGTGACACTTTGACAGAGTGGTTTTGTAATGTTTTGAGTGGGGGTGCCGCGGGCTGGGCCGGTCGCGGTCCACTGCGGTCACCACCTGCGATCCTCTGTGCGTGGTGGCTGGTGGCGCGTGGGTGCGTGCTGCGCGTGCTGCGACATATGTGCAGTGCATTGACAGTGCTAAACGCACAGCTCAACGTCCAGCCCTCTGCCGAGTGCTGTAGTTGCCGTCGTCCGTTTGCCCATGGGCCGCGACAGCCTGACGACCCCGAGGCTCGCGCCGAGGCTGCTCGGCCTCGCGCTCGCCGCGCTCGGCCTCGGCCAGCACTGTCCACGGGCCAACCGCCATATTGCCGCAGGCCGCAAATGCCCGTCCGCACGAGCTGACCGCTGGCGTACGGCCGCGCGCCACCGCGTCCAGCAGCGCGCCCCGCCTGCCGCAGCCGGTCCCAAACAGCGCCGCCTGCTCGGCCGTCTTGTACGGCGGATGCAGAACCCAGCCGAGGGCGGCGTCGGCGATGCCGTGGTGGAAGCCGCGGGCGCGGCTCTGCGCGTTGACCCAGTCTTCGAACACGGCGGGCGGCGGGTAGGTTGGCGAGGACGAGCGCAGGAACGCGCGCATCCGCTCCGCGTGGTACAGAAAGATGCGCTCGCTGTGCTGGTCTCGGTGCACCAGGGATGAGGGGCGGCTTGCGTTGCCTGGCTTTGGCGAGACGTCCGGCATGCACCCGCAGCGTGCGGCGTGGCCTGCGCAGCGGCACGCCGCCACGCTGAAGCCCGCAAACGGCCACGGCGAGACGGTGAGCGCCTCGGCGTGCGCCCGGAGGTGCGCCATGCCCGCCTCGACCCAGCCGCGGCCCGGCGCCGCATGGGCAAAGAGGTCGTCGTCGGCGAAGACGCAGAACTCCTCCTCGCAGGCGGCGTAGAAGTGTAGCAGGGCGGCCGCCTTGCCTCCGATGCCCGACCCCGCCGAATGCCCCGGCGGTCGGTGCGAGACGGCCGACCAGTTTGTGGCCGACATGCCCATTGCGGCCACCATGGGGAGGAGGCGCCACGCCCAGTGGCTCTCCTGCCGGGAGGAGTGTAGCCGCTGCAGCTCGACGCGCTCCTCCCGGTCCCAGAGGCGGACGCGCGTGGTGGCGTTTGCGCGTCGGCCGCCGCACGCGGACGCCAGCTTGCCCGGCGCGCTTGGCTGCCGGATGTCGACCAGCAGGTGCCTCCTGGCTAGGCGCGGGCCGAGGGAGGAGATGAGCTGCACCCACAGCTTGTCCTGGTACGGCACGTGCAGGTTCTGCGTGGTGGTGAGCGCCTGCAACGCAAACCGTGGCATATCCCGCGGCTGGCAGGAGCAGGAATTGCACGATCAGACGGACGCACGATCAGAAGGAGCGCGAACTGAACTTGCAGCTTGAACGCAGCGTGAAGATCGGGGGACAAACAGGCTGCATAATAGGATCGCTCGCCGTTTTCTTTCCCCCGTCATGATGCAGGGTTTTGTTTGTTTTGATTGGGAGTCGAATTCGACGGTTTGATATTTATTCATATTTATTCGTGCTATGCGTCCTACATGTACATTGAGAGAGATTTTTGAAAACCAACAAGAAATCACGACTCACACAGTGATTTGGGCTCGGCAGCTTGTTAGCCCTCAGCCGAAGCTGGGGCCGGTCCCGTAGCCGAGAGAGCCCGCGCCGATGAGTTCGACGCGGTCGGGGGGCCCTGCGGAGAGGCCAGCGAGATGGCGATCGCTATACTTCATGGTGCCCTCGGTGGGGCGGCTGACAAGCCAGAGGTCGATACTCTGGACGACCCATAGGATGCCACGAATAAATGCCTGAAGGAGAGGGAGGCGAGGCCCGAGGCAGGCGCTCAGGTGCTCTCGGCACTCGGGTGATCTCACTTTGGTGGCTGAAGGACCCGATGGTCCTGTCACATCCGTGTTCCGAGCCGTCTCTCTATATTGACCACCGCCACGTCGCGACCGTCACCATCCGTTTTAGAAGCCGTCCGTCGGGTCGTCTGCGCCTGGTCTCTTGACGGAGATTTTTAGCAATACCTTAAAGAGAGGTTACAGGCGCGGGGTAAGATCCGTTCGTTCAATACCAAACAACTCTAACACTCACTGCGTTTTGTCTCTTTCTTGTGGAATCGCGTGCGGCCCGAGTCAGGCCCGGCAGCACTTGGAGCACTTGGAAAGAAAGAAAGAAAGAAAACGGACAACCCAAGGCGCAAGGGAGGGATGGGAGGACGGCACGCCGCCACCACACAGGGATTTTAAGGAGAGGGGTGTGGTGCGCTTCCCGGAAGTTGGCTCCTCCCACCGTCAGGATGAAGTCGCCCGGCAAGAGGCCCGCTTGCCACGCGCGGCTGTTGGGCGCAACGAACGTCACCAGCCCGCCCGCGTGGCTGAAGTCCTCGGTGAGGCCCGCGGGGTTGTACTCGAAGTGAAGCACGAAGCCGCCCGAGGCTGCTGCCGCCATTGCCTCCCATAGCTCAGGCTCCGTCCCTATGTTCGGCCGTTGCCGGCTGAGCCAGGGCCCCGCCCAGTCCCCGACGTAGTCGACCACCGCCGGCGGCAGCATCGTGCCGCCCGCGACGTGGGCGATGGCTAGTGCCCGCCGCGTGCCGATCGTCTGGGGAGTTGGCAGACGGTTGGTCACCTTGAGCACGATCGTGGGCGCGGCTCCTCCGTCTCCGGGGAGCCGGATGACTTGCTTCTCTCCTCGGTCGACTGTGGGCGGCTGAATTAGCTCCCGCTCGAGGCACGTGATGGCGCCGCGGACCTGCAGCGCGGGGCCGTCGTTCATCGAGCAGACCGTGAAGCCGGGTTGCTCCTGGTCGATGATTAGCAGCGGGCCCGACATGCGCCGCGGTAGGTTCACGCTGATGAGCTTCGTCTCGCCCGGCCCCAGGATGACCTCACAACTCGCGCACAACGCGAATACGCCGAACCGCCTCGCGTTGGCCCGTTGCGCCACGCGCTCCATGATCTCCGCGCGGATGGCGCCACGGAGCCGCATCAGGGGGGCGAGGGCGCGTTCGCTCCCGCAGAGGTCCTCCTCATATTTCGGGATCGGCTCGGTGAGGTCGAGGCCGGCGCAGAACTCGTACCAGACGAGCATCAGGGCGAGGTGCTCGCCGTACTCCGGCCTGCGCACCCTCCCGCGCGTCGTGGTACCGCTGCCTGTCGTGGCCTCGTGGCTCGTGGCGGTGATCGGGACCCACGCCGAGGGCCTCCTTGGCACCGAGTGCCACGTGCATGCCCACAGGAGCGTGCGCTCCTGCAGTGCGGGTTCCGGCTTGGCCCGCGACGCTCGCGTTGTCGTCACGATCCGGTGCCTCGGGGGCCCGTGCCCTCAGCGGGTCGTCCGACCCCATGGTTGTATGGTTTGCCTCGGCGTCTCCCGCCGGTGCGTTCTCTGGGGCTCCCCGCGAAGGGGGGCCTACGGCCGCCCTCGCAGCCCATGCCCACGAGCCAAACCCGTGGTCGGTCTCGAAGTGTAACCCCCAGGGGTCCGCCTCGTCGAGTCCGCCCGAGCCGTCGGGCCGGTGGGACGCAAGGTTCGCCTCGACGTTTCCCGTCGACGCGCACCTCAGGGCTCCCGTCGATCGGAAACCCACGGTCGATGCCGCAGCCCATGCCGCTACATCTGACGCTTGGAGTTGACTATGCCCGTGCGTCCCCCGGGGGTGCGGCTCGAGCCAGTCCGGGTCGTCGGACCCGGAGATTGTGTCGCTGATCACACCGTCCTCCGATGGCGGTGCGCTTCTCCAGGACTCCTCTCGCAAGGGGCCAACAGGAGGAGGCGCGTCCACTGGAAGGGACGCTGCTCTCTCCACTGGAGGGTAGGTTTCCACCCGCGGGCTCGCTCCGTGCGAACTCGCTGTAGGGGTAGTTTCATTCATAGCTATGGACCCGCGCGCGCCGCGCAGGCCGATTGCGGGGCTCTCCCACAACCACGCTGACCAGATCCCCGGACCAGCGACAGAGGCGAAACGACACTCGGCCCGCCGACACAATTCGACCACTGGACACTATAACTAAATGCGGCGCAAGCCAATCTCAAGTTCCCTTCTCAATTCTTCGCGGGTTTTGGTGCAGTCACCTTCCCCCGCGACAAGAAAGCAAACAGACAACCCAAGGGAGGGATGGGACAACCCATGGGAAAAAAGAAAGAAAGAAAGAAAACAGACACGCCAAACGAGGGATGGGACGAGGACATGGGAGGGATGGGTGGCACATCCGCGTTTTTCTTGTGTCAGCCTCTTTAAATCGCTCTTCGGGCTCGCTCCTTCGCTCCTTCGCTCCTCGCTGCGCCCTCTCGCTGCGCTCGGCTCTCGCTCTCGCTCGCTCGCTCTCTGGCACAATGCCTCTCGCTCAGGTAAAGCCCGCCGCCGCGCAGCGCGGCACGGTGGAGCAGACGTACCAGAAGCTGACGCAGCGCGAGCACATCCTGCAGCGCCCTGACACCTACGTCGGCTCGGTCGAGGCCGTCACCCAGGATGGGTGGGTCTTCGACGCCGCCGCCGGCCGGATGGCGCAGCGCAAGCTGACGTACGTGCCCGGCCTGTACAAGATCTTCGACGAGATCCTTGTCAACGCGGCGGACAACAAGCAGCGCGACACGTCCATGTCCGAGATCCGCGTCGAGATCGACGCCGCCGCCGGCCGCATCTCCGTGCAGAACAACGGCAAGGGCGTCCCGGTTGTCATGCACCAGGAGCACGGCATCTACGTGCCGGAGCTCATCTTCGGGCACCTGCTCACCTCGTCCAACTACAACGACAACCAGAAGAAGGTGACCGGCGGCCGCAACGGCTACGGCGCCAAGCTCGCCAACATCTTCTCCTCGGAGTTTGTCGTCGAGACCTCCGACTCGGCCGAGGCTCGCGCCGCCTCAATGCCCGCCGCGCGTGGCCGCCCCGCCGCGCCACGACGCCCGTGCGACGAACCACCGCGCCTGCCACCCACGCGCGTGGCGCCGCGCTCGCAGCCCGGCCCCGCACTCTGTCCGCCGACTGCCCTCGCTGAGGCCGGCGCGCGGCCCCACAGGGCAAGCGCTTCAAGATGAAGTGGAGCGACAACATGACGGCGCAGTCCAAGCCGGAGATCAAGGCGGCGGCCAAGGAGGACTTCACCAAGATCAGCTGGGTCCCCGACCTCGCCAAGTTTGGCATGTCCGCCATGGACGAGGACATCGTCGCTCTGATGGAGCGGTGCGCCGCCGCGCTACCCGCCTGCCGCCCACCTGCCGCCCCCGCCCGCCGACCGGCAGCCAGCCCACACCTCTCCTTGCGGCGCCCGTCCCCGCCGCGGCGGACCGCGGCCGCTCGCAATCGCCGTCGCCCCCGCCGGCCGACCGCGCCGCGCCTGCCCTTGCCCCTTTTCGCGTGAGCAGGCGCGCGTACGACATGGCGGGCTGCACGCACTCGTCGGTCAAGGTGTACCTGAACGGGAAGAAGCTGCCGGTGGCGGACTTCAAGTCGTACGTCGACCTCTTCCTCGGGCCCAAGCAGGCGGCGGACGCCGTGCCGCGCGTCTTCGAGAAGGTTGGCGACCGGTGGGAGGTTGCGGTGGCCGCATCCGAGGATGGGTTTGCGCAGGTCTCCTTTGTCAACTCGATCGCCACGAGCAAGGGAGGGACGCACGTCAACCACGTGGCGGACCAGGTGGTGGACCGCGTCCTCGAGCACCTCAAGAAGAAGCACAAGGGGCTCGAGAAGGCGCCGAACCTCCCCCTCCGGACCACCGACTCTTCCGCAGCCACTGACCCCGCCGCGGCACCGACCCCGGCCCCTGTGCGGCCCCTACTGCCGGCAGGTGCTCAAGCCGAACCACGTCAAGGGGCACCTTCGCGTCTTCATCAACTGCCTCATCGAGAACCCCGCCTTCGACTCGCAGACCAAGGAGAACATGACGCTGAAGCAGTCCGCCTTCGGCTCAAAGTGCCACTCACCGCCGCCGCCCCTCACCCCGCTTCACCGCCGCCACTCACCGTCGGCCACCCCTCGCCGCTACCGCCGCTCCTGACCGCCGCCTCTCGCGCCCCTCACCTCGCAACCACTCTCTGTCGCCGCCGCCCCCCTATCCGCCGCGGCCATTGCCGACCCGGCGCGCATCCCGGCAGGTGCCAGCCGTCGGACAAGTTCTTCAAGGACGCGCTCAACTGCGGCGTCCTCGAGTCGATCCTCTCCTTCGCGCAGTCGAAGCAGTCCAAGGACCTCAAGAAGACGGACGGCACCAAGAAGTCGCGCCTGACGGGCATCCCAAAGCTCGACGACGCCAACGAGGCGGGCGGCCGCAACGGCTCGAAGTGCGCGGACCACTCCCCTCTGCCGGCCGAGAGAGTTGGAGGCCTCGACCCCTGAGCCTCTCCCTCGACTCTCCCCGCCGCTGCGGAAACAGGTGCACGCTCATCATCACCGAGGGTGACTCGGCCAAGGCGCTCGCCGTCGCGGGCCTGTCGATTGTCGGGCGCGCGACCGCCTGCAAGGGGTGCGCCCGACACCCGCACACCGGCTGCCGGACGGTGGATAGGCGCGACCACTACGGCGTCTTCCCGCTCCGCGGCAAGCTGCTCAACGTGCGCGACGCGGCGCACTCGACCATCATGGTGAGCGGGGAGGCTCCGGGCGGCGCCGGAGGCGGGGGGGCGCAGTGTCCGTGACGCGCCCGCATCGCCACCGTAGGCCAACAAGGAGATCTCTGAGCTCAAGCAGATCCTCGGCCTGCAGCAGGGCAAGAGCTACGACGACGAGGCGTCGCTCAAGTCGCTGCGCTACGGCGAGCGGCGGGGCGGCGACTTGGCCGCCCCTCACCCGTTTCGCGCACCCCTCACCCCGTGCCCGCCGTGCGCAGGCAAGCTGATGATCATGACGGACCAGGACCACGACGGCTCGCACATCAAGGGCCTCGTGATCAACTTCCTGCACTGCTACTGGCCCGCGCTGCTGCAGAAGCGCGCAGCCCCCGCGCGCGTCGCTGCTCGGCGCCCCACCCCCGCCCCTGAGCCTCGCTGTGGCACGGGCGTAGGCACGACTTTCTGCGCGAGTTCGTGACGCCCATCGTCAAGGCGTCCAAGGGCCGGCAGGCGATCGCCTTCTTCACGCTCAAGGAGTACGAGAACTGGCGCGAGGAGCAGGGCGCCGCCGCGAGCGGCTGGCAGATCAAGTACTACAAGGGGCTCGGCACCTCCTCTGCGGCGGAGGCCAAGGCGTATTTCTCCGACCTCGACCTGCACGAGCTCTCCTTCAAGTGGACGGGCGACGCCGACCGTGAGGGCATCGTGCGCGCATTCTCAAAGTCGATGGCCGACGCGCGCAAGGAGTGGCTCCGCGGGTGCGAGACATCGCACCGCCGTGCGACGACCTCGCACCGCCGCCCCCGCCCCACAGCTCCGGATCTGGCGCGCCGACCGACCGAGCCCCCACCCCCAAGGTACGATGCGGACGCGTATGTCGACCACTCCCAGTCGCACCTCACGTACCACGACTTTGTCGACCGCGAGCTCATCCACTTCTCGAACGCGGACAACATGCGCTCCATCCCGTCCTTCGTCGACGGCCTCAAGCCCGGCCAGCGCAAGATCCTTTTCGCCTGCTTCCGCCGCGGCAAGTCGATGCTCAAGCAGGCGGCCGGACGGATTCCCTCACCGCCGGGACACACGCGCCTCCCCACACGCGCTGACTCCTCCTCCCCTCCCCCCGCCCCCGCGCCCGCAGGAGGTCAAGGTGGCGCAGCTCGCCGGCTACGTCGCCGAGCACTCGGCGCGCCCGAGCACGCGCCGAGACCCGCCTCTCTCTCTCCCCTCCTCACGCCCGGCCGGCGCCGCTCCCCGCAGGCCTACCACCACGGCGAGGCCTCTCTCGGTGGCACCATCGTCGGCATGGCGCAGACCTTCGTCGGCTCGAACAACATTGCGCTGCTGCACGGCGCGGGCCAGTTTGGCACGCGGCTCATGGGCGGCAAGGACGCCGCCTCGCCCCGTTACATCTTTTGCAAGCTGCCGCAGCTGACGCGCCTCATCTTCCACCCGCACGACGACGCCCTCCTCGAGTACCTCGAGGTGCAGCCGCTCCCGCCATCCTCGCCCCCTCGCCCTCTCCCCTTCTCCCAAGCCCCTGACCCCGCCTATCCCCTTCTCCCACGCTCCCCCTGGCCCCGCCTCCCCGCCAGCCAGCCGCTGCCCCTGCCAGCCACCCTGCCAGCCGCCTGACCAGCTCGCCGCCGCCGCCCTGACCGCCCTCCGCCGTCGCCGCCAGGACGACGGCCAGCGCATCGAGCCGCGCTACTACATGCCGATCCTCCCCATGGTGCTCGTCAACGGCGCGGACGGCATCGGCACCGGATGGTCGTCCTCGGTGCCGAACTTCAACCCGCGCGACATCGTCGCCAACCTCCGCCGGCTGATGGCTGGCGAGGAGCCCGAGCCGATGACGCCGTGGTACCGTGGCTTTGCCGGCACCGTCACGCCGGCGGACCAGAAGGGCTCGTACTCGACGTACGGCTCCATCGCAAAGGCGGGACGAGCACAGCCTCCGCGCGATTGAGCGCCGCCCGCCCACTCACGGATCGGCGCACCGGTCCGTAGGCGGACGAGCGCACGCTCCGCATCTCGGAGCTGCCGGTGCGCAAGTGGACGCAGGACTACAAGGAGACGGTCCTCGAGCCGATGATGAGCGACCGCGCCGACGGTGCCGCCAAGTCGGCCGAGCTCGCGGGCGCCCTCGCCGAGCTGCGCGAGAACCACACCGACACGACCGTCTCCTTCACGCTCAAGTTCGCCTCCGACGCGGCGGCGGCGGCGGCGAACAAGGTCGGGCTGCACAAGGCGCTCAAGCTGTCGTCGTCCATCTCGACGTCCAACATGACGCTCTTCGACGCGCAGGGGCGCATCCAGAAGTACGAGGCGGTCGAGGCGGTGCTGCGCGACTTTTACGCGCTGCGCCTCTCGTTTTACGAGAAGCGGAAGCTGCATTTGCAGGACAAGCTGACGGGCGAGTGGTCCAAGCTCGACAACCGGATGCGTTTCGTGCTCGCCGTCATCTCGGGCGAGCTCAAGATCGCCAACCGCAAGAAGGCGGACCTCGTCGCCGAGCTCGCGCAGAAGGGGTATGCGCCCTTCGAGCCGGCGCCAAAGCGCGCGGCCGCCGGCGACGACGGCGAGGAGGAGGCGGCGGGCGAGGCGGAAGGCGGCGCGTCGGCGTCGGCGCGCGGGTACGACTACCTGCTCTCGATGCCGCTGTGGAGCCTCACGCGCGAGCGCGTCGAGCAGCTGCGCGGCGAGTGCACGGCCAAGGAGGCGGAGCTGCAGACGCTGCTCGCCACCTCGCCGCGCCAGCTGTGGGCGGCCGACCTCGACGCCTTCGAGGCGGGGCTCGCGGAGTGGGAGGCGGCGCTCGAGGCGCCCGCCGAGGGTGCGGCCGCCAAGGCGCGCAAGGGCGGCGCTAAGGGCGGCCGCAAGAAGAAGGCGTACGATTCGGACGTCGAGATGGAGTCGGACTCGGACTACGAGGACAAGCCAAAGAAGAAGAAGGCGCCGCCCAAGCGCAAGGCGCCCGCGGCGGCGGCGGCGCCCGAGCCCGTCTTCTCCGAGGAGGTCGCACCGCCGGCCGCGCCGCTCGTGCAGAAGGAGCGCAAGGTCGCCAAGCCCAAGGGCGCGCCGAAGGCGGCGCCGTCGGCCGCCGCGGACGCGCCGCCCGTCGAGGAGAAGGAGGAGGAGCCGCTCTCTCTGATGGAGCGGCTGGCGCGCAAGGCGGCGGCGGCGTCGCACGGCACGAACTGGTCCGCAATGATCGAGGACGCGCAGCCCGACAAGCCGGCGCGCAAGCTGGGCGCGGCCAAGCCCGCCGCCTCCAAGCCGGCGGCGGCCAAGCGGCCCGCAAAGAAGGCTGCCGCCGTCGCCGACAGCGACGAGGAGTCCGAGTTTGACGGCTCCGACGCGAGCGACGCGGGCCCGGCGGCGCCGGCGGCACCCCGCGCCGCGCCGCGCCGGGCGGCCGCCGCCGCCGCGAAGAAGTACGCGGCGCCGTCGGACGATGACTCGGACGGCAGCGAGGACGCCTCGGAGAACGAGTCGGAGCCGTCCGCCTCGCCGCTGCCCAAGCCAAAGGCGAAGCGGCCGTGCAAGAAGCCGTCGCCGCTGAGCAAGGCGGCGCCGAGCAAAGCGGCGGCGCCGCCGCGCGACGTGCTCGACCTCGACGCCTCCGACGAGAGCGACGCGGAGCCGGTCGCGGCCAAGAAGGCGCCGCCCAAGAAGGCGCCGGCCAAGGCGGCGGCGCCCAAGGCGGCGGCGCCCAAGGCGGCGGCGCCCAAGGCGGCCAAGAAGCCCGCCAAGAAGAAGGCGGCCGACTCGGACGACGACGACTACGCCGCGTCCGACGACGGCGCGCCGTCCAAGCCCGCGCCCGCCCGCGGCGGCGCCCCCCGCCGCGCGGCCGCCGCGGCCGCGGTCAAGAAGTCGATCTACGCGGACGACTCGGACGAGGAGTCCGGCTCGGAGTCTGACTTCATGGACTGAGCCGGCGGCGGCGGCGGCGCGCACGGCACCAACGGCTCTGCTCTGGCGCGTTGGACGCGCGAGGCGAGCCGGAGCGCCTCGCTTCGCCGATTTGTTGTGGGCTGCGGCCCTCGCAGGGCTGAGCACACGCGGCACTGCACACGGGCGAGACAATCATGCATGCTGATCTTCTGGGATTGTGTACGGTGCTGTGGCGGTCGACGGTGCGCTCACACACTGAACCGGACCGCGTTGTTGTGGATATAGCTGTGGATATAGCGCGCTCGCGATCTCTTTGTTTTTCAGTGCACATGTATGCAGCTCTTTTTCTTTTGTGTCTCCGAGGGTTAGTCTGCGCTTTGGGTTTCCCCTAGCGGCGGAGCGCCCCCTCTACCGTCGTGTGAGTGCACACACACACACACACACACTCCCGCCGTGTTTTTCTCCACTTCCGGAAGGCGAAGGGTCGAGGCACTCATATGCGGGTCATCTTCAAACACCCCCCCCGGCTCGTTGTGCGAGTATATGGGACACGATGTCTCAAATATGAGGGGTTTTGACTCCTACCGGCTCCTGACGCTATCCCTGGCAGCTCTAATGACCAGGATCAGTAGTGCTATGATAGAGGCTGCCCATACTAGCGCAGGAGCTGCCACACTCGCCCGGACCGTCCCCCTCTGGGGCCGGTTCCGCAGCCCGCGAGAGCCGACAGCGGGGCCGTGCCGCGGGTGCCTACTGCCGAGTGCCACAAACACTGCGCCGTCCCGCCACCACCTACAGGCTGTCTTGTGTGATGGTTGGGATGTCCAAACGCCACCATCTTGGCTCTTGCGACCTCAAACCCGCGAGCTGTATGGGTGGTCCTGACGGCGACAGACGCCCGAGGACCACGGTGAAGCTGAGCCGGAACGCGTCGACAAGTCTCGTCTGAGCCCGTGGCGGTCGCCGGCTGAGTCGCCGTGCACGGCCCGGTACCTCAGGCGTCACCTCCGCAGCCTCAGGTCTCAAACTCCACCACCTCCGCCAGGACGCCGTCGGTGGCACGCTCGGCGGCGAGTTTGTGGCAGCTCCACAGCAAGCGCGGCGTCGAGCCTAATCGGTCTGGTCGGTCGGCCGCACTCACCGGGTGCCAGGGAGTGCGGCCGACACTCGAGCGGTGCTTCCTGGCAGCGCGCGCCAGCTGTGGGGCTGCCACAAACTCGAGACACGCTTTTTTGGGACATTTTCGACGCTTTTGTCCCATATACTCGCAAAACATGCCCCCCCTCGCACCTAGCCGCCCCCATTCTCGCAAGACGTGTGAGCATGAGGGGGGTGGTGGTACCCCCCTACAGGTGCCCCTGGCCAGGCCTCTGACCGAGAGGGGGGTACACCTCGCGGGAGCCAAGACTGCTCGACCGACAGGGGGGTGCCTGCCCAAGACCCAGGTAAAACCCGGTATACCCGAGAAAGTCCAGGTATACCCGAAAAATACCTGGACGCGCGTCCACATGCCGCAGCACGCCCTACTCCCAGGGCCCCTGTGCCAACTGCGGCGCGCACCGCCTGCTCAAGTACGCGCACCGCACCATGTGTGCTCGCTACAAGTGCCAAAACGCAAAAGGCAGCATCGGCGCCAGGCACGGCTTGCAGGCGGCGGTGCGGACGACGCGGTCGTGCCACATTCTGCTACAAGATCGAGGCGGTGCTCGGCATGCGCTTGTGCGACCCCGATCAACTGATCGGAAAGAAGCGGCGCAACAAGCTGACTGCTGCCGACACACTATTTGCTACCTCACGCGATGTGAGTTTGGAGAGGATGAACACGACTCGGGTTTCACCGACACACGCTGGGTGGCTGGAGCTCGAAGAGCTGTACGAGAACTGCGGAAGTCAAGACTGAACAGCGCTCTCAAGAAGCACCGGAAGACAGAGCATGAGGCTGCGGATAAAGCAATCGTTGAGTTAGAGGAGGGAGATGACGAGGCGTAGTTGGAATAGCAGCGAGCGAGTTGGGAATGTAGCACTCCGGAACGGACGAACGTTTGAGTGGTGGTAGGAAACACGTAGTGTCCGTGTGTGTATGAACAATGAGTATGAACATGCAAAGTACTCTATCACGTATCGTTGTCTCTCACTCACGTGTGACACACTGCGAGCCGTCCTAGCTACGCAAAAAACAGCACCCACACCAGCGTGTGGTTACTTCGGCTCCGCCTCCCATGGGCGTGGCAGCGCCTCACAGCCGTCAGTGCCCTCGCCCACACCAGCGTGCCTCTCTAGTCCCGCCTGCCACCCAGATACCGAGAGCTGGGCGCACTCTTCGACTTGGGCTATTATCTGCCCTCGGGAGGGCGGCGGCGGCGGAGTAGGGGCGGCGGCGAGCTCCCGGTTGCAAATACTCGCCTGACGGTCCAAGATGGCGCGGCTCTCGCCCCCAACCGTGCACCAGCGTGCCTCTCTAGTCACGCCTGCCCACCCAGATACCGAGAGCTGGGCGCACTCTTCGACTTGGGCTATTATCTGCCCTCGGGAGGGCGGCGGCGGCGGAGTAGGGGCGGCGGCGAGCTCCCGGTTGCAAATACTCGCCTGACGGTCCAAGATGGCGCGGCTCTCGCCCCCAACCGTGCACCAGCGTGCCTCTCTAGTCCCGCCTGCCCACCCAGATACCGAGAGCTGGGCGCACTCTTCGACTTGGGCTATTATCTGCCACCGGGAGCAGGGCGGCCGCGGCGGTGGCAAAGGCGACAAGTCTTCAAGCACTAGGGCCGACGACCGATATTTTGCTTGCAAAAACGCAAAATTTTCTTCGCGGGGCTCCGCCCCGCACCCCGCCGGGGCTCCGCCCCGGACCCTAGCTGACCGAGGGGGCGGGACCGAGGGGGGGGTAAGCTACCCGGAGGGGGGGTCAGCTGCCGCTGGCTCGGGAACGCTGAGCGACAGGGGGGTGTAGGTACCCCCCCCCACCTCCACCTGGTCAGACCGTCGACCTAGAGGGGGGTCCCCAGGTGCGTGGGGGGGGGTGCTTGAAGATGACGCGCATATCACCGAAGCGGCTGCTCGAGTTGGTGAGGGTCTTGATTTCCGCGAAGGGTCGAGCCGCCAGCCACTACTACGTTTGGTGCCGATGGCCCGCCACGCCCGCAACTGCGCCCTCGCGGCCCTCCTCGCATCCTTCGCGGGCGCCACCAGCTTCGCTTCGCGCCGCCAACTGCTTTTCCGGGCCGCTGCCGGCTCCGCCCTCGCCAGCGCTCCCGCCGCGTCGCTCGCTGCTGAGAGCTGGCAGCAGCGCGCCGGCCTGGCGCCGCCCGACCGCGAGCCGCTGCAGGCCAAATGGCTCGAGCGCGTGCGCATCCTGCTCCAGGACGAGGCGGACGCCGTCCAGTACGGCGGCAAGGAGGGGCTCGCGCCGGGCGGGCCTCCCGCCGCCGTGCCGGCGCTGCTGCTAATCCCGGTCGTGCGGATGCAGAAGACGCTGCGGTCGCTCGAGCCGGCGCTGAGCACGCCGTCCGAGTGGCCGCGAATCCTCGGCGTCGTGACTGACGAGCCGTTCGAGACGGTTGCGCTCAAGCGGGCCTTCAACGCGTACAGCGACAACATCTACTACGCTTCGGGCAGCCCAGAGGCGAACGCGTACCTGCTCGGCGGCTCGACGCCGTCGTCCAAGCAGACGACGCAGTACCTGCTGCGCAACGAGGTGCTCGCGCAGCTCGCCGAGCTGCGAGACGAGCTCAAGTACCAGCAGGGGCTGCCCCGCGAACGGCAAGAGGCAGAGGTGGCGGCCGAGGCGCTGCAAAAGTGCCTGAAGGCGTTTGACGAGTATATACGCCTCGCACCGACCGAGGAGCGCAGCCTCGCCCTCGATGCGGTGTACGGCGATGGCACGGCCAAGGCCATGCTAGCGGGGACGAAGGAGTGACCCTTTGAGCCGTGTTGTCTGTTGCGTGTGGGCCGGACACTGAGCGTATTGAGGTCCAAAATTCATCAGGTCCCCGCCCGTGCGATCTTTGTGCAGGGTTTAGCGTGCTCGACGCGTGGCACACGAGTCACACGCATCACGCTGGCACCTGGCACGGCGGATTTGTCTTTTGTCATTTGTGTTTTGACGCACGTATGTGCCGGCCGTGGGCGTGCGCGTGGCCCAAATAAATAAATAAATAAAACGGACACCTCTACTAGGAGATGGGTAAAAAGGAACAGGTCCCCGCCCTGCGGTCTTTGTGCAGGCCCACGGCCGGCCCCCGTGCGTCACGCGCGGCACATACGAGATACGTGAGCTCGCACAGGTCATTATGTGGCCCCCGTGCGTCAAAACACAAATGCCGTATGCACACCCGAGTGCCGAGCTCATGTCAGTGAGACTATGCCGCTCCCAACCTGCCCGTCCTCCGCTCCAGCTCCGCGTCCCACGCCTCCCTCGATGGGTCGTGGGCCTCCGACTGCTCGAGCACGTCCTTCGCCGTCGTGTAGACCACATCGCCCCGTGCCGCCTCGTGCTCTCGCCCGCGCGCCCGCAGCCGCCTCGCCGCGCGCATCCCGCGCGCGATCCGCTCGCCGTGCGGCGGCACGAACGGCAGTGGCGCCTCCGCGGCGAGGACTTGCTCTGCCAGCCTCCTCCTCCGCCGGTTGCGGCCGCGCGCCGCCCAATTATCGCGGAAGAGGCGGACGCGCCGCGCCGCCGGCAGCAGCAGCCACGCCAGCCCGTTGGCGAGGATGCCACCGTACACGAAGTTGACCACAGTCAGCGCCGCAGCGCCGCCCGCACCGCGCCGCAAGTACAGCTGCAGCGGGCCGAGGAGGCCGCCGAGGACGACGGCCGCGCACAAGTTTGCGCAGGCGACGGCGTACACCTTGCGCTGCAGCGCGGCCGAGGCGCCGGTGGCGAAGGGTCGCACCCCCTCCTCCCAGTAGTCGGAGCGGTCGGCGCTCGGTCCGGAGAGGCGGCGTAGCACCGAGCCGGCCCCGCGCACGACCGGCGCGGTCGTTGGGTAGAGGCCGTAGCTGGCGTCCCTGCCGGCGGTGGCGAGCAGGTCCGGGAAGCAGTAGACGACCTGCGAGGGCTCCGAGAGGGATGAGGGCTCGAGGCTCGAGGCAAGGGAGCCTCCTCCGGTCCGGGGAAGGCGCAGACCTCGCCCTCGTCCGTGGCGACGGGCCGGCCGTCGAAGCGGAGCAGGATCGGGAGGAGCGACGGCTCGACCTCCGTCAGCCATGAAGAGGCGGACTCTGCTCCCCATGAGGAGCCGCCCGAGCGGCTTCCGCGCACGGAAGCCCGCGGGGGGTCGAGCAGAAAGGGCCGCAGCTGCGCGGCGCACACCGCGCCTCGGCTGGCGCGGATGCAGCGCGCGACGGCGGCGAGCTGAGCCTCGCGCCGCTGCGCCGCCACGCGCGCCCGGCCGTCGCCAAACATAAAGGCGAAGCACGCCAGCGCGAGGCTCTGCTCGAGCTGCCGCGCCTCTCCGTCCGAGGCAGCTTCTGCGCCCTCTCCGCCAGCCCTTGCGCCCTCTCTGCCCGCGTCGAAAGGGCCTCCGCCTGTAAGCCGCTGCTCTCCGACGACGGCGTGACGAAGCGCACGAAACTCGTGCCTCAGGCTCACGCGCTGCGCGTGAACACTGCCGCGTGCGAGGAGCGGGCGCAGCGCACAGACAGACGCGAGCAGCATCAGCCCGATGCATGCCTTCCCCGCCGTCTCTGCTCGAGCGAGCGGCTGCTGGCTCTCGCGTCGTCGAGCGCGCCGCAGGACGTCGCGCGGAAACGCGTAGACGAGGTGGCCCTTCTGGGACACCTCCATGCTTCCAAGCTCTGCCGACAGAAGAGCGAGCTGCGAGCGTGCACTCACGATGCTGCCACCACTCTCGACCGCAACATCGGAGGCGGTGACACGGAGAAGGCGATCCGGAGTCGCTGTGCCGCAGCGCGAGACGAGCGCCGCGGTGGCGGACAAGCCAGCGTCGGCGAGCGCTCGTGCGTGGGCATGCGTCGAGAGTAGAACGCTGATCATCTGCCTTTCGCGACCGCTCCAGCGATCGCGGGTCTTCACACACGCGGAGGATGTGCTGGTTATGCGTAGTGTAGTTGACGACCGATGCTTCTTCTCCTCGATCCACCGCCGCACGGCACCTTCAGCAGCTGCTTCTTCCCACGGGTCGTGCCAGATCTCATCTTCCGTCAGCGCGCGCATTGTGCCGCCCGCTGCAAGCCACCCGCATGCGTCCGGTGTGAGTGAGTCTCGCAGACTCGCATGCCGAGTGTCCTGAGCAGTGCAGGTCTCTCCTCCTCCGGGCCGTCAGCGTCGCGGCCATTCCCGGTCCCGCGGCCGGCACTGAGGGCCGATTGCGGCCGGATGGTAGTTACGAGAACGGAGTGCTGATGAGTTGTGAGAGCTGCGTTGGTTCTGCGCGAGGGCACTCTGGGACGCAAGCACGACCTCGTGACGGCTCCTGCAATTTCCTCAACCCAGCCCCAGATTTACCTTTTTTTCATCGCCCTCCTCTTCGCACGGGGTAGAAAATACTTACAACACGCCCAACCTAGCGTATTTGGGTTCTTGCCACCAAGGCAAGCGCGTCTGTTGCAGCTTGCCCAGCTTCCCAGAGAAGATAAAATCCGAAAACGCTCGCCTCAGCCAAGCCGCTCAGTGAGCGCCGCGTCCGGGTGCACAATGCCCAGCCGATCCGAGTTCGCGCTCGTCGCCGTCTCCGTGTACGCGCTCGCCCTCACCTTGCGGCACGCGCAGCTGTCCGGTCCACTCAACTCTCTTTGCACACGCGACTTCGTCGAGCCCGCTGCCAGCGGCACTTGCCTGTGCGGAGAGAAAGAGTTCTGCTTGTGCACGCCAAGCCTCGCAGCGGACGTGATCATTGAGCTCGAGGACAGCGTCGGCACCGTGCGCCACGTTGTCTTCATTGAACGCAAGGACGGTCGCGGCTTGGCGATGGTCGGAGGCTTCGTGAAGGTCGGTGAGAGCGCAGAGGCTGCAGCGGCGCGCGAGGCGGCCGAGGAGACCGGCCTCGAGGTGACGCAGCTGCAGCAGTGGTGTATGTTTAGCGAACCACGGCGAGATCCGCGCCGGCACACTGCTGCGCTGGTTTTCGTGGGCAGGGCGCGGGGCACACCACGCAGCGGCGACGACGCGAAGGGCATCCGTGTGGTCTCGATCAGCGATCTGCAGCGAGCGCCGCCGAAATTCGCCTTCGACCACGGCCAGATCGTCGCAGCCTTCGTCGCGCGCCACCACCCGCTCGAAGCGCACGCGGGCTGGCGGCGGCGGAATCATCGCTCGAGCGGCGGCTCCGCTGCCGACGCGGCTTACGATGGGTCGTGTAGAGTCTAGAGATCAAATGCAATGCTAACTATCCCTGCGTGATTTCTCGACACAATCACGTCTCTCCTCTGCCACTGAACTCGAGGTGGCAAGAAGGCCCTCTGAGGGGCGTGTCTTGCACACGTGTCAATATCTCTCTCTCGCGTTATCTCTGTCTGTATATGAGGCCTTGCGTCTCATCCTATCCGGCCGCGCGCCGTGCGCACCAAAGATGGTGCTTCGGCCCTCACGGCTTCGGCCTCTGCTCACCCCGGCGGCCACGTCATTTGCCGCCCCCCAAGGATGTGGACGTGCAAATGGTACACAGACTGCGCGCCGTGCTTTCCGTTGTTGATTACCAGTCGGTAGCCGTCGTCATCCAATCCGAGACCCTTCGCAACCTTGGCGGCGGTCGCCATCAGGTGCCCAATCAGCGGCTCGTCGTCCTCGCACACGTCCTGCGGCGGGCAGAAAGTTTCGGCTCGGCGTTACGAGCGGCGCCTCTACTTCCACCACCATCACAGCCACCGTCGCCCAACACTCACGAGGCGCCGTGAGGTGCTCCGCAGCCGTGCGCCTGGATCATCGCGATCGGCTTCTTGGGGATGACCAACACGTGCACCGGCGCCTGCGGCGCCACGTCGTGGAACGCCAGCACCTGAAGGCGGTCAGGAGCAGCTCAACCGCCGCCAAACCACCACTGCGGACGGGTCACAAACGACGGCGCTCGGCCCACCGTGTCGTCCTCGTACGCAATCTTGGCCGGGATCTCCTTCCGGATGATCTGCGGCGGCGGGAGTCAGGAGTCAGCGCAAGCGCCACCGCGATGAGCAGTCGCGTGCAAATATCGCACCTTTCCAAAGATGGTGTCGCCACCGGGCGCTGCGGTCTGAGCCTTTGCGACCTCACTCATGCTGCTGCACTGCGATCGGGACGCTGCTATAGCTGGTACCGCGACCAGCGGGTAGGCGCGGAAGCGCAAGCTTGCGAGTGCGGTGTGTGCAGCCAGCGCGATCATGCACTACCAGTGAAAAAAGAAAAAAGAGCAAAGCGAGCCGCCGCGCGTAGGGCCCTTAGGGCCCTAGAGAACACAACCCCCTGTCCCTTTTCTTCCAGTAAGCATGAAGTACGTACGTACTAAAACGGAAAGCGAAGTCTGTGACACGCTGGCACGCAAATGCGATATGGACACGGCCGATGCGGCAGAGGGGCGGGCAGGGCAGCTGGAGGAGATGTTGGCCAGCAATGCATTGGCGATGGAGACAGCCGAAGCGGCAGAGGGGCGTGCAGGCCAGCTGGACGAGATGTTGGAGAAGGTCGGCGAGCCGTTCAGCCCTGGTACGGCCAATGAGAGCCAGGTGGGAGGCATCACGCGTGCTCTCCCGCGCGACAGCGTCTACGGCAATGCGATACTCCTTTGGCTCAACGCGCTTCCAGAGACGCGCGCCACCGACTTCTTCCTACACGGCAACGGCGCATTGCCACTGCTCCTCTCCTACCTCATCCAGACAACGCTCGCTGCCTACCTGATGCAGTCGGTCGTCGAGGCGGAGGCGCTGGACGCGAGCTGTAGCAGCGGGAGCCCGCTCCTCCGCGCCGTCGCGACGTGTACCTTTGCGTTGCTAGGGCTGCGCGACCTGGTCGAGTCGTACGAGATACACCTGTGGCTGGGCGAGTTTCGCACTGTCCCGGCCATGGAACTGCTGCGCTTTCAAAGGTGCTCAAATGGCGTCAGAGGCGTACACGTACACACTCACCTCCGTGCAGTCGGCTTGGCGCAAACTGTGGGTAGGTACCTTGACCGGCATCCACGCGCGCTTGCGCAGTACGGCTCAGGAGCCGCGGTCACGCGGCCTGTCAGCGGCATTACGGCAAGGGAGCGCGCCGCCTTTTACGTGTGCATCATCGGCGGCAAGGTTGCTGTCGCGCTCCTCGTCCTGCTCTCCGGCAGTGGGCGCCGGCTCTTCGAACCGGGGGGGCGAGCTCGGCGCACCCTCACGGATGACACCCCGCCGCAGGCTCGTGCTGCGCTCTCCGTCCAACCACGACCTCATCCTCAACGCAGTGGCCGCTGGATTTGTGATGGAGCAGGACGAGCTCGTCTTCGCACTCTGTGTGAGCCACACCGCGCAAGCGTACGGCTCCAACTGCCCACTGATCGGGCTGCACGCTGCACGCGTCGCGCGTTATAGCGCTTTGAGGCTCAAGCTCTTTGACCGATGGGCGTGGGTGAGCGTCGCCCTGCTCTCGGCCGTCGTGGGCATCACGACTGGGCTGTGGTGTGGGACTGGATAAAAATACTCGTTTGGAGTGTGATGCTGGCGTTGTAATCCGCGGGGCGCTCAGACGCGAGACACAGGGCGTTCCCCACGCCCACCCCCCGCGCTCTCTCTCCCGCTCTCGCGTCTCGGCCTCTCCGTCCTCGCGCGCGGGGCCTCAAACCCTCGATCGCCCGCCTCTCCGTCCTGCGGGCCGCTGCGCCTGCGCGAGCGCTGTCAGCCTGTCAGCGGTCGCTGCGTGCGCCTCCGTGCGGCCTCGTGCTCGAGATGCACGATGTGTATTGCCACACCGACACCCACACCCGTCCCCCGATATAAACCCATATACGCAACGGCTATTTATATATATATACGAGTGGGCTCGGGCGGGGATTTTAGCCAATGTGCGAGGTCCGAGGAGCTGAGATGTTGTGCATATAGTCTTAGCGCGACTCTCTGTCTACTCTCTGAATCTCCTCTCTGAGTCTGACCGTGACGACACTCGATTGTGGGACCTGTCCGATCAACCCGCAGCCCTAGAGAGGCCGTTCGCGCCTCTTGGCTCCCGAGCCGGCCGCCTTGCCCTCTTTGCGCACGCCTTTGCGCTTGACGGCAGAGACGAGCGCTGCGAGAGTCCCGTCGCCCCCGCCGCCCCCGCCGCCCGGCGGCTGACGGCGGGGCGCAACCGCCGCCGCCTCGCGCCCCTCGGTGTGCCTGCGCGAGATCTCGGAGAGGAGCGCCTCCGAGGCGTGCGTGCGCACGAAGCGCGGGTCGTTCGGGTCGACGGCGTAGTCCGCCGACGAGAAGAGCCGGCTGAAGCGCGCGTCGTCCATGTCGAGCTTGAAGCCGTCGTCCGATGGACCCGCGCCGCCTCCCGCCTTCGCCCTCCGGCCCTTGGCGCCCTTCTTCTGCTTGAGCTCGAGCCGCCGCACGTCGTACCCCTTGCGTGCGCCGCCGCCCCCGCCGCCCTCCTCGTCGCCGCCGTCCATCATCAAGAGCTCTAGCTCGGCGTTCGCCTTGCCGCCCCCCTCGGAGCGCCCTCCCGCGCCCTCCTCCTCAGCGGCCGCGCCTCGCTTCTTCTTGCCCCGCCGCCGCTCCTTGCGCTCCCCGCTCGATGCCGAGGATGCATTCGCCGGCCGCTTCTTCGACGCGCGTGGCGGCGGCGCCTCAGCCTCGCCGACGTCGTCATCGCTGAAGGCGGCGTCTCCGCCTCCTCCGCCGCCGCCAGCCTCGTCGTCGCTAAAGGCGCTCTCGAAGAACGCGTCCCCCTCCACAGCGCCGCTGGCGCCACCGCCGCCGCCCTCTTCGTCGCCCTCCTCGTCGCTCTCCTCGCCGCTGCCCTCCGCGCCGCTCTCGTCGGCCGCCGCCGCAGCGGCCTCCTTGCGCGCCCGCCGCTTCTCGCGCATCTTGCGCTGCTGCGCCTGCCACACCGTCTCCTCGGCCGCCTCGCCGTCGCCGCCGCGCCCGCCGCGCTTGCCCTGCTTGCCGCCCGGCGCGGTGAAAGTCGCCTCCATCCCCATGTCGGCGTCTTCGACGTCGGCGGCTCCACCCGTTCGGAGCAGCTCGCCGAGCCGCTTCGCCGAGCCGCGCTTCGGCGGCGGCGCGGCGCCTTCGAACTCGAAGTCCGCCTCGCCGTCCGAGTCGGAGGAGGAGGCGAGGAAGGCGGCGTAGTCCTGGGGAGGCGGTGGGCGGTGAGTGAGTCACACCGTCGGCAGGCGAGGGAACAGCGTAGTCCAGCCTTGCCCATCGCATCTCGGAGAATCTCGTGAATCTAAGTGAATCTCGAAGAGTCTCGGCGGATCTCGGCGAATCTCGCGCCTGCTCGCGCAGCTCGCCCTTGGTGAAGTCTCGCTTCATCACCTGGGTCCGCTCCGACTCATCCGCGTCCCAAGACAGCTGCACCTGCGGGGCGCACCAGGGACAGGTCAGGGACAGGTCATGAGCAGGCAGACCATGTGCACGCCATGGAGTGGACTCGTCACTCGTCATGGACAGGTCATGGACAGGTCATGGATGGACAGGTCATGGACAGGTCATGGACAGGTCATGGACAGGTCACGGACAGGTCACGGACAGGTCATGGACAGGTCATGGATGGACAGGTCATGTCACGGACTCGTGTGCGACAGCCGCACCTTCGACTGCTGCAGCGCGGAGCTCGAGAAAGACGGCGCGCTGTACCGGGGCGGCAGCGTGGTCGCGGCGTCGCGCGGCGTGCGCTCGAAGCTCATCTCGTCGGGGATGAAGCGCAGGTCGAGCGACATCGCCTACCCGCTCACGCACCGCTCGTGAACTCGTCGGCCGATGGCGCGCGCGGCTCGAGGCTCGCTGCAGCAAAGCTTCGCCGAGTACTCGAACTCGGCGCCGTCGCACTCGGCGTAGAGGTGCTCCGCCGTGGCCACGCTGTCGCAGACTACCACGCCGTAGTAGTAGCGGAAGCGAGACAGCTCGTACCGCCGCAGCTTCTCGTTGTCCGCCTCGGCGCCGTCCGCCTCTTCGCCCTCCTCGCCCCCGCCGGCCTGCTGCTGCTGCTGCCAGACGCCTGCCGGGCCACTCACATCCTCGCGAGCCTACAGACGTGCCGCGAAGGTGTCAGGAACGGGCCTCTTGGCGTGAACGGTGGGGCGCGTGGCCGGTCAGGCAGTGTCTTCGGAAGAGTCTCGCGCCTGCTGCTCCGCCCCAAAGTCAGAGAGGTAGACCGAGACAGAGCGGATGGCGCCGCCCGCGGGCTCGAACGACTTGAGGACGGCGAGCAGGTCGACCGCGCGCACCTGGTCCCAGTTGAGGTTGCACACCGCCAGCCGTCGTGTCCCCTCCGACACGCGCGGCACCGCCTCCGCCTGATCGAGGTACTCCACCAGCGCCGCCTGCTCCTCTTCGCCGCCCGCCTCCTCGTCCGAGGTCGCCTCCTCGGTCATGTCAGACAGGTTGCCATCCTCCTCGCCCTCCTCGCCGGAGGTCGCCGCCGCCGCCGCCGCCGCCGCCGCCGCCTCCGCGGCAGCAGCAGCAGCCGCCTTGCCAGCCTTCTTCTTACTCGCCTTTGCTGCAGGCCGCCGCGCCTCCGCCGAGACCTGGCCGACGTCAGCCGAGCCTGCGGCTGGATCCTCTTCGTCCAGCTCGTAAAGCCGGTCGAGGCCACCCGCCTGCGCCTTCTTTGCGCCGCGCCCGTACTTGTCTGCTCCGCCGACGGCAAAGCGCTCGTCGGTGAACATCGTGGCAAAGCGCCTGTCGACCTTGACCTTGCGCTCGCGCTTTGGCGCGCGCTTGAAGCGCGGGTCACTGTGCAACCGCGCGAAGCGAGGGTCCGTGGACGCCATGGGTCAGTGAGTGCACCGCGAGTGTGCGTTCAGGCGGCCCTCGTGGCCCGGCGGCGGGGAGTGGGTTTCTTTTAGCAAGCCGAAGTGCCAACTCGAACGAGGAGTTAAAATCGCTCCAAGGCAGTCTTTCCTTCTTTCTTTACAACCACACACTCTCTCTACGACTACACGAAGGTCTCACACTGGCACACCAAAATCACGGTCACCGCAAGAACACCAAACACAAACTATCCCCACCCGCATGGAAACGGCTAGCTCCGCTCGTAACCTCGTAAGCTCTGTGCGAAGGCCGAAGCCGGCGTTTCGTTCATCCCTTACCGCTAGCCCATGCCCGTGAGCACTCGCGCGTGTGCTAGGCGGCGTCAATGCACAGCCCCAGTGGCGGGGGTGGCGCATGGCCATGACGCGGCAGAGGAGTGGTGGCATAATGAGTCGCCTGCTGGGGGCTCAGGCCCCGCGCGCAGCCTCGGAAGGCCGCGCATTAGCTGGAGGCGCCCTCCTCGAGATAGTCGGAGCTGCTGTCGTTGCCAGACTCCTCCGCGACAAAGTTCTCGTGGAGCTTGACGCCGAGCAGAGAGCTCTCGAGCAGGCAGGTGACGTTGCTTTGCCGGTAGACGAGGGTCGGCTCGACGCCGCCCACCCTCGCTGCGATGCGCGCGTCCAGGTTGATCATGGCGCTTCCCTCCCCGACCGGCGGCGGGCTGATCTGCTTGAGGAGCTTGAGGAGGTCCGCGACGTTTGCCGCGTGCAGGAGCACCGGGTACTGACGGGCGGTGACGAAAGTGGCGCTCGGCGGTAGCACGATGGCCTCGTGCTCGTTCAGCTCCGGCAGCGACACCGTGCCCACATGCACGTCGTTGTACAAGATGCGCGCAGCCAGGCCGTGCACGTACAGCTCGGCGTCGAGCGGGTTACGGAGCGCGATGTGCATGTACTGCTCCAGGGAGCCTCCGTTGAAGGGGTTGAGCAGGGTGACGGTGGCGACCGGGATGTTGAGATCGATGTAGACCTTTTGGATGATGTCGTGGTCGCCCGGCCCCATGCCCGGCAGCCCGACGCGCAGCGCGAGGCCCGTAGCCGCGGCTTCGTAGAAGGGGTGCGATGGCACGGCGGCGACGCGCGCGATGAGCGGCGTATCCCGCGAAGTGAGGAAGTGGTTGAAGACGTCAGCCGTCGAGACGAGGTCGTGCTCGCGGGGCGGGACCGCGAGCTTCCCCTTGACGCGGAACCAATCATTGTCGGGGCTGCGCGCGAGCCAAAAGTCGGTCTCGGTCTGCACCTGAGGGGAGGGCGGGGGGCGAGGGCGAGGGGTCCGAGGGAGAAGAGCCTCAGTGCAATGAGCGGGAGGGTCCCCGGCGCGCGCCTCGGCAAACTTGACGCCCAGCGAGTGCTCGGGCGTTGGTCTCGCGTCGGTGTCGTGGGTCGCGAGCCTCTGGAGGCATTCTTTCGCGGCGCTCTTGCCCTCCCTCGGACCCTTGAATTCCTTGCGGGCGCAGCCACTTTTGTCGGTGTAGACGTCGACCTGCACCGCGCCGAGGTCGCGCATCACAAAGCTGGACGGGTTGTTCACGCGCACGTCGATCGTGATGAGCGCGTCGCCCGCTGGCTCGGTCGAGTTTTGGTCGAGCACAAGCATGTCCCTGAACTCGATGCCAAAGCTGCGCGCGCCGCGGAGGACCACCGACTTCGCGAAGGGGACGTCGGGGATGCGGAGGGTGCCCTTGGTCTTGCACGTCTGCACGTCGGTGCGGCAGATCCCGTGGTCCGCGCCGCGCAGCTCCACGGCGAGGATCGTGTACAGCTCGACGTGCAGCTCGTCCTCCGTCACGACGGCTCGCGCAACCTGCGGAGAGGGCGCGAGGGCGAAGCACTGCGGTCGGGGGTGGGTGGGCCGCCGGGCGTATCGATATCCGCTGCGTGCGCCACCTTGCGGAAGACGGCAAGATCATCCACGACGAGGGTGCCCGCGATCTTGGTCTTGATTTTCCCTCCGCCGCCGAGCGGGCAGGGGAGCGAGTGCAGGGTGCCAAAGCGCTCGCCGCCAAAGGCGAGGTTGAACTCGGCTGAGCCCAGCGTCGCCTGGAGCCAATCGGCCGGCCGTGTGGTGAGGGGATGCGAGAGAGGCCCAGCGGCACCCTCTGGCAGGCTTGGGCGCGGCGCCTGCGCGCCGAAGAACAGCAGGTCCATGTGCACATCCATCAGCAGATCAAACGCGACGAGGTTGACCTTGGGGTCCGGCCACTTTTTCGTGTCGCGGAGGGTGATCTGGTCCACCTTGAGGTCGAACAGTGCGATGATGCCCATCACGAACGGCTTCCCGATATGCAGCTTGACGTCACTCCCCACCGAAGCGCCGTATCCGACGGCTGCAACAGCGGCACCGGCCGCCAGCGCCAGCAGCGGCACCACACGCAGCCAGCGGCGTCGGGCACCGTCCGGTTTGGCGGCGGCGCCGGCGGCGCACACGCCCAATGGCGGCGGGAGCGCCCCCCCTTCCTTGATTCCCAATACGCGCGTGTCCATTGGCGCGCCGGTCCCCTGCTCGCGACTGTAGCAAAAAGGGGTGGTTACAAAGGGATGATTCCGAGTTGGGGCGCCTTATTTGGCAAGTTTGTGCGGAAGCCCCCAAGGAGGGATCCCGCTTCGCGTTCATCTTTTTTCCTTTTTCGCATCGAGAGGGCGGGCGCTCCGAGAACCGCAACCACCCGCGCGCGGGGAGGGAGCGCACGCGGGCAGGGCGGCACACGGGCAGGGCGGCAGCGGCGTTGCTCAGCGCGCGGTTCCGGGAAGGGAGGAGGCGTTCCGGCTCGGGGAGCACCGCGCGCGCGGTGGCGCACGCGTGGGGGTGCACCACACGGCCCGAGGGTGGGGCAGCAATACGCTGCGTCTGGGACGCGGCGCGGAAGCGGGCGCGCGCGCTGCCCCGGAGCGGCGCGCGCGCCCCTTCCTGCGCGCGCGCGTGGGCAGGCGCTCCGAGCACCGCGAGCGAGCCCCATCTCGGCGTGTGCGGCCCCACCCCCCTTTGTTTGCGGCGCGCCGCGTGCACACTCAGGGGCGCTGGCGGGCGGCGCGAGGGGAGGCACCTTCTCCACTTGACAAAAGAAAACTCGGCGAGCTCCCGCCATAAAGGTAAGGACTGTGGAGAAGTAGGTTCGCTCATAATGTCCAGCCACGCAGACAACAGTGGCTCGGGTGGCAACGGGACGAGCATGTTCTTCAACCACCTCTCGTCTCACAACGACCCGCAGCACCTGGCCCACAAGCAGAAGATCACGCCGAAGGCCGAGTGCACCGACGCCATCGCCAAGGCACTGCAGCACGCGGCGCCGGGCACACCGGGCGCCAACCTGACCTACGCCGACAACCCGTCTCGGCTGCCACTCGCGCCCGGCGGCTCGCGTGGGCGCCCGCCGTCCCAGGCGCCGCTGCGTCCTCTGCCGCTGCTGTTGCCGCCCTCCGCAACGCCACCGGCGTCTCGCTTGCTTGGAACTCCCCCTCGGGGGTGGCCGACACGATCAACCTCAACACCACGCCCGCCGCAGACTACGATCTCTCCATCTGCGACATCGTCTCGATCGAGTGCCTCAAGCGTCTTCACCTACAGAGCCAGGACTTCCCCGACAGCAAGGAGTACCGTGCAAAGATCCGCTCAGTGCTCGAGTTCGGGATGAAGGCCTTCGGCGGCAACCCCAACGCGCCCGGCACAGAAGACGGCGCCCGAGGTGCCATCTTTGTCGTCGCCTCGACGATCCTCGTCTCTCACCTGCCGGCCGAGCGGCTCGCCGCGCTACACGACGGACCAGATGGTCGAGCGCGCCGCCACCATCGCCCACTCGCCCGACGGCTTCCTGGCCCTCTGAAAAGAACTGGCGCTCTCCGCCTCCGTCCCGCCTCGTGGTGGCCGCTGCTGCCGGCCTCTCGGCCGCCGTCGCCGTCAAGACGTCGCTCTATGCAACACGGCGCGGGCCCCGTCGCCGAGCTCGCGCCGAGCTCGCAGCTGCCAAGCAGCAGCTGCACGAGCAGGTGAGCAAGCGGCGGCGCGTCGAGCGCGAGGCGCTCGACGCCAGTCGTGCGGCCAAGCGCATCCGCCAAGTCCGGAACTGGGCGGAGAGAGGCGGGGAGGGCGAGGAGGTCGAGGAGGTCGAGGAGGGCGAGGAGGGCGAGGAGGGCGAGGACGCCTCGGTCCCCACTCCTCACGTGTGCACAAACCCTCACCCTCTCCTCTCTCCTCTCTCTCTCTCTCTCCTCTCTCTCTCTCTCCTCTCTCTCCTCTCCTTGTCTGTGCTGTCTGCCTGACTCAGGCACTCAATCTGCCGATGCGTGATTGTGTGTGGGCTGCTCCGAGGGGGCCCTCTGTGCGATCCGACGGGTAGGGGGTCTGTGCCCGGGTGTCCGGTGCGGAGTCTCCTTCTGATCCCGCCTGTGATGTTGGGTGTGAGGTTGTGGCGGCTTCGAACCCAAGGGGGGGAGCTGATCCCACTCAGTAACCAACTCTCAGGGGCAGTAGGTGGGCGAGCTTCGAGCGCGCTCATCTCGATCGACAAGGCGTCGCTACGCGCGGTCTTCCGCGGGGGGAGCGTCGTCGACGGGTGCGGGACCGCGGCGCAGCCAGCGTTGCGGCGATGCCTCCGGCTGTTTTGCGGCGGGCGGCTTGCTGCTCGCGGCGATGGCGAAAAACTCGTCTCGTCGCACACCAAGGGCTTATGCTCTGGCGAGATGTGAGGCGCGCATGCGCCCAGGAGGGGAGGGGGCATGCGTAACGACGCTGCTAGAGATGCCTTTCGGTCGAGCCTTTCGGGGCCCAGAGATAAAACTTCTGAAGCCATGCGTGACCTAGTAGTGACTAGTGTCCCCAGCTATGGGCGTGTCCACGTTGGAGCCAGGTGTGGTGTGTGGAGAATAGCTCCGCCGTTCATGGAGGCAACCGATGCGAGTCGACTGGTGTGTGTGTGTCGTCGTGGTTTCGTATCAAGAATACTCACACACTCACTCTCCCCACCCCTTCCGTCTCCGTCTCCTCGTTCGGCGAGCACGCGCCGCCGTCCCTGTGCCCTGTCTGCGTGGCTGGACATTATGAGCGAACCTACTTCTCCACAGTCCTTACCTTTATGGCGGGAGCTCGCCGAGTTTTCTTTTGTCAAGTGGAGAAGGTGCCTCCCCTCGCGCCGCCCGCCAGCGCCCCTGAGTGTGCACGCGGCGCGCCGCAAACAAAGGGGGGTGGGGCCGCACACGCCGAGATGGGGCTCGCTCGCGGTGCTCGGAGCGCCTGCCCACGCGCGCGCGCAGGAAGGGGCGCGCGCGCCGCTCCGGGGCAGCGCGCGCGCCCGCTTCCGCGCCGCGTCCCAGACGCAGCGTATTGCTGCCCCACCCTCGGGCCGTGTGGTGCACCCCCACGCGTGCGCCACCGCGCGCGCGGTGCTCCCCGAGCCGGAACGCCTCCTCCCTTCCCGGAACCGCGCGCTGAGCAACGCCGCTGCCGCCCTGCGCGCAGGCGCTCGCGCCCCACGAGGGGCCTTGCTCCTCCCCGCCGCTGCCCCCTCCGACGCCAACCCTGCGCATGGTCGGCGACGGCAAGGGGGCAGTGACGGAGGGTGGGCCCTCAGGGGCCTCGCGCAGCATCAAGCTGTACGAAAAGGTGGAGCAGGTTGGGGAGGGGACGTACGGCCAGGTGTACAAGGCGCGCTCGCGCGAGTCGGGTGAGATTGTGGCGCTCAAGCGGGTGCGGATGGACAACGAGAAGGAGGGCTTCCCGATCACGGCCATCCGCGAGATCAAGATCCTCAAGGTGCTCAACCACAAGAACATCGTCCGCCTGCACGAGATCGTGACCTCCGACGCGTCAGACTACAACCACGGCAAGGGCTCCATCTACATGGTGATGGAGTACTGCGACCACGACCTGACCGGGCTGTCCGACTCGGGGCACCGCTTCTCGCCGGGGCAGATCAAGTGCTACATGAAGCAGCTCCTCGAGGGCATCTGCTACTGCCACAAGAATCACGTCCTCCACCGAGACATCAAGGCGCGGGCCGCCCCGTGCCGCCGCCGCCGCCGCCGCCGCCCCCAACGGGGCCTCCCAGGGTCCTCCCAAGGACCCCACACGCGGAGAGGGGCGCCTCTCTTGCGGACCGGGTGGCAGCGCGCGGGCACGGCCGGCGCGGGGGGGAGGGGGGGGGGGGGGTGCCGCGGCCGACCGCCGCAGTGGGGGCGAGCTTCAGGCGCCAGAGGCAGGTGAGGCCGCAGGACGCTGGCGGCTGCGAGGGGTTGGCTGCTCGGGCCGGCTCCCTCTGGGCCCCCTCCCGTTCCCGCGCCACGCCTCCCCCCTATCCCATTCCCTCACCCTCGGCCGCGGTCTCTCGCAACCGCTGCCCTCTGGCACCGGCTGCAGGGCTCGAACCTTCTCATAAACGAGTCGGGACAGCTCAAGCTCGCCGACTTTGGGCTCGCGCGCCCCTTTGACGACCAATCAAAGGCGTACACCAACCGCGTCATCACGCTGTGGTACCGGCCGCCCGAGCTGCTGCTCGGTGAGACGCACTACGGTCCCGCCATCGACCTCTGGTCCGCTGGCTGCATCCTCGCCGAGCTTCTCCTCCGCAAGCCCATCCTGCCCGGCCGCAACGAGTTCGAGCAGCTCGACCTCGTCTTCAAGCTGCTCGGCACGCCGACGGAGCAGTCGTGGCCCGGCGTCTCCAAGCTCGCCTACTTCGACATGATGACCAAGCAGAACGGTGCGCGCGCGTCACCACACCCACCACGCCCCTCGCTCCCCCCCCCCCCCCCCGACCAAAATCCCAACCGCCTCCCCCTCCCGCCTCTGACCCATCCCCCCCACCCCCTTGCGCGCGCAGGCGGCCGGCACTACATGTCGCGCTTTGACGACAAGTTCGCCGCGCTCGAGCCGATGGGCAAGGATTTGCTCCGCAAGCTCCTCGCGATGGACCCGTCCAGGCGCATCACCGCCAAGGAGGCGCTCGACCACGACTACTTTTGGACACCCCCCCTGCCGACGAAGCCTGAAGACCTACCAAAGTACCCGGCCTGTCACGAGTTCACGGCCAAGAAACGGCGCCAGCAGGCCGCACAGAATGTGCCGCCCGCCGCCGCCACGCAGCAGCAGCCCCAAGGGGCGACAACCCACTGGGCCGGCGCTCACCAGCGCCCCCAGCACGCGCCCTCGCAGCAACAGCACGGGCTCCTAGATGCTGAATACGCCCTCTCGTCTCGCTCCAGCCAGTCTCGAGAAGACGCGTCCCAAGCGGCATCCACACCCTCACGGCCCTCTCCTCGCGACGTAGGTACGGGGGCCACTACCAGCAGTATGGCCATGCTGCGCCGCAGTATGGCCAGCCATCGCAGCAGCAGTACGGACACCCGTCCCACGGCCCACCCTCCTTCGCCCCCGGCTACGCTGGGGCCGGCTACCACGGCGGAGGAGGAGTCAAGCGCGGACGGGAGCCGTACGACCCAACAAACCCGAGGGGGCCGCAAGGCGCGCTTTCCCTGCCCGTGAGCCGCGGCGGCCCGCCACAGCACGCGGGTCGCCCCGCAGGCTACGCCAACGGCTACGGCCGCTGAGCGCTCGCCGAGCGCCTGCTGAGGTGTGCCCGCCAGCGAGGGAGGCGGGAGGCGGCCGACGAGCAGGAGATCGTGGCCGCGAGATCGTGGCCGCGAGCAGGAGACCGCCTTGCAGCACAACATGCACAGAGAAAATCCAAAAACAATGGGATGGCTGGGCTTCATCTACGCGAGGCGTGGATTGCGCCACGGCGCGGCTCTGAACTGTGTCTGGTCCTCGTGAGCGCCGACAGCCGGTGCTGTCGGCGCTTCTTGCTTTCGCGATCGTGCAGTGGCAGCGACACTGTGCGAGCTTTCTGTCCGTAGTAGCACATATTCTATAGGAGGAGATGTGGAGAGTCTTGGGTATTGTTACACTCACGTGATACAATGTTTACATTCATCTGAAATCTGACACTCCCCCTGGAATCCGTACATCGACACCGCGGTGGCGCGGACACGCGGCCGGCTGTCCTCCACGGAGAGGGGAGAGATCGAGTCCGCTGTCCGGCCTGTCGACGTGTAGCCCGCGTGTACGCTGTAGGTGTTATACGTCTTATACGAGTTACGACGCTTGTACGTCTCTCTGGACTCTGCTCTCTCGCATCGTGAGCGGAGAATGGCAATGGGGAGAGCGGAGAGCCGCGCGAGACCCGAGACCGCGGAGAGGGAGAGAGAGGCCGTGCGGCGCGTGCGGGTCCTCTGGCTGCGCGGTGTGGGTGGGGTGCAGGTGTGGTGGTGCGCCATGCGCCCGGTGCGCGGTGGCGTGTGGACGCGCGTGGTCCGTGGTGCGTGGAGAGCGTGGTCGCTTGCGCTCTTGCAGTCTCTTGCTCATGGCCCCGTGGTCCACTCTGCTCTGACTGTACTGACTATGCCTAAACCTATCTGCTCACGCTGCGCCCTCACGACCTCGAATCCTCCCGATCACCTCAGGCCCCTAGTCAGACCCGTCCAGCCCTGCGATGGCCTCGGAGAGAATGGCGCCGTATACGGCCGTGCGCGGCACGAAGCCCGCATCTCCAGAGGCCCACGCCGCCGCCACCTCGCTCGCATCGCGCCACTCCACGCCGGCAACCTCGCCCTGGCCGCCCTGGTCGAGGGCGAGGGCGGCGGCGTCAAAGCCTGCGGAGCAGCGCACGAGGAAGATCTCCTATCCAAACAGCTGGAGGCGTGAGGCGGCTCCGCGGCGCACAGAGCTCCGGCCACGGAGAAGAGCCACGGAGAAGAGCACGCCTGGTACTCGCGGCAGAGAAAGCGGCCGTGCTGTGCCGTCGCACCCTCGGCTGAGGCGGGCAGCGTGCAGACCCAAGCGGCCTCGAGGTCCGCCTCGGGCAGCGAGACGCCAATCTCCTCCTGCAGCTCGCGCACCTGTTGAGCAGCAGCCCGTGCTCCAAGAGGTGAGGGTGGAAGAGGCCGGCACCGTTCCACGGCCAACCGCGGGCGGGCGCGCCGCCGTGTCGACGACGCCGTCCGCTCCGGTGATGTGGCCTGCGCACGATACGTCGAGCAGGTTGGGGTGGGTGTCCTTGAAGGCAGAGCGCCTATTCGCGGTCCGAGGCCGTTGAGAGGCGCTGTCAAGGAAGGGTCAGTGTCCTCGGAGCCCGGAGCCGCGCCGCTGCAGCAGCAGCCGGCCGGCGGCGTCGATCAGCCACACGTGCACTGAGCGGTGCCAGTCGCCGTCGCGGTGCACCTCGCCGCGCGCCTGTTCACAGGCGGCGCTGTGAAGAGGCGCTGTTCACGGTCGCGATCACACCTCCACCCTCGCCGCCTTGAGCACGCCCAGAGGGATTGGCTCCTTGCCGCGCTGCAGCGGCGCGAGGCTGGCCGGCGGCGCGTACCTACTCACGGGCAGGCGCGTGAAGAGGCGCTCTCCGCAGCGGCGCGAGCCCTCGTCTTGGAGCGCACAGCGCGAACTCCTCGCACAAGTCTTGCCCCAGCAGGGGCGGCGCTGCGGCGGTGGCGACGGCACGGCGCGCGCGCAAGGCGGTGGCGGCGGAGGCGGCGGCGGAGAGGGCGGCGGCGGCGAGGGTGGCTGTGGGCCTCATGGCGCCGCCGCGCAGCTTGCGGATGAGGTTGAGACCAGTCACCGAGGAGCGCGCCGCGAGCAGCCCATTGGCGCGGTCGACATGAAGGACGCGCCACTGGGAGGGCGGCTTCTGCTTCACGGAGTACGTCAGGGTCTGCGACGCCGCGTCAAAGGTGAGCTCTTCGCCCACCACACGAACCTTTGGCAGCAGCGGCAGCGTCTCGATCTCGAGCTTGAGCCTCCGCGCCGCCAGGTCCCACTCGAGCACCTCGCGGTTGGGCATGTAGCCGTCGATGAGCGGCAGCTTTGCCGCCGCCGTCGAAAAGACGAGCTCCCACCGTCCGGACAGGTCCTCCGCCGTGGCGGCAGGCGGCGGAGCGCACTCAATCTCCTTGAGCGCGCGGATTACCTCGGCGGCAGGAGCCGACCGGTCATCGGCGGCCTGCGCGAGGACGGCCGGCGCATCGAAGCGCGCGGCGGCACTGCACATGGCAATCGCGATGGCGCGAGGCGAGAAGAGACGTTGGAGAACCACCCGCATGTGCATGTGCATGTGTGACAAGATCCCGCCGGCGTGCTGGCTGGGATACCTGGTAGCCCCGCCCAGAAAGAAAACCACATATATACGGCCCTGCTTTCGATTTCCTCTACAGTGTTGCTGCCGGGATATCTTGTGGGAGACAAAAAAAGAAAAAGGCCGACCTTATCCTGGCACTATCCACCAAACAATCTCTATCCACCTATCCAGCCCGGCCTGTGGGGACAGCTGAACGCCGCTCGCCTCTCAGGTTGACTCGGCCAGACTAAAAGAGGCGTGGGAGTACCTCGCCAGGTTCGCAGCAAGCATGGCAGCGTTTGTGCTCGCACGACGGTCGCCTCGCTCCCTGCCGCTGGCTGCTGCCCGCCTGTGTCAGCGGCGACTCTCGACCGAGCCGGCGTACGCTGTCGAGCCGTACCGCAACCTCCTTAACGCGACGCAGGAGCAGCGCTCCTCCTGGGCCGACGCCGACGCAACGCTCCACGCGGCAATGCGCGAGCATGTGCCGGCGGCGCTCGCGCACAACGGGGAGGAGGACTTTGACAGGCACCTCGTCGGCGTGCAGTCCGTCCTCCGCTCCTGGGGCGCGGCGGAGCGACTCACAAACGCCGCGCTCTTCCACTCCATTTATGGCACCGAGGGCTTCCAGGGCTACGCGCTGCCCTTATCGCACCGCGGCGAGATCGCCGGCCTGATCGGCGCCAAGGCGGAGCGGCTCGCGTGGATCTTTTGCATGGTGGACCGCGCCACCGTGGATGCGACCGTCTTTGCCGCGGCCGAGGGCGACTGGCCGGTGTCGCCACTTTCAAGACACCTCGGAGACACCTCCTACCCACCTCTAAAGCCACGCCCGTCAAAACGCGCCTCCGCCTCCCACGATAAGTCGCTCGCCCGGCAGGCCGATGGCGTCGAGTTCGCCTTTCGCGCCCGGCCCGAGCTCGGCGCCTTCCCCCTCCCCCTCCGGTCGGGCGGGACGCGTCACTCAGAATGGCTCGACTTTCTCACCCTCTCGCTGGCGGACTGGCTCGAGCAAGTGGAAGGTGCCTCCTCCAAGCAGGTCGGCCGCCCTCGACACACGCCCCCGACACGTCCCCGACACGTCCCCGACACGTCCCCTCCTCCGAGCAGGTCGGCCGTCCGGTCGGCGACGGCGCGCGGCAGAGTAGTGCAGTGGCAGAGGAGAGTGGTGCAGTGGCAGAGGAGAGTGGTGCAGGGGCAGAGGAGAGTAGTGCAGGGGCAGAGGACAGTGGTGCAGTGGCAGAGGAGAGTGGTGCAGTGGCAGAGGAGAGTGGTGCAGTGGCAGAGGAGAGTGGTGCAGTGGCAGAGGAGAGTGGTGCAGTGGCAGAGGAGAGTGGTGCAGTGGCAGAGGAGAGTGGTGCAGTGGCAGAGGAGAGTGGTGCAGTGGCAGAGGAGAGTGGTGCGGGATGAGCACGGCGCAGAGGGCGAGGCGCCGTGGGCGGCGGCGGTGGGGAGAGGGCTGACGTGGGTCGCGGTGTCCGCGCAGGTGTGCTCTGGCCGAAGGGCGAGGCGTGGGCTTACCGGCGAGAGAGGAGTGCGGAGAGGGGCGCTGCTGTGGATAGGTCTCGTCACGCCAGGATGCCGCGAATAGGCGCGAGGCGTACGCAGAGATGGCGGCGTTGCTCGCCCGTCGGGCGGACCCCGCCTTCCGGCGCAGCGTGCTCGGAGAGGCGGAGGGGAGCGAGGCGCGTTCCTCCGCCCATCTGCCCACCTTCTCTCCTCGCCCCTCGCCCGCGGCACGCCTCCCTCTCCACCCCGCCTCGGACACCGCCTCTCCCTCCTCCAGTCCCGCCTCGCACCGCCGCCTTCCCGCCCCTGCGGCAGGTGCCGCCGGAGGACGCCGCCGTCGCCCTCGCGGCGCCGGCCATGCACGCCGAGGTGGTTGGGAGCGAGCCAGCCACTTGTCGCGCCGCTCCTCGCCGTGACGGACTCCACTCCGCTCGCCAGGTGTTTGGGCGCGAGCCGAGCTGGTCGCGCGGCATCTCGCAGCCAACCACGCCGCCGATGGGCGCCGCCGCCCTCGCGGCGCACGAGGCGAGGGAGAGCGCGCGCTGCGATTTTGGCTGAAAGGGACGCGATCGCCACCGGCACCGCGGGCTAGCGGCTTAGCCCGCGTAATTGATTTCTTCTACATAAACCGCCCGCAGAAATAACACTGTGTGGAACGGGCTAGCTCAAGGTTGCCTTATTAGATTGTCAATGGAGAATGGCCGCGTTCTCGCCCCTTTCCTGTACGCGTGGGTCTCAGAGGACGAATGCGCACCGGATCTTCGAGGACTTCAAAGTCGGCCGCGCCCCACGGCTATCCCGCCGGCTATCGAGTGTCGCAGCGCGACGCGCTTCACCCCTCGACTCCACGCGCTGCGTGTCAATCGGGAGACGACGCTCGGCCACCGCCACTCCACCCTGACGTGACGCACATGCGCCGAGTGTCCCCCCTGAGGGTGTCCTTGTATAGTATGCTTGGTTGCGAGTTAAAAAAAGCCCGTTCCGCACCCGCACCCAGCACCAGTACACATGCCGTTCTGCGCCCCTCGGCTGGCCAGAGGACGACTCACAATGCAAATCGGAAAGACATCACGAGGGGCCGTATAAACGGTGCCGCAGCGGCCCGGGACACTAACAGTGAGTTGCTGCCAATCGCCCGGCCTCCTCCCCCTCGGGATCGCCCGGAAAGTGGGCTTGCGCACTGGCGCCCCCCCCAGCACGCCGACCCGAGGTGTACCCTCCGGCCACCTGGGAGGGGAGCGGAGTCCGATTTTGGCCCATTGGCTTCATCATGATGGATACGGAGGTGGCCAGCCCTTGGTTGTGCACCTGCGGCGCGAAGAGGAGGTGATCTCGGCGGACGACGGCCATGCCGAGAGCGCGCGCAGCGCGGAAGAGGGTGCGCAGCGCGTCGCGGCCGCGCGCTTGGGAGCCGGGGGGGTGGCCGGAGGGGGCGGGACGCCTGCATGTCCTCGAAGCTCCCAGCCGCATACGCAAGCCGAGCCGCGAACGGCGGGGAGGGAGTTTTGGAGGGTCAGCCAAGGACGCGCATGGCGAGTGACAAACTAACGCAACCTCGCCCCTCCCTGGTTTCTCATCGTGAAATAAAGAAAGAAAAACAGACTGACACACAGCCCCGCACGCCGCAGCCGCTTGAGATGGAGTGTGAAGGCTTCGAGCTTCGTAGCCCTCCCGCCTCCGGTCTCGACTATGAAGATCCGCAGGATCGGAGCGAAAAAAAGCAAGCGCGAGTCTGTGCACATCACAACTTCTAGGAGATGGTTAAAAAGGAGCAAGTCCCCCGCGCCCATGCGTACCAATGCGGTCTGGTTTTGCAGGGTTCTTTTTGTGGGGGGTGTCGGGGCCCGTAACGCCTCGGGGTGTATGGTCGGCGCGAGCGCGCGACTAGCCGGGGGGGTCGTCCTGGGACAAATGTGGGGACTAGCACTCTAGCCGTCTTCCACATGGTCCCTCGCGCCTCGCGGGTCCCTGCTTGGAGCACTTGGAGCTCTGTTGCTCCTAATCTCTTCGTACATCCTCCTGCTGATCTCCGCAAAGTCCTGCTCCCTGGCTCCCTCGTCTCGCCCTGCGCGTCTGCTCCAACTCTCCCCCGTCGTCTGCCCTGCGTTCTCTGCTCCCTCGCCTCCCGCTTGAGCCGCCCTCGCGGCCCTCGTTCGTCCCACTCACCCACTGGCTGTTGGCCCGCCCCTGCTTCGCCTCCGTTATCCCTCCTCCTCCGCGACTCCCTCAAGGCTGGCCGGGCATCCTTCCACCCAGCGAAGAGCTTCCTCAGCCATTCGATGTGTTCCTCTCTCTTGATTATGCGCGCTATACTAGTAGCCTCATCATTCAGCTGGTGTCACCTCTGCACCGCTCCCGTCGCAGGGCCCGCCCCGGCCACGATTTGTAAGTTCCTCGTGACCCCGGCGCCAAGGTCCCTCCGACTCTTCTCCGAGAGATCATCTACCAGCGCTGTACCACAAGACTCAAGAGCACAAACCGGGTCGACGGAATTTTGGCACATGTTTAATCGGACGACATTTTGGTTCCAACAGTGGTTAGATCAGATGCAACAGATATTCGGTGCAAACCCTGCAAGCAATCAAACGCAAATGGGCCCTCAATTAGGCTATATGTTTAGGCCGGTGTTCTCGACGGTTCTTCCACGCGGTTCCAAAGCGCAAAAAGGTGCAACTGCAAGCGGAGAGGCGAGAGCGTGCGCGAGACCCGAGCTGAGGGAGGGTGTAGAGAATGTAGAGTGTAGAGCGCTGTCTGTAGAGCTGTAGAGATGTAGAGCGCTCTGGAGCGCTGTAGAGCTCTACAGCGCTCTCCAGCTCTACTCTACAGCTCTACAGCGCTCTACATTCTACATCCTCTACACAACACCCTCCCGCCTCCCTCACGCCTCAGGACCCGAGAGCATGAGCAAGGGTTGACGGGTGTGTGAGGATGAGGGTTGGCGGAGTACGAGAAGGGTGAGCGAGGGTTGATCTTGTGCTCGACGGAGTTTCGTGTGTTCTGTCGACGGACGTGTTTTGTGTGTTTTGGTTCTCTAATGAGAGTCCGACGACGGCCGATCAACCTGTGCACACCAACTTTCTCGGCTTGGGCGCAGCGCGGCGCAGGGAAACTTATTGGCAGTAAAGCAAAAAAAGCCGTGCACATCACACACACGCCAGCACGCCACGATCCAGCCACACTGCTGCTCACGCAGCAAGATCGAGCTCACGCATCAGCCCGAATTGCATCCAGCCAACCGGTGGCTTATCAAGGCGACTCCCCCACGCCCCGCCCCTGTAGACTGGGGCCGCCGGAAGAGCCGAAAGGATGCACGTCGTGGATGCAATGGCCAGACACATCTTCACCTTGTCACCGTACGAGAGGCTCTTCGGGCACGATTCCAGCCACGATTTGTACCAGACTGCGGGAAAGAAAAGGACGAAGATGGGGACGATAGCAACAAGGACACCAATCGATTGACCGACGAACATTATCGGAAGGACATTCGGCGCACGGCCCTGAGTCGAACACGACCACTTTGCCATTGGCTCCATCAAAGCGTCCACCACGATACGACCCGTCTCAAACATCATGGGAAAGTAGAGGGTCGAATAGTAGCTGATGAGAAGGCAGATGGTGACGGTCGCTGCACCGAATAGAGCCCCGTGCTCTCAGCTCGCTTCCGTCCAAATGTGCGTGCGTGCGTGACGGACGGGCCCATTTGCGTGTTGCCGCTTGATTGATTGACGCGCTGACACGCTTGCCTCACACACAGACTTCTGACATGTGACACACGGTCGCACACGAATGCATTCTCCTTTCTTTTCTATTCTCTCCCACCACATCGACGCGAGCGCGATTGGCGAGAGCTCTGGCCTCTGCGGACTGCGCGCGGGATATACACACATACTCATACAACACGGCTCGTTACAATTCAGGTTCTTTCCACTGAGTGGAAACAAACTGGGTGTCAGCGGAGAAGACTTTGTTCACTGCATGCAAAGCCCGACGTGTGATCGTGAACCACCGAATTGGGCAAACAAACAAGGGGAACCTCCCTCTCCGTCAGAGTTCGCTCCCACTGAGGTACTCCGCTTTTCATTTTTCGCAGAGGCCCCTTATTGTGTAAGGGAGAGCGAGACTCATCATTTAGAGAATGTGGGAGGACCGAGCCCGGGACCGCGTGAGCGCTGCAGTCCTGCAGTCGCACACACGCGCGCTTAGAGTTATGCGCGCTACGCCTACGGTGGAACTCGTGTTTAATTGAGCAAGGCTGACCCCTACCCCTCCCTCTCGGTGGGCTTGCAGGTAGGGGGTTTGGGTAATAAGGTGCATCGGGGTCGGCGGGCGTGAACTGGAGTGATACCCGCTTCGGCCGTTTAGTTGCGAACTGCCTTTCCGGTCGACGGCCTTCTTTGTCTTGCTGGGTGTATGTGTCTTCGATCTAACCACCGAATTGGGCGGGCCCCCGGCGCCAAAAAATGGTCGGCGCCTTCGATCAAGTCATGGAGCCGCTGTCAGCCGTGGAGCTCAAACTGCAAGCCTGCCCAGAATGTAACTGCGAGAGCATCACGCTGCTTGCACAGCGGCCACCACCTTTCGAGCCGTATGCATTTGCAATGCGTATCCCAAAGCCCAATCAGCCGCTGCGCGAGAGAGCACTCGAATTGCTTACAGCACGAGCCGTGACCATTGCCGCGGCCATCATCGGCACCGCGCACGTCAGCCTCGTCTGTGAGTTTGATGAGACGTTCCAGGCATTTGGCGCCTTCTTTCACAGCAACCCAAAACTTGCGGCGCACCTGAAGCAATACGGCCAGGAGTTCAAGGTGAGTCGCGCGCAACTGGACGACGTGCCATCCGTAATGCGCTCGCTGCCATTCATACCAGCATCCGCGGCCCACAGCAAACACGACAACTCCACCGCAGCAGCAGCCGGCGCCAGCGGCAATCTTGCCGACCGCGACGTCTATATCGGCGTGGACTATGGCCGGTCTGACGTCAAGTGTGCGGCGGTCGACGTTGACGGCACGGAGCTGGCCACATACGTCACGCGCTGGTGGCGCGCGCCGGGGCGTCTCGCGGATGCGGATGCGTGTGCTGCTGCGGTGCCGGTGCCGGTGGAGGAGGGATCACGGGAGTATGTGGATCCGGCGATGTTGACGACCATCGAGGCGCCGCTGCGCTGCATGGGTGAGGCGGCCATCGAGGTGATAGGCAAGGCGGCAGCAGCAGCCGCAACTGCTGCTGCTGCTGCTGCTGCTGCTGCTGCAAAGGACGGCGAGAGCGAGAGCGCAGCAGCAGCAGCAGGCGGCGGCGGCGGCACTATTCGAGTGTGCGGCCTCGGCCTCTCCGCGGCGGGATGCGTGATCGACGGCAAGCTCTGTGGGCTGCCGCCCGCGTTTGCCGGGTGCGATCCGACCGCCGCCGCACCCACCCTTAGAGTGCTCGAGAAGGCGTTGTGGCGGTTTGTGGCGAGGCACGTCTCCGCGCGTGTTGAAGGGGCGCGCGTTGATGGGGCGCCGACGGCGGCAGTGACGATGGTCGCACCGGGTGATGCAAAGACGTTTCTCGTGAATGACGGCGACGCATCCGCGCTCTGGGGCAGCAAGGGCCTTGCCAGCGCCGAGGGTGAGAATGCCACGGCCATTGGGCTCTATTTGTCATGTGGCACGGGCCTCGCTGGCGGGGTAGTCAACGCGAGGGGCGAGCGGTGCAGTGGGGGCGTCTTCGAGATGGGTAAGCTGATCGTCGGCCTGCCGAGACCCCCATCTGTCCGAAGTGTCGAGGGTGCCAGTGCAGGCGTCGGCGCTGGTGCTGCTGCTGGGGCTACCGCCGCGACGACAGCCATGGCCCTGCCCACACACGACACGCTCGGCGTGGCCGGGGCGGCGCAGGGCATGGCGGGCACGCAGCGCTCCTTCTTCCATCTGCTCGCGGCGCGCGGTGGCGCGCGGATCGAGGGCAAGGCCGAGCAGCGCTCTGCGATCGTGGCCATGCAGTCGAGGCCGCTGGACGCCGCGGTGCGGACCATGTTCGAGCAGCTGGGCACCTCGCTCGCGCAGTTCGTGACGGAGCTGGGCGCGTACCTGCCGTTCCAGCTGACGCACGTCGAGGTGGGGGGCAAGCTGACGGACGCGGCGAGCGGCGAGGTGATGCTCACGCGGGCGGGGCGGTACCTCGCGCCGTATGGCATCAGCGTGCGCCGGGCCAACGAGTCGGAGTTTGGGCAGGCGCTTGCGATGGCGGAGTGCGCGCGAGATGCGCCCGTGGGTGGTGTGGAATAAATAAATAAAAACGGACACCTCTACTGTGAGATGGGTAAAAAGGAACAGGTCCCCGCCCTTGCGATCTTTGTGCCGGGTTCTTCGTGGGTGTGGTCGGCGACTAGCCGGGGGGTCGTCCTCCCGATGGGGGACTAGCACTAGCCGTCTGGGTGGTGTGGAGTGACAGAGAGAGAGAGTTTCTGAGTTTGAAGTGGCCGCCGCAGTGGAAAAGAGTGAAGTTCTGTAAGTCTCTGCAAACCGGCTCGTCGTGCGCCGATCGTCGCAAACGAAGTCGACACACACACACACACACACACACACACACACACACACACACACACACACACACACACACACACACACACACACACACACACACACACACACACACACACACACACACACACAGTATTTGGGGCCCGGAACGCGCGCGCGTGACGTGCAGACAGGGTCACAAACACACACACCACACACCACACACACACACACACACGCACACCACGCAGTGAGTGAGTGAGTGTGAGTGTGAGACTGTGAGAGTGTGTGTGTGTCGCGCGCGCGTGGTGTGTGTGTGTGTGTGTGTGTGTGTGTGTGTGTGTGTGTGTGTGTGTGTGTGTGTGTGTGTGTGTGTGTGTGTGTGTGTGTGTGTGTGTGTGTGTGTGTGTGTGTGTGTGTGTGTGTGTGTGTGTGTGTGTGTGTCTGATGCGTGACCTACCTAGTAGTGTCCCCAGCCAGCTATTGCGTATTTGGGCGTGTCCACGTTGGAGCCAGGTGTGGTGTGGATGCGAGAATAGCTCCGCTGTTCATGGATGCAGGCGTAAAGCCAAGGCTCCTCTTCTTCTTCTTCTTCACGGTGTGTGTGCCAGTCCGCGCCAGTCTGCGCCCTTGTCGTGCCAGTGTGCAGTGGGACAGCGGCGGTTAGAATTCTCTCTTCACTCTTCCCGCTCAAAACAACGGCATGAAACACCCCCTCCTGGCCGCAGCGGCAGCCAACCGGCTGCACGGGCCGACGAAGAAGCAGCGCAAGGCCACCGGCGGCGGCGGCTCGCGGCCGGCCGCGCCGCGCGCCGGCATGCAGCTCTACCTCGACTTTGGGCAGCGCTCATTCGGGCGACAGATCACCTGCCCCGAGTGCGGCCTGATGTACACCGAGGGCGAGCCGAACGACGAGGCGGGTCACCGCGCACACCACGAGCGTGCGCTGCGCGGCGCGCCCATGCGCGAGTGCGAGAGCGAGTCCGTGGCCTGCCGCCTGCCCGACGGCAGCCGCATCTGCGTGGTCGACGTGGCGTCGGCCGAGCCGCAGCTCAGGCGTGCGCGCGAGGCGGCCACGCTGATGGCGCGCGATTTCGGCGAGTTTGAGTTCCCACCCGACTACCGCGCATTTCTTGCCATCGGCGCCGACGCCCGCCTCCGCGGTGTCGCAGTGGCGCACCCGATCCGCTCCGCTCACCGCGCGATGAGGGTCTCGGACGGCAGCAGTGGCGGCGGCGGCAGCAGAGACGTGGTGCGGTGCGGCGAGGAGGCGGTCCCGGCGAGCTGCGGCGTGTCGCACATCTGGGTCCTGCCGGCCCACCGCCGCCGCGGGCTCGGCTCCCACCTTCTCGACGCGGTGCGGAGGCACATGGCGCTCGCCTTTGAGGTCGGCCGGGAGGTGTGACCCTCCGCCTCTAGCCCGCCTCTCGTCCCTCGCCCGCCTCTCGCCTCTCGCGTCGCGCCTCGCCTGCCCCGACACCGCGCCTCGCCTCTGCCCTCACCGCGCCTCGGCGTGCCCCGCGCCCGCAGGGACTCGCCTTTTGCCAGCCGACCGAGGCGGGCTGCGCCCTCGCCGCCTCGTACGTGGGGGAGGAGCGGCTGCTCGTGTACGCCTCGGCGGAGGACGCGTCGCGGGACGCATCCGATTCCGCGACGGGCAAGACGTAATTACCCGCACCGTGGAGAGACCGGGAGGCACGGGCCGGACGTCTCCTACCCGCTACCGGTGAGCGATCCGTGGTTTTTTTGTGATTGTGCGGTAAACCGTGTGCGTGACAAGGGGACTGAAGGTGTGTGTACGCTGCTTTTTCAATCGGGGAAATCCAACGTCAACGTCAACGCCGAGACGCGACTCTGATCTCTCTCTTCTCTGAGACCCCTCTCAGCTCGAGGCGCTCCTCCCACCTCCGGCCACCGGCGGCGGCGCTGACGTCGACGTGCGGGGGCACGACGCTTGGACGACGAAGGGCACGCGGTCAGCTCTAACCTCTTCTCGTGCTTCGCAGCCGGAACGGTCGAGGTCGGGCTCGAATCTGGCTCGATAAGACCTTGTCGGTCTCGGCAGTCAGTCTCTCCGGGTCGAGTCGCCTGGCGGTGAAGTGTGGGGCGTGAGTCACCGCCAGAGTAAGCCCCGTTCTGTTCGAGGGCCCGCCCCAGGAGAGGCGAGGCCCCGACACGCATGACTGTAGACCAATCGCGGCGGGGACCCGCGCGCGGGCAGACTCGGGCGCCCCTCCCGTCACTGTCCTCCGGAGAGAAGAGACGAACAGGGGCGACCCTCTCCGTGCGCCCGCGTCGCGGGGCCCGTGCCGTCATGGCTGGCACTCTCTGCCCGAATGCCCGGGGACTTTCCTCAGAGCCAATCCCCCCGAGGGGGGTCGAGATCTCGAGAGATACTCCGTGTGTCGCTCCGAAGCGTGTCTTGGCGGTGCCCCACCTGCGATGCTCGAGATCCGGTCGGGGAGATCCTGGGGAGATCGAGGTCGAGATTCGGTGCGAGGCGAGCCCTCGCCCAGAGGCAGCAGAGGTGCCGGCGGCGTCTCGTCGCTCGTGAGGGGCGAGGACGTTGCGGAGGCGCGGGCCCGTTGAGCAGGAGCACCTGAGGTGAGGCGGTGGGGTTGGGGGGGCGGGGAGGGAGGAGGGGGGCGGGGAGGGGGCACGGCGCGCGCGCAGCGGGGTGGGCGGGGTGCGTCCGGCCTCTCCCGCGCGCTCATTTCCCTGAAAATGGTTGTTGCGATCCCCACAGACCCGCCCGCCGCCCGCCGCCGCGTGCCCTCCCGGAGGTGGGTTCGCTTCTGCGGCCCGGGAGAGGGGGGTGCGAGCCCCGCCCGTCCGTGGGGCGGTTAGGCCCGGGCAGCGGGAGTGGGTTCGGCATAGCTGTGCATAGAATCATCGCGGCGGGGCGGCGAAGAAGGGGAAGGGAGGAGCCGCGGGGGGGGGGGGGGGCTCACCAGACATGTTCCACAATCACTGCAAGTAGAAGCTGGCGCCGAGTAGCGTGCCGCCGCTCGTGTGCAGCTCGACGCCGCACCCGAGCTCGCCTACCGCCAGCAGCCGCAAATCAACGCCAACTCAGAGGCGGCCCGACTCTCGGCGGGAGGAGGCTGCCAAACGCGGTGGAGACGTCTGTGCGCTCGACATGGGCCGCGGCCACAGCGGTGCTGTACGCCAGGTACAGCTCGTCCTCTCGCCTGTACTGGAGATACGCGCTCAAGCGAGCCAAGGGGGGGTCGCGCGCGAGGCTGGTGTGGCCACCGCTCGAGAGACGGGGGAGGGGCACCGGCGCGTGCGGCGCGTGCAAGGCTCGCAGCGATCGCTGAGTGATTGGATTGGAGATGTAGTATCAGCGCTGGCAGGTTGTCCTGGAAGCTCCGCGCGGCCTCCCGGAGCTCGATCTCGAGCGCAGCAGCGCCGGAGCGCCCCGCCATAAATGCGCGCTCGCTGTTGAGGGCGTCGAGCGCGTCGCCAGGAGTCCAAGCGACTTCACGGTGGCAAGAGACGGGCCAGGCCCTCGCGACCCTCTCTCCTCTGCTCGCAAACACTCACGCCCCCCACAGCAAATCGGTTTTTGCCCTTAACTAGTGCGATTTCCCACCACTGCCAAGCGAAAAATAGGCCATCAAAAATCGCCAAAAATCGCACTAATCTCGACGCGCGTTTAGGTTAAGGGTGCGTCGAGATCCAAAACTCGACGCGGCCAACTAGGAGCGCAAGCACGAGCTCGAGATGCTCAAGGCGGGCGCGGCGGGGGGTTGCCACCCGCAGTAGGGCCCCTTGCGCTGCCAGGCGACCGAGGCGCAGGTGCAACTCTGCTGGGCGCGAGGCAGGGGCATCGCCCTGCTGAGGCGTACGTAGCGGCCAGACGGACGGTGCGGTGTATGCCGCGCTGAGCCTTTGGCAGGGGGTGTTGGGGTGGAGTGGTGTACAGAGTGTCGGGTACAAGGTACAGAGTGTGGGGTGTACTGTCGGTGCAGGTACAGGTGCACGTGTTTTATGCGAGACGTACGATTTCACGAGAAAACGAACCCTTGCATGCGATATTTCTTTTTCCGTCCACTTCGCGCCAATCCTATAGTAGGCGGCGATCGAATATACGGACATCTACAAGAAACTTGCGTCCGTTCCCTGGTCCGTCCTTGGGGCGATGTGAGGCGGGCCTGCCTGGGTGGAATCGCGCTCGCCCTGGTCGGGACCAGCCGTCTCCACCGTACTCGCTCCTCGCGGCGCCGTGATCGGGCGAGGGTGCGCCAGCATGTGCGCCCCTTCCTCCCGCACGCTGTGGCTTGCGTAAGAAGGCTTGCGAGGCATGGCAGTCGAAGCGAGGGCCGGCGACAGCCTGAGGCGCGCCGCAGCGAGGGCCGGCGACAGCCCGAGGCGTGCCGAACCCGCTCTCGTGTGGAGCACCGCCCTGATCCGTCCCAAGGGTCAGCCCGGGGCCGATTGCGCCGCTCTCCGAGCAACCCATCACGAGGAACCGCCCGCACATTTGCCCCTCTCGCCGCAGGCTCGCGGCCCTAAATAGGCCATCCGGCGAGAATTCTGGTCGCTCCTGCGCGTGGCTCGAGCGACGGGCGACCGACCGCACCCTCTCCCGCGCCCGACGCGCGCAATCGCGCCCTTTGCCGAGCACGTGCAAGCAATCTACAAGCCGGGTCTGCTCTCGATCACAATGTATCGGACTGAGTCTATACCCGGTATGCTTCCCGTGATCGATATTTGGGCAAGCCTGGTAAGCTAACATACTACGACACGTGCACAGGGCACTAATAGCCGCCTGCTGCGACCCGCGCGCGAATCTTTGCGATGTCGAGCCCCAAGCTGTTCTCAGCCTCATCAAGCTGGGCCCACGCCTCGGTTTCGCTGACGAGCCGCGACCAAAGAAGGTCCCGCAGCTCGTCCCGTTGGGACGACGGCTTGCTGCACTTCCGTCCCACGCATCCGCCAAAGATGTTGCGGTTGCGCGTCTCGTGCGAGCAGTGCGCGACGCCGCGCCGGCTGCACGAGGGGCAAGCCGTCGCCTTGAAGGAGTCGAAGAAGGTTTGCCAGCCCTCGTCGGACGACATGTCCGAGATGCTGAGCTCTGGCCCACCTTCCCGCTGCTGGTGGATGGTAAACATGTTGTGGAGAATAGCGGAGGTGTAGATTAGCTGCGAGAGCCGCTTGTGGCCGAAGCCGTGCGCGCAGTGGAGCAGGAAGCGAAACCTGAGGGGCGCGCGGCGTGTCGCGGAGTGTCGTGGGCTTCGGCTGAGAGTCCCTTTAGGCCCAAGTGCGTACTCATACTAGCGGCATACCGGTTCTTCCACCGGCCGAAAGTCTCCTCGACAAAGAAGCGCGTCGACGAATGGCAAAAGTTGAGCCAGTGCTCCTGCTCCGTTTTCGGGTTGGAGTAGCCTTGGAACATGACTCCGTCGCCATCGCTCGCGCCGCCGTCGGTGATGATCATGCCGTTCGGGCCCAGCCATGCCCGGCGCGCCGCCTCGCCTACGGGGAGACTGTCAGTTGGGAGCGCGGCCAAGCGAGCGAGTGCTATGGTGCAAGAGAGGTGAGAGGGCACACAGCGCGGGCAACGAGACTCACTCGACTTGATCGCCGCCAGATGCCGGTTGTCTTTGAGTACCGTGTTGTCTCCGCACCGCCCGGCATGGCCAGTGTCGACAGAAACAAAGAGATGGAACGAGTTGACGAACGCCACTGTCAGGATCGAGTGCCAGCCCTTGTAGTTTCGGTAGTCGCTCTCGTGGGTGTCAATCGGAACATGCGTCCCATCGCAAGCCTCCGCAACGTTGGGCACTCCCCGCCGTGCTGCAAACTCAGAGCGGACCCTGTCCAGCTGCGCCGCCGATGGCGGCGTGTTGGGCATGTAGATGGGCCTGAGCACAAGCATGACTGCAGCGGCAAACTGGTCGAGGTACGACCTCACTGTAGCCTCGCCGCAGCTGGCAGCGTCACCGCAGGTCTTGGGGGTGACACCCGTCTGTGTCAGGAAATAGAGGCAGACCGCCACCTTGAAGCGAAGAGGTCGGAAGAGTGTCGGGTTGCCCCGCCCGCCTTGCCTGCTCACCATGTATGGCGCCCCGGCTTCCAGCTGTCCAACGAGATCATCAAACTGGCGCCGCGTGCAGCGGAAGTTGGCCAGGTAGGTCGCATCGTCGCCCTTCAGCACGTAGTTCCAGATCGTGCTGCAGCTCCAGCCGCCCTCAGTCCGATGGATCTGGCGGCGGGGCGGAGGTGGAGGTTGAGTCTCCGCCTCCAGCTGCACCGCTGCGAGCACCAGAGCGGCGCCCGACAGCCGGCTCGTGCAGGGCCAGTGTCCGCCCTCGCGGCTGTGTCGAGGCAGCTCGACTCCCGAGGCGCGGCCTTTCAGGATGCCACGTGCGCCAACCGTCAACGCCACGCGCGAGAGCATGTGTCCACTGTGCAACGCGGCGGCGCGATCAGTCACGGGACGACCGACGGAAGCCGTCTAAGCCACAAACTCGCTCTCGCAGAGCAGGTTTTCACCGATTTGCTGTGGGCGTTGGCTGAAAATAGCACTAGTTAAGGGCCAAGTCAAGCGAAAATCGGCCCAACGAAAACAGCACTAGTTAAGGGCAAAAACCGATTTGCTGTGGGGGGCGTCACCCATTTGATTGTCGCTGTCCGTGAGTGCGAGATTAGGGCTAGCCGCAGGCAGCTAGCCCATGAGGAGGGCGTCCATAGACACCTCACTAGACCCCACATACGGTCTCGTCCGTGCCTTGCGGCCGGCGAGATTGCTAGAGGTGGAGCATGCTGCTCTAGCCTAACATGTCACTTCCTGTCGTCTGTTGTTTGTTGTGCTCTTGTTTGTTTCTCTTGGCACCTTGGAGTGCTGGGGGGGCGACAGGGAGGATATGGCCTTGAGTTATGTGTACGCCAACTCAGGGTGTGTGGCAGCCAGCTGGCTGTGTGTCTTGTGAGCCTTTTGTGTCTGTGTGTCGCTCGTGCGTGTCGTCATCATCTGTCCAGCGTCCACCCATACCGCGTTGGTGTCCAGTCCGAGCCTGGCTGTTCTTCACCTTTCTACCTACCTACCTACCTCTCTCTGTGATCTGTGATCTGTGAGGGTCCGCCCGCAGGCGCATTTTGTATACCGAGGCGGTGCCCGGTGCCGAGCGCAGGCCGGAGCCCACAGGTCGGACCTTGAGACAGCATTGTAGATCCCTGGGCGAGGGTGGTGGAGAGGCTTGCGGATGCGTGGAGGCGCTGGCTGGGCGCTGGCTGAGCCCTGGTGTCGAGGTGTCGAGGCCCGGTGTCGAGGGTGTCGAGCTGCTGTCGAGGGATAGAGGTGTCGAGGCCTGTCGAGGCCTGTCGAGGCCTGTCGAGGCCTGTCGAGGCCTGTCGAGGCTGAAACCATGCTTGTCCGTGTCGAGGAGTGTCGAGGGGTGTCGAGGGGTGTCGAGGGTGTCGAGGGTGTCGAGGGTGTCGAGGGTGTCGAGCGGGTGTCGAGCGGGTGTCGAGTGTTGTCAAGAGGCGTCTGAGGTATCGAGGTGTCCAAGGTGGCAGGTGGATGCAGTTGCAGCCCATCAACATACAACAAAAGTTGGGCAGCAGTTGCAAAGCTGTTTCATCCCTTAGTTGCAGCCTCAGTTGCACCCTGTTGATGTAGCACAACCTGAGCACAACCAGTATACTCTCTGTGGACATTTGAGGACATCAAGTGCCGGGAGTCATTGCCACTGTGCACCAAGGTGCTGTGCAGGCGCAGCACCGCAGCAGCGTCGCTGCTGCAGCAGCGTCGCTGCTGCAGCGTCACCGGCGCACAAAGCGCAACTGACCACAGCGCTCATGGCACAAGGCTGGTGCCATGAGTCAGTGGACATTGCCACTGCACAAGGTGCTGTCCAGCAGCTAAGGGCTACAGTACCCCATCGCAGCAGCGTCGCCGCCGCTGCAGCGTCGCCGTTGCAGCGTCGCCAGTGCACAAAGCGCAATGGACCACAGGTCTGCACTCATGGCACAAGCTCACTGGTGTGAGGATTCATTGCCACTGTACAAGGTGCTGTGCAGCACCTTAGGGCTACCTGAGTACTGCCATGTTTGCTGCATCAACAGGGGTGCAACTGAGCTGCAACTTGAGCTAGAACTTGAGAGGCTGCAACTCAGGGATGAAAGTACTGCCAGCCAAGTTTGATTGCTGCTGCAACCCTGATTTCTAACTCTGTGACTCCAATGGGTCTACGTCTCTGCTGTGTTAGGATCATCAGAGGTGTCGAGCGGTGTCGAGCGATGTCGAGCGGTGTCGAGCGGTGTCGAGGGGTGTCGAGGGGTGTCGAGGGGTGTCGAGGTGTCGAGTTTGGCACCTTGACACGGACGAGCATGGTTTCAGCCTAGATGGTGTCGAGGGGTGTCGAGTTTGTCGAGTTGGCATGGGTTGTCGAGGTGTCGAGTCGGTGTCGAGGTTTGGTGTCGAGGTGTCGAGGCCAGGGCTCAGGGCGCTGGGCGGTGCCGGTGCCCGTGGCGGAGGACAGCGGCCCCCGTGGCGGACCGCGGCCCAATCGGAAAAAGAATTTACAAAAGAAATCCCTCGCGGAAAAGAATTCCGGGCGCGGAGGAACGAAACGCGAGCGAGCGAGCGGAGTGCGGAGACGCAAGGAAGGACAGGGCAGTGCGAATATCAACAATCATCCCCCCCACCCCGGCTCCTCTTGGTGAAGCAGACCCTCCACCGGCTGCGCAACTCGTCCACGCCGGTGTAGCAGCCGATGATGCTGCGCGCCTCGCCCTCGCCCTGCAGGCTGAAGCTCTCCCTGCCGTGCATCACGCGGTGGTTGTGCACCACCTACGGCCGCCGCAGCCAGCGGCCGCATGCAAGTGAGGACGCGAGGAGATATACGGGGCACCCCGCCTTTCGCCGGGGCGGGCCGACCGTGCAGTCGCCCTCGCGGAGGGACAGAGTCAGCCGCCGCCCCGGCTCCTCGAGCACCGCGTCCCACGCCGCCAGAGCGCGCTCCACCTCGGCGTACCTGCTCACGGCCAGGCGCCGTGAAGAGCCGCCGGCCGCACGCTCCAGCGGCCTGCGACCCGGCGGCGCGCCAGCCGTCGACGTCGCGCACGCTCGCCGGCGGCCGCGGCGGCAGGCGGTCGAGGTCGTTGTGCCGTATGCCCGTGAGCGTCTTCTCGTCGAACGGGTCGACCGACAGGACTGGCCCGGCAGCCTCGAGGTGCCAGCCAGTCGCCTGCGGAGGGGGCGGGCGGCCGAGTAGGAGGAGCGGTGAGCGGCGGCGGCGGGGAGAGGTCTGTGCGTCGCGGGCGTGGGTGTGGAGTGCATGGCTGCTTGCCGTGTCGACGGATCGGTAGCCAAACACGACGCGGCGCAGCGTGGCGAAGGCGGCTGGGTCCGCGTCTCGCAGCCGGTGCGCGGCGGCAAAGCCGTCGAGATAGGTGGAGGCGCCTGGAGGGCGGAGGGCGATGAGAGCTGGGGCTGTGGGCCCGCGGGTGGTGCAGAAGGGCCTCTCGCGCAGCGGAGGAGTGGCAAAGATGGGGCGCAGCCGAATGCGGGCAGTCCCGGCTGCTGACGCGACCACAGGCAAGCCTCGTGTGCCGCATCTCGGGGCGGAGGGCGCCGGAGCCGTCGGGCGCGGGACTCGCCATGTTGAAGAGCTGGAGGCCTAGAGAGGGACAAGCGCCGCGGACGCGTCGCGGACGTGCCGCGCCCTCGCGCGCCGATGCCGCAAAAGGCGCGGCGCGCCGGGCGGCGTCGCGTGGTAAGTCATGTCGGTGTGGAGGGGGAGGCTGACGGACGAGTAGGCCGAGTCGGCTGTGCTGGTGCCAGACGGCTGCCCGCCGACAGAGGTGGACCAGACGGCACCGTAGAGCGTGCGGTACGGGCCCGAGTCGGAGCCGTTGGACTGGGTCGGGTGGCCGTGCCGCACCGCCTGCGTCCGGGCGTCGGGGAGGCAGCTTGCTCGGCCGCCGCCTCCGCAGGTGGGCAGAGGAGTGCGTGCTTGCTGCTCCTACTCCTGCGGCGTACCTCGGCGGGCGGGGTGGGGTAGCCGCCAGTGACGGTGCGAGAGAGGTCTCGCATGCCCTTCTCGGTGGGCGGCGTCTGCGTGACGAGGCAGAGGCCGGCCGAGTAGAGCTGGCTGAGCAGCCACTCTGCAGCCTACTCGCAGCGAGCCTCCTCACACGCGCTCGCCTGAGCAGAGCTGGCAGAGGCTCCTCTCCGCGCCTCGCCGCCGCCCTTCTCACACATCAGCTCCTCGAAGCGGATGGTGGGCGGCGAAAAGCTGTCGCCTGTCCACAGCGCGAGCGGCGGAGGGCGAAAGACGCCCTGCGACGGCGGCGGCGTGGCGACGACAGCGTGCGGCTGCCGCACCGCATCGAGGTATCCGGCCGGAAAGGCGGCCTCGTCGGGCGGCGGGAGGCGAGGCTGGGACACCAGCTTGGACCCCGTCGCAGCGTCGACCCGGACGTGGTTTCGCTGGTGCGTCGCCCGGTCCCAGAGCTGAGGGTTGAGCTGCTGGAGGTACTGCGGAGGAAGCGCAGGAGCCGCGGCGGCGGTGGATAGGCGGCGAAATCGCCACCGCATTGTGGCAGAAGAGAAAACGCTGATTGAAAACGCAGCTGGGCGAGAAACCTGCTCGGGAGGTCGGGTGCAGTGCTTGGCGGCAAGCACGGCGGAGTGGCCGCGCGCGACTCACGATGCTGTTGCCGCTCCTCGTGCTCGCCGCGCAGGCCGTACACGTGGCGCTTGCGCCGTCACTTGCGCCGTCACCTAGCATCCGCGCTCGGGCTGCTTCCGCTCGCAGCGCCCTCCGCCTCGCATTACCTCCGGAGGAGGAGACTGGGCCCGTCCTCGTCGTCGGCAGCATCAACATCGACCTCTATGCCAAGCTGCGGGAGGACCGGCTCAGCTTTGGCGGCTCGCCGCCGGTGGACGTGATGCCCGTCAAGGGTATGACCCTGCCCGCCGCCTCCTTTGTCGAGAAGCTCGACGAGGCTGGGCTCGGCGGTGCTGCAGCCGCCTCGGACCCAATCTCACTCGTGCAGAGCATCGATGGTCCGTTCGTGCAAAAGACGGGGGGCAAGGGCGCGAACGCGGCGGCGGCGGCGGGCCAGACCGCCGCGTGCGAGTTCATCGGCAACCTCGGCCGCGCCTCGAGCGAGGCGAACACCGCACTGCTGGCCGACATGCAGCAGTTTGGAGGAGTCAACACGGAGGGCTGCTCGGAGCTGGAGGGCGCGCGGACCGCCGATCTGTAGCCGATCCGCCCTCGAGATGCCGCCGAGATGGAGGATGGGCGGAGCTCAGCGCCGGTGCCGTGCGCGGCAGGTCCGACGGGCACCGCTTACATCCTGCAGTTCGAGGACAACGACAACGCCATCGTGCTGGTCGGCGGCGCCAACCAGGACTGGCCCGGCTTGGCCTCGCTGCTGGGCGGAAACGAGGGCTCCGGCCTGCGAGCTGCCATCGGCCGCTCCTCCGCGGTGATGCTGCAGAGGGAGGTGCCCGATCACGTCAACGTCGCCGTCGCGCAGTGCGCGGCCGCGCTGGGCAAGGACGTCTTCATGGACGTCGGCGGTACCGACAGCCCTCTCGACCCGGCGCTGCTCCCGTACCTCGGCGTCGTCGCGCCAAACGAGTCGGAGCTTACCTTCATCACCGGGGTCGAGACCAAGGGACCCGACGGCAAGCCGGAGCTGCAGCGGGTGCGAGCCGCCGTCGCGGCGCTCAAGGACTCGTGCCGCGCCGCGGGCAACCCTTCCGTGGAGGTGCTCGTCACGTTTGGAGGCGAGGGGTCGCTCCACTTCGGAGCCGGCTGGGACGGTGCCGGCGAGGCGGCGGCCGACGGCGCGCTGCCGCTCGAGTGCCGCATGGGCTCCTTCGTGCTCGGCACCGCAGACGGGCGGCCGGTCGACACGACCGGCGCGGGGGACTGCTTCCGCGGCTCGTACGTCGCCGCGCGGTACGCGGACGGCAAGGGCGTCGCCGAGTCGCTCCGTTGGGCCGCTGCGGCGGCGTCGCTCGCGTGCGAGGTGGAGGGTGCGATGGTCAGCATGCCCGACCGAGCGAGCATCTGCGAGCGGCTGGAGGGGCCGATGGTGGGCGCGCCGCCCGCCTCGCCTGGTGCGCCGGCCCCGCAGGCGGAGATGCCGGCGGGGCTGCAGCCCGCGTCGGCGTGGGGCATCGGCGAGGTGTCGCCCGACGCGTCCCTCGTCCAGCGGGTCGAGGGCAAGAGCCGCAAGACGTGGCGGTTCTCGGACCTGTCGCGAGAGCGCGTGCAGGTGGCCGTGTCGAGCGTCGGCCGGCCGGTGCACGCCGACATCCAGCTCTGGCTCGGCCCCGACTGGACGCCCTACACGCTGCGCGCCTACAGCGAGGACGGCAAGCGCCGGCCAGTGCAGACACTCGTCGGCACGCGCTGCAAGGCAGCGATGGTCGAGGTGCGCAACTTGGGCGAGTCCGAGTTCCCCTTTGCCGCCGCCGCCAACTACGCAAAGGACCCGATGGCCTCCCTGCCCATCGAGCTGCCCGCCTCCACGCCAGGGGAGAGGGTCGACGGCGGCGCGCTCCGCTCCTTCGCGCTCGACCCGGCGGCGGGGCAGGTTGAGGTCGTGCTGCTGACTGACGGGAGGCAGCTCCGCGACGCGCACAGCCTCTCTCTCTCTCTCTCTCTCTCTCTCTCTCTCTCTCTCTCTCTCTCTCTCTCTCTCTCTCCGTTTGCGACCCTCCTCCCCCTATCCCTCCGCAGGCAGCTGAACGCGAGGGTGGAGCTGCTGGTTGGCCCAAACAACCCAAAGCAATCGTACGAGGTGTTTACCAATAATGGCGCGCTGCACCCCTCCCTTGCTGCATGCCGCCCGCTCGCTCCTTGCGCAACCCTCAAGACCGCGTAGACGCGGAGGCTAAGCAGCCGAGTCCTCGAGACGCGCGGGCTTTGCCGTGAACAGGCGAGCTGAACTCGCTCTGCGTTGCCTTTGACACTCCCGACGCCGGCGCCACCGTACGCGTCGTCAACCACGCGCCCGTCGAGTTCCCGTGCTACATCCACGTGCGGGAGAGGCGTGTGTAGCCGCGCCGCGCGGGAGCAGTTAGGTTAGAGCCTAGGGCGAATGGCGCAGCGTGGCGTGTGCGCATGTGTGCGCACTGAGCACTGCAGCCGTGAGAGCGACAGCAGCAGCAGTGAGAGTGACCGTCTCAAATATACAAGGTTTCATTGTGATGACCCACATGATTGATGACATCGTATGAACACATAGAGAGAACATTTTTTTTGTGATTTGTGTGATCACGACCCAGATCAGTGATCAAAAGGAAAAGAGGTGGGGGGTGTACTGAGAGTGTGCGGTTCTGTCTCTCATGTCGAGTAAATAGGCCGTCTTTCATGTTGTACATGTAAGTACTCAGCGTTCGCCCCAACGACAACGCGCGTGGCACTCGAGTGGGGCACAAAAGCACGTCGGACAAACACACGGTAAAAACACAAGAGCACACACCCAAGGGGGGTTGCCGAGCGCAATATGCGGCCGCTCCAGGAACCCCAACACACACACACACACACTCTCTCTCTCCAGCGTGACAGAGGACCCGAGACACAAACCGCGGCACTCCCGCTGTAAAGCGGGGTGCTCAGCAGCGTTGTGGGGAGCGATTAGGCAGGCGCTGGCGAGGCCAGCCTCGGAGAATAAAAAAGCACTTTGGAGCCGCCTCTGCTGCTTCATGCCCGCCATTGCCGCCTACTCCACCTCCGGCGCCGCCGGCCAGTAGGGGGGCGGCAGGTAGGGCGGCAGGCTGGCGCGCCTAGGAGAGTGCGGAAGGAGGTGGACGCACCTCGCCCGTGCATTAGGTGTGTGTGTGTGTGTGTGTGTGTGTGTGTGTGTGTGTGTGTGTGTGTGTGTGTGTTTAGTGAGTGAGCTAGTGTTCGGGCGTGTGAGCCGTGGAAGGGTGGGGCGCGCACTCGGCGATGCCGCGGCTCGACACCTCGACCGACAGGCCGGTGCGCTTGTCGTACGTGACGATCTTCTCCATGATAGAGTGCGCCTGTGACGCGTCATGGACGTGTCAATGGACGTGTCACGGACGTGTCATGGACGATCTTCTTCACGGCGGAGTGCGCCTGCGCGGCGTTGAGCGCTGCGGACAGCACGCCCGCCGATATGTCCGCGACGAGGGAGCGCCAGAGGGCAGACCCGTACCCGTACTCCTTGAGCTTGGAGCAGAGGGGCGCCGCCTCCTTGATCTGCGCCAGCTTGGACGCGATGGCGAGCCGCGTGTAGAAGGACATCATCGCGTCGCGCCGCACGCGGTTCATGTGCCACACGCAGAGGCGGCGGGAGCCGTACCCGCCGATGTTGCGAGGCAGCTCGCCGCAGGCGCGGTAGGAAATGGGGTCGTGGATCTTCCAGAGCGTCTTGGCGCGTTGCCGCAGCACGTAGCTCATGAACCGCTCCGCCTCATGCACGGTCTGCCGGCGGCGCGAGGTGCCAAGGATGGGGTCGTGCAGCATCTCCTGCCGGTAGGACATGACGACGCGCATCTCATCGTCCGACACGACGAGCAGGCCGAGCAGCTTGACGCGCAGCGGCTCCTGGAAGTAGAAATTAACTCGTGTCGTGGACAGTCCAGGGGGGGGGGCAGGGGCAGCGCCTCCGGGGCGCCGGCTTGTGAATTTCGCGCAGCAGCTTGCACGTCGCCGAGAGGTACGCGAGCGAGCGAGCCCGCTCCAGAACCTCACCAAAGTCGATCACAGAGTCCGAGCCTGAGCGGCGGGTACTCGGGCTGCAGCGAGATACGAGCTCGTCTACTCGAGGACTTGAGGGGAGGGTGGGCGCGCGCCTTCGGCCTGCTCCTCGACGAGGTTGTCGATGTGATCCATCGCTGTCTCCTCAAGGGACTCGAACAGAGGCTGGAAGATCGCTTCGAGTCGCTCGGGCTGGTCGGCCGGGGGCTGCGGCTTCGCCGGGGTCCCTCCATCACAACTGGGGCCCATAACGTCAACCGCCTTTCGAAGGAGAAGTCGGCATTTGCGGAGCAGCGGCATCGCTTAGCACACCTGTGGCCGTCGGTGCTGTAGCCGAACGGCTCCACGTCCTCCGAAACCGAGCACAGCACCGAGATGTTGTAACCCCCTGTTACGGCGTCCGAAGGTTTTTCTTCTCAAGGACAAGGACTGTGAACTAGAGGCCCGGGGTTGTGCGTTTATGTGAACTAGAGGCCGTCATCGCATTCCCTTCCTTCTTGGCTGGGACCCAGCCAGTGCTGCCTTCTGACTACCGTAGCTCTTTCTCCCTTCTTTCTCGACTTTCTGTGCGTGAGTGAGAGAGAGAGAGTTTTTGTGTTTGTCTGTGCGTGTGCTGCGTCTTGGCAGGGGTTTTTGTGCATAACACAACTCAGGAGTGGCCCTTCAAGAAGAAAAAATCAATATTTCTTGCTTGTCACACAGCAAATTCTTTTTTCTTGAATACAAGAAATCACGTCTCACAGAGCCGCCAACAACAAAAACTGAACCTGTTCCGCCTACTAGCCGGATAGTTTAGGAGCCCTGACACGTCCCCAACTTTTGCTTTCGCCGCTTCGCTGAAGCCAGCCCGACACCACGTCCGGCGCCGGCGCCAGAGATGGCGACTGCCCTCCCCGCGCCGTGCCAGTCGAGCCCGGCCTGGCTGCTGTGCTACCTCACCGTTCAGTCCGCCCTCCTCAACGGCAGCCAGCCCCTCCGGGTGGTGAGCTTCGCACCGAGGGCGAATGTCGGGATGGGGAACCGAATTGTGGGCCTGCTGGAGGCGGCCTTCACCGCGGCGGCCTCCGACAGCCTGCTCGCGCTCGACTATTCCAACTTTGGAGACGGATCTGAATCGCAGTACCTCCGTCCAAACCTCATCCGATGGGACGCCAGCGAGTGGCCGGCGGAGCTCCGCGCGCAAGCTCAGAGGCAGCGACAGGGCGCGGGGAAGCTGCGGACAGCCAAGCAGGTGACCGCCGCGGTCAGCGGGCAGCACAAGGCGCTGGAGATGACGACGTCGGGGGCGATGACGCTGGTCCCGTCTCTCCGTGGCACCGCCTCGCTGCAGCCCGCTCTGGCCGATCGCGTCGATCGTGCTGTCCTCAATACGCAGCCCACACGCCGGCGGCCACGCGCCTTCACAGACCGAGAAGCCGTGGCCCATCGACGCGACGGCACCGCCGTTTTCATCCGCGTGACAGTCGCGAAAGCTGCTCCTCTGGATGGAGGCGTGACCACCTAGCCATAGACGCGTCCAGTGAGCATCTGCGGACAGGCAAGTTGCTCCTGCTAATGGAGGTGGCTGCCCTTCCACAAAAGGAGTCCTCCGCCATGGCTGAGCGCGCGACAGCCCGAGATCTCCGACGCAACCACACTCGCAGACGACTTGATGTGCACGTAGACCCCGCCGCCGTCATCTGCGGCGCTACAGCCGCGCAAGCGAGAGCCGTGGACAGTCAGCTCGCAAGAGTGTAGTTGCACCGCCCCTCCGTCGTCGCCAGCATGGCAATCGGCCACGGTGGTGTCGCGCAAGGTGAGGCTACCGACGCCGTGTCCGATGCACGTGAAGCCTCCACCGTCGTCGGCCGCCGAGCAGCTGCGGACATGGCAGCTATTGAGCTGCACTGTCGATCTATCCGCGGCGAGGCCGCCGCCGTCATGCCTTGCGCAGCTCAGCCCTCCGGCACCTGGAGCCTCGCACTCCGCTTCGGCATGACAGTCTTCGATGACAGTATCATGGAGCTCAGCCTGCGCGTCTTTCAGGTACACACCACCGCCACGTGCAGCTGAGCACCCAACTATGTTCACACTTCGCAGCTGCAGGCGGCTGCCAGGGCCTACGACACTTATCCCGCCACCATCTCCATTCGGTTCCGATCCGTTTACCAGCGTCAGGTCAATGAGAGTGAGATGCGCGCCGTCTTCCACAGCAAATGCGCGGGATAGTCTCTGTGCGTCGATGACCACTGTGTTCAGGCTGCCAGTCAATGTTGCGTGCGTGCCGAATGAGACAGTGATCGGATCGCCCCCCAGAGGAAAATGCGACGCGGCAAGGAGGACAGCCCGCGTCGCTAAGGCTGGCTCGGCCGTTGGCCCGGCCGTTGGCCGCAACGCGGCTCGAATGCAACCGACGTCTGCGCAGGTGGTCTGCATGCGGCAGAGAGAAAAGCGGCGCGGCGCGCCGCAACTCTTTTACGTTCTTCTCGTCGCCCGGAATTTCAAATTACCTGGCTTTTAACTTTTTATTTTCGTGTGTCGACGGTGACAAGTGTGGCGATGGCTGTCTGCGGTGCGCGCAAGATTTGCCTTCGACGAGGGATCTTGTGATGCTGCGGGCGCCATTGCGGGCATTGCCATTGGTGAGAGAGAGATTATGACAATGAGTGTATGAGATTATATCGTCGTGAAGCGTTGCGCGTCTCTCTCCAGACACCAAAGCCGTCAGCGCTGTCGTGCGACACTTCTGCAGCAAAAATACAGAAAACAAAAACTCCGTGTCAACTGTCATGCGCTCATGCCTCCGCATAATGCGCGGGGGCGGGAGAGCGCCCGGCTTTGTGGCCGGTGGGCCGGTGCAAGACATGGAAAGGCGCGCCATCGGGAGACGCTCTCACAGGGGGGGGGGGGGGGGCCCGGAGCTCCCACACGTCAGGGGGAGCCGCCACACGACATCCAATGACTTCACAGCACCATCGTCTTCTCCAGCTCCCCCAGCGGCGCTGGCGGGGGCTCGGACGGCTGCGGCGTCGACGGCCCCGCGGGCGAGTCGGGCTGGGCCTTGTAGCTGCTCAGGTGGCTAGCGATAGCCTCGCGGAGCGAGTCGATCGACGCGTCGCGCAGGAAGGGGTCGTCGAGCAGTGTTCGCGCGGAGGGGCGGTCCGCCGGCTCCTTGACGAGGGCGGCGGCGAGGAAGGCGCGGAAGGCGTCCGACGCCTCCACGTGGCTGTCGACGCAGGGCGGCGCGCCGTTGACTATCAGCATCATCACCTGCGGCGGGCGACACGGTGTGGGCACGGGCGGTGGGGGCAGGGCGGTCGGGGATGGGGGGGGGGGGGGTCGGGTGGCGCCTGGAAGACGGCCTTGATGTTTGAGAAGGGCGGCCACATCTGCGCGAGCTCGATGGCGGTGATGCCGGCGCCCCAGATGTCCACCTTGGTGTCGTACTTGCCGTCGTCGGGCCCCGACTGCGAGAGCGTCTCCGGCGCCATCCAGTGCGGCGTGCCGATCATCGTGCCCCGCTTGGACATGGTGTTGTACAGCTGAGCAGCCACGCCGAGGTCGGCGAGCTTGACCTCCCCCCTCTTGGTGAGGAGGATGTTGGCCGCCTGCGCACGGCGCGGCAAGTGCGTCAGCGCGGCGTCCGTCCACGGCCGTGAAGAGGGTCCGGCAGGGGCGGGGGTGCGCCTTGATGTCGCGGTGGATGGTCTTGCGCTCGTGGTGTAAGTAGTCGAGCGCAGTGAGGACGCCGCGCACGATCCACGCGATCTCGCGCTCGCCGAGCGGCGCATTCTGCTTGCGCATCATGTCGAGGGTCGAGCCGACGGCGCAAAACTCCATCACCACCCACAGAGTGGATCGCATCTGGTGCTCGCGGATGAAGGCGTCCTGTCCCGGGGGGGGGGCAGGCGTTGAGGGAGAAGCAGGGGCGACGACGAGGCGCGAAGCATGCGCAAGCGCGCGCGGCGCCTTGTACGCGACGATGTGCTCGCAGGTGCACTCGCGCATGATTTTGATCTCGCGCTTGATGTCCTCGGCCGAGTCGGCCTGCAGCAGCATCACCTTGACGGCGACCTCCTCGTCGCGACACGAGCCGCGGAAGACGGAGCCGTACGTTCCCTGCCCGATCCGGTTCAGCAGCGTCGTGTCGCGGTAGCTCTTCCCCTTGCCCTTGCCCCCGCGCGAGCGGCTAGCCTCTGCGGGCGGCGCGTCCTCGGCGCGGCGCATTGGACTTTTCAGTCTTGGGGGCGGCGCGGCGGCGGGCCTCGCCGGCGATGGGTCGGAGCGCGGCGACTCCATCGTCGACGACGACGATGAGAGGCAACCGGCCTCGGTGCCTTCGTCGCCGTCGAGCGGCGGCGCTCGCCCGGCGCTCGGCCGCTGCTCGGGCGGCAGCGTGCCGAGCGTGCCCGACTGCGTCCCGGCGCTGGCCCGCTGCTGCAGCGGGAACTTGGAGAGGGGGGTGTTCGCCTCCTCGGCGCCGCTCCCTCTCCGCGGGAGAGTCGAGCCCGGGAGGGTCGAGCCCGCCACCGCAAACTGCTGGCGCGGCAGCGTCGACCCGCCGCCCGCCTCGACGAGCTCGACTTGTGCCGCGTCTACGGCCGTCACAGAGCAGCGGCGCGAGCTGCCGTCGCCCTCGCCCGCACACACCGCGAGCGCTGGGGAGATGGGGGGCGGCGGGGCGTCGGCGGCGACGTCGTCCATCTCGGAGAAGATTCGCTGCTGCGTCTCGAGCCACTCCTGCCGCACGCCCTTGCCGTGCGCCGCCTGCCACTTGTCGATCTCGAACTTGTCTGGCAGCGCGAAGATGACGGCGCGCGCGTACGGGAGCGGCATCTTGCGGTCGAGGTTGTGCTTGACAGTCTCGATGATGGGGAGCGCCTAGGTGGGGGAGAGGAGGCGGCCGGTGGTGAGAGGGCAGGGGGGCGGGGTGGGCCGATGGGAGAGGGTGCGGGTCGGTCGCCTCCATCTGCTCGTGCGACGCGGTCAGGAACTTGAGGATTGGGAAGCGCATGATCTCCGAGGCGAGGTCCCAGTCGCACCCGGCGTCGACGAGCTCGTCGATGGAGTTCATGCGCAGGCAGACGCCCTGGGGGATGCGCGCCCTGCGGAGAGAGGGCGTCGGGGGAGGGGAGGGGCTGGGCGCGGGGGAGGGGGGGTGGGGAGGGGGGGGAGAGGGGCGGGGCGTGGACAAGAGGGGGAGGGAGGTGAGGGAGTGAGGGAGTGTGGGTAAGAGGGGGGAGTGTGTGGTGGTGGTGGCGGTGGGGGTGCGCCTTTCGCGTTCGAAGTCGGCGCGGAAGGTCTCGCGGCGCGCGCGCGCCGACTCTGACGCCTCGCGCTCCCTCCTCGCGATGGAGGGGTGCTGCCGGTAGCGCGTGAGCATCTCCATGAAGGCCCGCTCCTTGCTCGGGTCGGCCGCCGCAGCCTCCATCGCGACGCGCAGCAACTCCTCCATGTTGAGGGTCGAGTGCTGCGCGGGAAGAGAGGGCGCCGCCCGCCGCAGCGTGCCGCCGCTGCCCCGCGGCAGTGTGCCGCCCGCCTCGCTGCCCGCCGCGCTCGAGGCGCGCATCGGCGAGACGCCGCCAGAGGGCGAGGCGGGTGGCGGTGCGGCCGAGTCGCCCGAAGGCATGTCGTGCAGCCGCCACGCCTGCAAGGGAGGCTCCGAGAGGGCTCCGAGAGGGCTCCGAGAGGGCTCCGAGAAGGCATGTCGTGCATCCGCCGCGCCTTGAGTGAGTGGATGTCGGACAGGGTCGAGGCATGCCCGTCGCACCTCGCCGCCAGCGCGCCCGCCTCGTGCCCCTGCATCGTCCCAACCCGCCAGCTCTCCGACTCGACGGTCAGGCGGCACTCCTCCGCGTGCGGAACCAGCACCTGCGCCGCAGGCGTGTCAGCACTGTCGGCACGCTGCTGCTGACTCCTCTCGCTGCTGACGCCACTCTGCGGGGCAGTGCGGCGCACGCGCCTGCGCCAGCCACCGCCCGTTGAGTGCCTCTCCGTCGACGGCGACGACGACGTCGCCCTCGCGCAGCTGCTTCTCGCGCGCGGCGTGCGTGCCCGGGATCAGCTTGACGATCACGTTCCGCTCGTTGATGTCGATCCCCAGCCGCGAGCCCGTGCGCCGGACAAGCACCTCTCTCCGCACAACCTGCGAGCAGGCGGAGGGCGAGAGGCGGACGGTAGGCGTAGGCGTCGCGCGCAGTCCGGGGCACGAGAGGCGTGGGGCCGGCAGAGCGAGCGGGGGGGGGGGGGCGCCGAACAACGCGGCGGGGAGGAGGAAAGTCGAGCGGTGCGCGGCGGTTGGGCGAGGGAAGACGGGAGGTGTCTCGGAAGTGTCTCGGAAGTGTCTCGGGAGTCGGCCACCGTCACGCGGGACCCGCCCTGCACGTCGGCGGGCGAGAACTGGCTGCCCGACTGTGCGGCAGGGGCGCGTGGGGCGTGCGCCCTCTTGACGGTCAAGAGGTGGCGCGGCTGCTTCGCGTCGATGACCGCGAGGATCGAGCTGCCGGCGAGAGGGACGCCGTCGACCGCCACGATCTCGTCGCCGATGCCGAGCAGGCCGGCGGCAGCAGAGCCTGGGGGAGGGAGGCGGCGGGGAGGAGTGAGGGGGCAGCGGAGGAGAGAGGCGGTAGGGGAGAGGAGAGGCAGCAGGGAAGGAGATAGGCAGCGGGGACGGAGAGGCGGCAGGGAGGGAGAGGCGGCAGGGAGGGAGAGTGGAGGCTGAAAAGGAGAGAGGCGGAGAGGGGCGGGCAGCCACCAGAGGCAACGTTCCTCACGCGGTTGTCATCGTCGAGGTCGACGCCGAGGCGGCCTCCTGCGCCGCGGGCGATGGCGATGTCCTCGGTCTCCGCGCTGACGCGAGGCGAGAGCACCCTCGCTGGGCTCGCGCCGCTCGCAGCCGTCGTCGCTGGGCTCGCGCCGCTCGCAGCCGCCGCTTCGTTGGCGTGCGCTGCTGAGACGAGATGTGACCACGGCACGAGACCGGAGCGAGGAGCGGCCTCGCCCGCGCGCTCGACTGAGACGGCGCACCATCCCTCGCGGGTGGGCCCGGCGCTGATCGTCACAAACTCGCCGCGCCGCACCGCCAGCTCCTCTGCCGCCTCGGCAGCAAAGTCAGACACGACGCACGCAATCTCCCCAACGCAGCCAGAAGAGGGCCGCCGGCCCGAGGCCGGCCCGCTCCGCGGCGTCTGCGGCTGCTGCCGCTCGCTCACCGGAGTCGGAGGAGCGCCGGCGGATTCGGTGCTGGAGCAGACGCCCATCCGAATGAAAAAGTCGCGCTCGCGGCAGCGGCCTAACGAGTCGGCGGTTGAGGCGCTGAGGCAGGGCGGAGGCGGGCAGGGCGGCGTGAGGAGGGCGGGTGGGGAGGAGAGGCTGGCAGCGGGAGAGCGGCGCCTGGGTCGTTTCCTCAACTGCCAGGTTTGGGCGCGCCTCTCCTCCTGCTTGAGCGCCGCCTGCTTTCGCAGCCGGTTTTTTTTTTCTTGTTTCCTTTGGCTTTGTCCAGTCCGAGCCTGACTGTTCTTCACCTTCCTACCTACCTACCGAGGCTGTCTCACACAGAGGCTTGGCGCTGTGTATCTCGAGACCTCGAGAGAAGGCCGCCCGCAAGCCCAAGTCGAATTGGCTTTTCTTTTGGCATTTGGGAGAGAGAGAGAGATTTTTAGCAATACCAAACAACTCTAAGAGGACCAACAAGAAATCACGACTCTCACAGTGATCGGGCAACACAGAGGCTGTTCTTCTGAGAGACCAGCACGGCCTACCTACATCAAGGCAACAACGCCGGGATAGGCGCGCTCCATCGCCATCGGCGCCACCGCCTCCCACGTGTCCAGGGCCGGATCATACCGCTCCACCGAGCGGAGCATGTTCAAGTCGTCGTCGCGGCCGCCCACGGCGTACAGCTTCCCCTCGAGCACAACCACGCTGAGAGCGACCCGACCCACCGCCATCGGCGCCACCGCCTCCCAAACACCGAGCGCCGGATCGTACCTCTCTGCCGACTCTAGGCAGTCGCCCTGATTGGCTTGCCCGCCCACAGCGTACAGCTTGCCGTCGAGCACCGCCACGCCCAGCTGTTCCCGCGCCATCGACATCGGCGCCACCTCCTCCCACGCGTCCAGCGCCGGATCGTAGCGCTCGGCCGACCGGAAGCTCGTGCCAAACGCCCGGCCGCCCACAGCATACAGTTTGTCGTCGAGCACTGCAGCACCGAGATCCTCCCGCGCCGTTCCCATGGGCGCCACCGCCTCCCACGCATCCTGAGCCGGGTCGTACCGCTCCACCGAGCCGCTGTCGCCGCCGCGGCCGTCGCCCCCACCGGCAGCGTACAGCTTCCCGGCTAGCACTGCAACGCCCGGGTCACCTCGAAGCCTCGTCATCGGCGCCACAGCCTCCCATGCCTGCGCAACCGGGTCGTAGCGAGAGGCCGCGTTTGTGGATGCGACTTCGACCCAGCCGCCGACGGCATAGATCTTGCCGTCGAGTACCGCCATCCTGAAGGACACCCCGGTCGCTGGTATCGGCGCCACCGCCTCCATCCGCCACGCATTTGCTGCCGCGTCGTACCGCTCCATCGTCGTGCTGCCGTGGCTGCTGATCGCGAGCAAGCGCGGCCACTTGCGCTGCTTGAGCGTCTGCTTCCAGCCGCGGCGCCACGCGTGACACGTCCCCTTGGCGGCGTGCTCCTCGGTCGGCAGCTGGGCGAGGATGTGCGGGACGAGGTCCGGCGAGAGGAGGACCTTGGAGAGCACCCACTCGGGCTGCTCCACGAGCCGTGCGGCGTGCTCCTCCGCCACGCGCAGCGCGGCGGCGCTCGCGCCCGCCTGCGCCTCGATGACGGCGCACAGCTGTTCTGGCGAGAGGCCAGCGACGCGGGCGCCGATGCGGTGGGCGGCCATACACACAGGTATATACCGAGCTCCGGTCTCGCGGGGCCCCCACTGGCGAGGTCCATCTCTTTCTTTTTCCTGGAAAGAAATTTCCGTCGGTAGCCGACGTCGCACCCGCACCCGTACGTCGGCTACCGACATCGGTACCGCCCGTGCGACGAACGCTAGCACCCGAACACCACGTCTACATGCTGCCGCTCCTCGCCGCTCCCCTCGCGCTCTGGGCGACCGCGCCGTGGCGCTCGGCGGCGTACGAATTCCGCAGCCGCCCTGCGCTGCTCTCGGTCGCTGCCGCGCCTGCCGACCTCCGCTCCTGGCTCAGCGAGGAGGCAAACGTCTCGCCTCAGTTTCTAGATGCGGTCCTGTCCGTCTGCGACGATGAGATGATCGGCTCCGTCGAGAACCTCCGCACGCTGAGCACGGCCGGCATGCTCGCATCCGTCTTCAAGCCAGTCATCGCCGCAAGCATCGAGGCTGCGCTCGCGGGCGGCGGCGGCGGCGGCGGCGGCGGCGGCGGCGTTGCCGGCGCGGCGGCCGGCGCGGCGCTCGACGGCGGCGCCTCTTCGCTGCCGCTGCGCGAGGTGCGGCGCCGGCTGATGGCGCAGGGCATGTCAACGTGGGGCAACGAGGCGGAGCTGCGGCGGCTCCACTCGATGTTTGCCGTGCAAGACACCGTCTCCGTCGCGCCGGTCGAGGCGCCGGCGTGGCCTCCGACGCTCACGGCTGGAGGCGCGGTCGCGAAGCCGACGTCGGCGAGCGCCGCCGCGCCGCCCGCCGCGCCGCCGCCTGCCGCAGCGGCGCCCGCAGCGGCGCCGGCCGAAGCTGCGGCGCCGCCTGCCACCGCGGCGGACAAGTCGACGTACACAGTGAAGCTGGTGAATCCCGACGGCGAGCAGGTCGTCGAGTACGACCCGTCGGGCGGGGACTTCCTCCTCGACTACCTCGACGAGCTCGACAATGCCGACGACTACGCCGATCTTCCGTACGCCTGCCGCGCGGGCTCGTGCAGCGCCTGCGCAGGGAAGCTCGTCTCGGGCACGATGGACACCTCCGCGTGCGGCTTCCTCTCGGAGGAGCAGAAGGCCGCCGGCTGGGTCCTCACATGCACCGCCAAGCCAACCTCGGACTGCGTCATCGAGACCCACAAGGAGGACGACATGTACTGAGCGGTGCCACTGCTCGCGCTCGCGCTCCGCCGGCCGGCGCACGCACCGCAACCCGCTGCATACGTCGACGCCCAAGGAGGCCAGTGCGCGCCGGCTGGATGGGCCACGGCGCCATCTTCGGTGCCCTTATCTACTGCCTCACACGCGCTTCCAGGCGCCCGACTCGAGACACGAGAGAGGGAGGCGCCCGAGGGAGGCGCCTTTGCCGTGGCATGCGCCGTGCGCCTCACCCGGACCCGTCACGACCGCACTGTTCACTGTATGTTGCACACGTTATTGCTGCCGCGGCGAATCGAACACGGTGACAGATGGTACATTATCATTAAAACATTATATCGACCCATACACTGTGCCCATACACAGGACACCCCCTCTTTCGTGGCTCATAGAGCAGAGGAGGCGGTGCCGGTGGAAGCTGGAACGTACAGAGAGACAGAACAAGTGAGAGCGCCCAGCGAGCGGTGCAGAGTGTGAGCACGAACGAGAATCGAGAAACCGAGGATCAGCTCGAGGATCACGGCGGCGGCACGCTTCGCTGCTGCTGCGGCACGCGCTCCGCTTTGCTCAGGTCCCAGCCGGCTGCGGCGGCAGCTTGCTTCAGCGGCTCGAGGAGGGCATCGTCGACGACGGGCTCACGCGTCATGATGTACATCCACGCGCCTGGAGCGGCTCAGTGTAACAGTGAGCGACACCAGGGCAAGTGTATTCGTGCTTCTGTGAGGAGCCGCGTTACCGGCGCCGCTCGTCTTCGGCGAGGAGCAGACCATGTGCGAATAGGCCTCGTCGACGTCGATGATGACGTATGATAGCCACACTGGGAGGTAGCAGAGCTTGAGCCACGGCTTGACCTGCCAGAGGGTGCCGTCCTCGCTGCCGGGCGCGACACGGCCCTTCTGGTAGACGACGGTCGGCTTTGCTTCGAACGATCCAGACGAGAACGTGTACTTGACCTTGACCCGCTGCTCCTCCTCGTCCCAGCTGTACTGCTCAAGCCCGTTGTGAGCCCCGCGGTCGAAGGGCGTCGGGATGGCGACCTGCACGAACCAGTTGCCCATGCACTTGAGCGGCTCGATCTTGCGGGCAATCATCTTTCGAGAGGCTCGAACGTAGGAAGAGGTGTGAGTTGATGCCAAAGGTCTTCCATCCAAGGTGGCCGACCGAGCCAGCCAGAAGAAATATCTCTTGCTTGTGAGGCTGGCGGCAAGGAGAAGTAGGTGCATGGCGAAAGAGTGACTGGCGGCACCAGCCATCATTCACAGCCCGACGCAGCCAACCCAGGCATGTGTTCGTTATTTCTTTCTCTATCTGCGGCCGACGCCGTTCCTCTACCCCCTCCGCCCTCGAGCCTCTACCCATCATGCTTCATGTAGTTCACCCGACGATGTCGAGAGGTCGCTTGTCATGTGACGTTTACTTTTTTCTTTTCAAGGCGCAGGCGGCAAAGGAGAGAAAAAAATGCCCAAAAATACCGGCAAAAAGAAATCCGTGCTGCTCAACCACCCGCCTCCGCAATCCGCCGCTGGATGCGATCCAGCTTCGCCTGCGCGAGCGCCTTCTCCGCGCGCGGCACGTCGCTCCTGCGCAGCTTAGCAATCTCGAGCTGCTCCGACGCCCGAAGTTGCGCCAGCATCTTGGCGGCGACGGCAGCGGGTGCGCGGGCGGCCACGCGCGCCTTCTCCGCCCTTTTCCCCGCCGCGGCCTTAGCCGCCTGCTTCTGCGCCGCCGCCCGGTCTCTGACCTCCTGAGGCGCATTCCACGCGGGCGCCTTGACGGCCCCGGCACCACCCGCCAAGCGCACATCGCTGTAGCCCGCCTTTTGAAGGCGAATCAAGCAGATCTCGGCGTGCGCCCCCTGCACCTCCACGTCGCCGCGCGCGTTGACCCGACCACCGACGGAGAGGGCAGCCTTCAGCTCCTTGAGCACCGACTTAGCGGCGTCTCTCGACAACCCGCGAATCGTCGTCGCGCGCTTCCCACCGCCGCTCTTCGACTCCTCTACGCGCACCTTCGCCTTGAGCGCGGTCGTGTCCACAACCGCTGCTGCGGAGGCAGCCGCCGTGGCATCTGTGCCCATGCGCCGCCTTGCCAGCTTTGTCATGGCCTGCGGCCGCTTGGGCCCGTCTCGCAAGTAAAGCTTCCCATCCTTGCCAGTGCGCTTCGACGTTTGCTTGGCCGCATTCTTGGTAGGCGCCGCCGGCCGCTTTGCGTCTTCAAAGTCGCTCCAAGAGTTCATCGCCATGTTGAGGCTTGCGATGAGCTCATCGTCAGCGCCGCCGCTGCCGGCTGCCGACTTTCGCTGCTTGCACAGGACGACTGCCCGGCTGATGGCTGGTGCAGCTCGGGTCGTTGGCGAGTGGCGGGCACTTCGGAGCACGACAGCAGACAACATGACCACGATGGGGACCATATACGCGCTGTCGGTGGTGCTGTGTGCTCTACTCGGCCCGAAAGAATTTTTATACGGTCCCGTTTTGCTGTTCACAGCTAGGGACGGCCTCTGCGTCAAAGTCAAATCACCCCCACCACCCTACCACCTCCCACCACGGCAAACCTTCGGCTCCCGCTCAGAGGCGCCCCGCGCCCGTGCGGCGCGCCGAGGCGGCGCCGAGGCCGGCGCCTTGCACCCGGCCCGCGGCCGGCACCGCCTCGCCCCACAACTGACCGCCCTGCGGCCCCTGCGCAGGCGTACCACAGCGTCGCTCAAAAAGCGACGCCGGGTGTGGGCTGCTCCCTTGACCCGTCACCCGCCGCGGCCCGTGCGGCGCGCCGAGGCGGCGCCGAGGCCGGCGCCTTGCACCCGGCCCGCGGCCGGCACCGCCTCGCCCCACAACTGACCGCCCTGCGGCCCCTGCGCAGGCGTACCACAGGCGTCGCTCAAAAAGCGACGCCGGGTGTGGGCTGCTCCCTTCACCCGTCACCCGCCGCGGCCCGTGCGGCGCGCCGAGGCGGCGCCGAGGCCGGCGCCTTGCACCCGGCCCGCGGCCGGCACCGCCTCGCCCCACAACTGACCGCCCTGCGGCCCCTGCGCAGCGTACCACAGCGTCGCTCAAAAAGCGACGCCGGGTGTGGGCTGCTCCCTTGACCCGTCACCCGCCGCGCCCTCGCCCGGCCGCCTCACCGCCCACGGAGGCTGCTCGCCGCCGCCGCCCCCTCCTTGCCGTCTTCCCCACCCTACCCTCTGTTGCGCGCGCCGCGCAGCCGCGCTGCGCGCCCCCGCCCCCGCCCCCGCCCCCGCTCCCAAGCGCCCCTTCCCCGGTAGGTGTGCGGAGAAAGTAGAACCAATCGAGAGGTGGCAGAAGCCGCCGTGTGTGACACATATTGCGGCACGTGAGAGTGAGACAGAGCCCCGGCAGCGCGGCCAGCGCGCGCGCGCAGCGGCCAGCGCAACAGGCGTTTCAAACAGCAAACGGGACGGCCTGCGCAGCCTCTAACTATATCCGGGAAGCTGGGGCGCACTGGCACTCAGGTTCACACAAAAACACAAACGGACCCAAGACGCACAAGCTCAGACAGTCGAGAAAGGGATAGACCGCAACGACAGTCAGAAGTCAGCGGTGGGTTCACAGAGTAAAAGAGGTGCGCAGGAGCGAAAAAAGATATTTGTTAGGCAAGGGAGGGACCGCCGCGCCGCGCAACAGCAAACTCCCCAGCGCCAGCTAGCTCCAGTCTCATCATCGTGCGGCTGCGCAGCGCCCGCTCTCCATAAGAAGAACAGAAATCCAGCGGAAGTGGTAGCCTTGCGTTGGCGCGCCGTGCTCAGGTTGTCGTGGTCGTCATGCGGCGCCAGGTTGCGTGGCCGCCGGGGCCGTCGTCACCGCCTCCGTCGCTGCTGCTGCTGCTGCTGCTGCTGGCGGGCTGGCTCCAGCTCAGCACAGCAGTATCCGCAGGTCCGCGACCCTATTGCCAGCCGCCACCGTCGAGGCGCCGCTGCGAAACTCCCTGGTTTCGTGTGTGTAGGTTTTACCAAGTCGCAGTCCGATGAGGACGAGAAGGCAAAGGTGGAGTGGACGATCAGCGCGCCGACCAACCGAGTCTACGTCGACCACGAGCTCGCTGGCGATACATACCAAATTCGCAAGACGGACAACGCAGTCGGGTCTGACGCTAGCCCTTATGAGATCGAGCTGGACGGTGGAGGCACCGCGAACCTCTACCTCTTCAAGCTCGACGCGCTAGACACCAGTGATTCGTGCTTTGCATGCTTGGAAGAGGAAGCCTTTGCCCGTGAGTGCCTCTCTGAGACTCGATGCGCAGGGAAGGCGTTCGACACAGGTGGCATGGCGATAAGCGAGAAAGCCCCCGACCAAGTGGCTGATCTCGCCGATGTGAGCGATGCAGACCTCGACGGCCGGCGGATTGAGCTCACGTTTCATATGCCGCTGTCCAAGGGCTTGCCCATCACCAGCCTGGTGGTCCGACGGCAGGCTGTCGGCGACTCTGCTATCGTGGACTACCGGATTGGGTGTGCCACATCAGACAACGAATGTGAGCCTGGCCTCGTCACTCCGATTGGTGATTGCAACGAAATGGCAGCCAATCAGAATCTTAGTCGCACAGAATGTGTCCTCCCAACGTCTGGTGGTGAAGAGCAGATCGGCTACGTCGTGGAGAAGTACGTCGAGGACAGTGCCACTGGCATCAAGAAGGCAAGAGGCGAAAGCTTCAGCGTCCTGCTGGGCTCGTGGGAGAATGGCAACGAAAAGTACATCACGCCGACGCAAGCGTACACGTGGAGCGTGCTCGCCATCAACGACAAGGTGGACTACACTTCTGAAACCTGCACCGTTGGCACCCAAAGCTGCCCGTGGAGCGCCACGATAACAAGGACGCAGAAGCAGGCCACCCCCGACAAGCCGGGAGACCCGGCGGCTTCGGTCAGCGAAACCGCGCTTACCCTCCAGTGGGGTGTGCCCAACGACAACGGCAACGCGATCACGGGGTACAGGGTGGCGTGCGAGGACGTTTCGACCTACACTCGACCGTCGGCATGGCAGCAGGCACCTCTATCCTTCTACCTTGGCGCACGTCCGAGCGCTCCAAACGCACCTACCCTGGACTTGATGGAAGCTACGCTTGAAACGAGTGGCACTCAGTCTATCGACATCGGTGTCAGCGACAGTGCAACCACAAGCGGCATTCAACTGGCGCCCGGCACAAAGTATCGGTGCCAGGTCGTGCCGTACAACGATTTTGAAGTCGACAACGTCCTGCAGGGCGGCCTAAACGCCCCCGCCTTCTACTCGGCGTGGAGCTCTGTGGTGACCACTCTCGCAAAGGCGCCCGAGGCAGTCAGTGAAGTTGAAGAATGCACGGCCGTTCCGCAGGGCACAACCAGTGTGGGTGACATGACAGTGCCGAGCGACAACTCGCCGGCGGGGCAGTTGAAATACACAATCAAGTGGACGCCCCCGAGGCCCAACGATGATAGTATCAACAATCCAGGAAGTGGCAACTACTGGAAGTGGAGGTACTTCTTCACTGGGACAGGGATCGCCGAGCCCGCTTCTGCAGTTGGGGCGACCCGCAAAACGAGCTCTGGCGAATCCATCAAGCAATATTACGACTTCACCGGCCTCACCTACAATCAACAGTACAGTTTCTGCGTCGAGTCGGCTGGGAAAGGTTGCGCCAGCGGCGATGCGTCACCGTGTTTCAGGTCTGGCACACCAGGCGCCTGCGCAGCCTGCAACACTCAGACCTTTCACCCCGGTTCGCCCACCATGGACGATTTCGATGATCGTGCGGGCTTCGACGGCAAGGCGACCTCGCTCAAGATCAGGTTCAAGGCGCCCACTGAGCTGTACGGCTCCACCGTCACCGGCTACTCCTTCATCATGTGCCCGAAGGGCCCCACATGCGACCCGACGTCCGCTTCAGAAGCGGCAAACAGGCGCTACATCTGCGACCAGACCTCCGCGCCGTCGGCGTGTGGATTCGTCCCACCATTCAACGGCGGCTGGTTCGAGTTCACGATCGATACGTACGGAGCCGGCAGTGGCAACTCAGTCCAGTCCGGCACAGAGTACAGCATCAGCGTACGCGCCGAGGACAGCGACAGTAATCGGATCGGCTTCGCCTCCTCGCCCTCCATCACAGGCAAAACAGCGCCCGTGCCAACGCTGCTCTCGAACGGCGTGTCCAGCAACGCTCGCGACATCAAGGTGCAGTGGGACAAGTACACCTATGACGGGGGCGATAGCTACGCAGACGAGTTCGACGTCTACTTGTGCAGCGGGGCGACGTGCTCGAGCTCTGGCTCGTCAATTGACAACGCAACCCTCAGAAACGGCAATGATGGCGGCGACTGCGCAAGCGATGACGGAACCGAAGACCCTGGGACCACAGACTGCAGCTACACCTTCACCGGCCTTACGCCCGCGACGGAGTACACCGTTGTCATTGTCGGCAGGGTCACGACAGGTCAGACCTCGGGCGACTCTTCCGCAGTTGCAATCACGACGACAGCAGACAGGCCTGAGAAGCTCGGTGCGCCCACGATTGAGGAGTCGAGGACGCGGAGCGCAGACGTCAAGTACACTGTGCCTGCCGCATCCGACTGGACACGCACGGCCAATCACCCTCAAGGCACCTGGTTCAACGGGGCTGGCATCGAAAGCTACATCGTCAAGCACTGCAAAACTAACTGCGCTAGCTCGTTTGACAGCTGCACGTGCTCCGAAATGGAGGAGGAGAACACGTTCGCCGCCGCAGCACTTCCACAGACTGAAGAGGTGCCGGCAACGGGGGAGTTCGACCCCTTCGCGAACTACCTCGTCTGGGTCGTCGCACAAAACTCGGTGGGCTTCTCCGACCCGTCCGACAAGCGTTTCGTTTCTCGGTCCGCCACAGACAACGGGGGGGAGGATTGCCGTGAGCAGCCCGATCAGCTGCTTGCACCCCTCCTCGACGACTCAAAAGGGCAAAACGGGCTAACCAACTCGTCAGTCTGGCTCAAATGGACGCGACCCGCTTCCAATGGCGAGCCGGTCACCCAGTACCGAGTCTTGTGGACCGTCGAGACTCGCGCAGGTGGGGTCGGTGTGCCAGGCAGCGAGACTCTGTCAGCCCCGGACGAAGCAGAGGCATCACACGAGGTCGACGGGCTCCAGCCGGGGAACAAGTACACCTTCAAAGTCGCAGCGTACAATTCCGTGCCTCGTGGCGTCAATGCGGCGTGCGGAAGCACAGGCTCTGATGGATGGAGCATCCCATCTCCGATTAGCTCGCAGTTTAGCACCCTCCCCGTCAAGCCGCAGGCGCCAGGCGCCCCAACCCTGAGCGCCCGCGGAGGCACGTCCCTCACGATCGAGTGGTTGGCACCCTTCGACAATGGAGACGCCATCACTGAATTCTTCGTGTATTCGGAGGCTTCCGAGATCTCGCTAGACAATGGACAGCTCGGTGCCAAGGTGCAAGTGGACGGCCAGGCGACACAGGGCAGGTCATTTGCTTGGAACCCGCAGAACCTCCGCCCCGTGACGGAGTACACCTTCCGCGTGAGCGCGAAAAATGGTGCCGGAGAGTCTGACCTCTCTCTAGAGGCTGCCTTCACCACTGACGTCTACGAACCGGAGTACCCGCTCAACATCGTTGCTGCCGCGCGAACTGCCTCGTCCATCTCTCTGGACTGGTCGCCGGCCGTCAACAATGGCATCAACATCACGCTGTACGAGATCTGCTACAACGAGCTTCAGAGCTCTTCCAGTCCTGAATCTGTCTGCGGCAAATCAGACTCTGGATGGAAAGTGGCCTCAGGGACTCAGACCATCGACTCCTACCCTACCCCCGGGACCCCGCTCACCGAGTCCGCGGCGTACGAAGTCAGTGTGCGAGCCTGCAATGCCTATGCGCAATCGGAGCGGTGCCCAGAAGGTGACCCCAGCGAGGAGTGTAAGAGCGGAGCGGACGGCTGCTCGAATTGGTCGCCTTTCGTGAAGCTCACAACCACCTCGAGCGGCCTCCTCACGCCGCCGGCGCCCGTAGTGAGCCTTGTCAACGCCACCAGCGCCACCGCCTTCTTCAAGTGGCGCGTCCGTCCGAAGGACGACTTCGACACACTGGGCACGACGGCGATCGCAGTCTTCAAGCCCACGCTCACCGACAGCGAGACGGGCGGCGTTGAGGTGCTCGACCTCATCACAGGCGACGCCTTTAGCGAGGGGGAGGAGTACTTGCTCTCCGTCACCGGCCTGAGCAGCGCGACGAGCTACTCTTTGACCGTCTCCGCTGGCAACGTCGATGGATTCGGTGAGGAGTCAATCGCAGTCGTCTTCACCACCGGCTCTTCACCACCAGAGGCGCCCGACGCGCCCAGCTTCGACAGGACGCTGCCAAACGTCTTGCTCCACCTCTCTGGTGCAGCAGCCGACAACGGCGAGCCCATCACCCAGTACCAGTGGCAGGTCAAGTTATCGGACCAGTGGGGAAACCCGACCGACTGTGGGAGCGATCCCAACGATAGCACGTGCAGGGTCATCGCCGACACGTCGTACTCGTACACGTATCCATCGCAGAGCTTCGACGTTCGCGTTCGCGCGTACAACGCCCTCGGTCCCGGCGAGTGGTCCGAGGCGACCACCGTGACTCCCACGGACCTCCAGCCAGCCGCGCCGAGCCTGGACGCGGTCACGGCGGCTGGCATCGACTCGATCGAAATCTTGTGGTCTGCAGGCTCCGGCGCAGCAGCCGCAGACACGTACAGGCTGGAGATCAGCGAGGGAGACTGCGCGGGAGACGAGGGCTGCAGGTCGCGGCTCGTTGAGGTCGACGCGTCCGTGCTGTCGTACAACCTTCCCGCTCTGCCCGGCACCCTCCACACCGTCCAGGTCTTTGCGGGCAACCTTGCAGGATATTCCGAGGTGTCCTCGTCGCTGAGCGCTACCACGCTTGCCGCGCCGCCGCCACCGTCGCAGCCGCCATCACCGCCCTCGCCATCGCCGCCACCACCCTCGCCACCGCTGCCCTCGCCACCGCCACCCTCGCCGCCGCTGCCGTCGCCACCCCCGCCCACACCGCCTCCTCCGCCGCCCACACCACCGCCGCCGTCGCCACCACCGCCAGCGACCAGTTCAGAACCACCGCAAAACGTCGATCGGGGTAGTGGGGTGGATCTCGGCAGCGCCCTGGCCTCGTCCCAGATTCACGTGGTGTGGGAGGCGCCGGCAGACGACGGCGGAAAGCCAGTCACGGAGTACTGCCTCACAGTCACCGACCTCTCGAGCTCTCCCTCCGCGGTCGTCCTCCCCTCGACGTGCTTGGGCGAGTACCCCGGCGGTGGCCTCCCCAGGCGGGAGCACTACTTCACTACGGATGGAATCTTTCCGGGCCAGGAGTTCGAGTTTGCCGTCGTCGCCAGGAACGAGATCGGCGACAGCGCCCCCGCGACCGCGACCCTATCGACGGCGAGCTCGGTGCCTGATCGGCTCGACACGCCAGCCCTGCTGCGCACGGAGCCGCCAAACGTGCCGCTGCCCGACAACATCACCATCGGCATCCGACCTCTCTCGGTGCAGCGTCTGGGAGGCGGCGAGATCTTGCGGTACGAGATCTACGAGAGCGGCGCGCTGGTTCAGACCTTCGAAGCGGGCGACGTGGCGGGGAGGCTCGAGGCGTGCGGCTGCGACTACCTCGAGCACTCGCCGGCGCTGTACGACGTCTATTCGGAGTACATCTATCGGGCCAGAGCTGTCTCTACCGTCGGGAACGGCACGCTCTCGTACGAGCTCGTGATCGACGCCGCCGCCTCAAATGCGCCTGTGCCGGTGAACGTGCGCGTCACGTCGACGGAGTCTCGAGCCGTCACCATCGCCTGGAAGATCATCAAAGGCAGCTCGGACAGCGAGTGGGACCGCGTCCGCCTCACGCTGACGTGCAACGAGGAGGACTGCGACAGCGTCGTCGAGGAGGACGTGCAGGAGGTGCGCGAGTCTGCCTGCCAGGACGACGACGTGGGCTACTACAGCTGCTCGTATGTCGTCTCCGGCGCGCGGCCCATCACGCAGTACGCCGTCACCGCCCAGTCGGGCAAGGGCGGCGCATACAGCGAGTCGTCTCTGATCACCGACGACTCGCGCGTGACGACCCTCCCCGGGGCGCCGCAGCCGCCGGCCATCGACGCGGCGCAGCCGACGCAGACTTCGGTCAAGCTGAGGTGGACGGTGCCGCGCGACAACGGGCCGGATGTCACTGGCTTCGTCGCTCGGTACGCATCAGCGGGCGGCGCATCAGCGGGCGGAGGCGAGGGCGCGGTGCTGCTCGACTACGTTGGGGCCGCTCACGCTAGCTCAGGCGCAGTGAACGCGTCTCTGAGTGACGACGAGCTCTGCGGGCTGGTGCCGACCGCGCCCGCGTCGTCCGTCGGGTCGACCCTCGAGTCCGAGCTGGTCGGCCTGCAGCCGGGCACAACCTACGACCTCTCCCTCGTCGCGTGCAACTCCCTCGGCGCGTCCACCAAAGCGAAGGCCTCGGCGCACACGCACGACGTGCCCGACCGGCCTGATCCGCCGTCGCTCGGTAGCGGCGTCACCAGCACCAGCCTCGACATTGAGTGGCAGCTGCCCTATGATCACGGCCTTGCAGTCAGCGGGTCGGAGCTCGAATTCAGTGGCAGCGCCACAAACTACTCGGGCGTGACCACCAGCAGGGTCGGGCTGCTGCCCGCCACGCCGTACGAGGTGCGTGTCCGCGCCTTCAACGACGCCGGCCCCTCCAGCTTCTCCGAGCCGGCCTTCCTGTGGACTGCCCCCGACGCGCCAAGCCGGCCGGTCCTTGAGGGAGGCAGCTGCGGGGAGCCTGTCGAGGGGAGCGGCCTGAGCCTCCTCAAGGGCGACCTCGTGGCCAACGGGCAGGTCATCACCAAGGTCGAGGTCAAGACGCAGGAGACCGCCTCCGGCCAGTCTACGGCCCGGGTGGACACTTTTGTGGGGGCGGCGATTGACGCCCCGAGCCTGATGCTGACCCGCAACGGAGAAGGCTTTGTCGACTACCGAGACTACAGCGTGCAGATGCGCGCCGAGAACAAGCTCGGGTGGTCGGACTGGTCCGTTCCAATCACCTGCACCCCAGCCCCCGAGACGGACGCCCAGCCGCCCCAGAACCCTGAGGCAGAGCCGCTCGGCCCCGCCGCCGTCGAAGTCCGTTGGGAGATGCCGGCGAACAGCAGCTGGGACGGCTTCGTTGTCAGCCTCGACCCGGTGCTCGAGAGCTCCGCGGGGCGGAGGCTGCAGCTGGAGGATTGCGCCGTCGAGGCGCCGCAGCGCGTCGACATTGAGATCGACAGCCTCTTCTGCCCGCTCGCGCAAGGCGGCCGGAGGCTCTGCGAGCTCAACGTGACTGGCGGCACGCCAAACACAACCTACACCGTCAGCGTCCAGTCGAGGCTGGGGCAAGGGACGTCCTCCACCCCACCGGAGCTGCCCGTCGTGAGGATGCCGCCGGGGCCGCCCCAGGAGCCGCAGTGCCTCTCCCTCTCCAGCGTCACGGACACCACCCTCCGCTTCGGCTGGCTGACGCCCCGCGACCACGGCATCGCGATCGCCGGCTTTCTCGTGACGTACACCGCCGCCAGATCCGAGGAGGGGACGACAACCGGCGTCGGCCCAGGCGGCGAGACTTTGCCAAGGTCAGTCGACTGCTCGGCGGTAGCCTCGGCGGCGGCAGCTGCGGGATCAAACGCCGGGCCGGAGGGCGGCGCACTCGTCGCGGAGGTGAGCGGACTGCAGACGGGCACGAGCTACGCCATCAGTATCAGCACCTGCAATGTGGACGGCGAACTCTCCCTCGCCAGCGCCGAGCTGGGCGTTGGCGAGGCGCACACGCACGCTGTCCCTGACCGGCCAGCAGCGCCGCGGATCGACACGGGGGCGGACGTGACCCCGAGAGGTTTCACAGTGCTGTGGGAGGCGCCGTCGTCTGCCTGCCGCGGACAGGCGGGCTGCGTCGACGACCACGGCCTCGCAGTCGACGCTCTGGAGCTCGAGTTCGACGGGCAGGTGGTGGACGCGTCCCTCGGCGGTGGGGCATACGTCGCCACCGATCTCAAGCCTGCGACGGCGTACCCCGTGCGACTCCGCTTCAACAACAGCCTCGGCGCCTCAGACTGGTCGGATATCGCCTATCTGTGGAGCGATCCCACCGTCCCAGACCAGCCCGATCCGCCCGCCTGCTCCGAGTCGCTCCGCTCCGCGCGCATGCTCGCTGTCGTGCCCGGCGAGGTCGTCTCCAACGGCAAGGATGTCGTCGCTTGGGAGTTTGAGACGCGGCCGATGGCTGCAACAAGCGGCGAGGGCGACTACGCGTCAAACACCTCCGTCGACCCGGCCCGCCTCGCCGACTCCTGCGGCAGCCTCCTCTTCGATGGGGCGCCCTCGGAGCTGGCGACGCCTCCATCCGCGTGCGACGGCGCCGCCCTGCTCAGCGACGGCGTCGACACGCCAGAGGCGGAGTACAGGGTGCGTGCCCGCGCCGTCAACGCGCTCGGCGCGTCGGGGTGGTCCGATGCGACGGTCTGCTCGACGGCGGCCGAAGCCGTGGAGCCCTTCCCCGTCGTCTTTCTCGTCGCCGGCCTCGGAGGCGCCGTGCTCTGCCTGGTCTGCGCGATGATTGCTGTCTGGAAGACCAACCTGCACAAGGTGGTGGCGCCCAAGCTGCGCCGCAAGAAGCCGAACGACGAGCCGCTCAAGACGTTTGTGACGCAGGAGGCGGTGCCGAACGAGGACGAGGACCCCGAGCTGGTGATGAACCCGGTGCTGATGGCGCACCTGGCGCTGGAGGAGGACCGGACGGCGAGGAAGGGCAAGGAGGCGAAGAAGGGAAGCAAGGGGAAGGCGGGCCGCTCAGGCGGCCTCAGGCGGCTCGGTCTCAATATCGACGGGTCGAAGCAGGGACCGAGCAGGCCAAAGACGGGCAAGGAGCTCGTGGACGCGCACCTGGCGGAGCAGCGGGCGCGCGACACGGCGGTCAACGGGGTGGTGCAGCCCATTGCGGGCGGCGAGGCCGCCGGCGGCGGCGCCGCATCGCAGGAGGAGGGGCGTGGCCAGGCCAAGGCCAAGGTCAGATTCGGGCTGGTGCGCTGAGATGTGAGAACTGCGATGCGCTGACCCTCTTGGTCTACTTGCTTGCCTCTCTACGTAGAGCCGTACACGAAGGAGTCGTAACGGGTCGTACCAGGTACCACTATGGCTTTAGCACTTTACCAGACGACCCACTTGACCGTCGACGCGAATGGTGACGCATGTGTATGTCGTATGTCGTAGCTGTATGATAAGTATGTGTGTGCATGTGTGTGTCTGCATGTGCACTACTGGAGGGGTATGGCTTCCTTTGCTGAGAACACAATAAAGTTAAAGCTCCCGTCCCCCGCACTCTCTACGAATAACAACGTTCAGCACGTCCCACTCACGTTCCGACTTCCGTGCGTGTTGTGCACACCATACACGCCTGCGCGGCATCTCGAGACCCCTGACCTACATCTGTCGTACCGATGCCATCGATGCCTCGGAAAGGGTGTCGTCGCTGTCAGATAGCGTCTCGTCGAGGGTCTTGGCGGGCGGCCCGTTCAGAAGGAAGAGCGTCGCCATCTGCCCTTTGCCTTTGACCTCGCTCCGGCCACGCGGCTCGGCGCCGAAGCGGCGGCAGAGCAGCCGCTCGTAGGTGCTCTCGCTCACGAGCACTCGGCCCGGGGAGGAGGAAGAGCACATGCGCGCTGCGGTGTTGACAGCGTCGCCGACCAGGTCATACTGGAAGGTCTTGTGCCCGATGACGCCCGCAATGGCCTCGCCCGAGTGGATGCCCACCTGCACGCGCAGCTCGAGCCCGGCTGGCAGGAGGCCGTCCCTCCGCAGCTCGAGGTTGAGCAAGTGAGAGATGTTGACGAGCGCAAAGCCGAAGCTCGCCAGCGCGCACCCGCCGTCCGCGGGGTCCATCGGCCGCTGGCCCGGCTCGGCGAGCCCCGTCGCGGCGAGGTAGAACTCGTTCGCCGTCTTGCGGACGCGCAGCACGCCAAAGTTGTCGGCGAGGCGGTCGAAGCGGTCGAAGACGCGCTGGAGCAGCAGCACGAGCAGCCGCGGGTCGGCGGCGGGGTCGTTGACGAGGCTCGACAGGCCGACCACCTTGGCGAAGAGGAAACACGCGCCCTCGTGCTTGGCGGCGATGAGCGCGGCGGTGCGCCCGCCGGAGCTCGCGCCGAGCGAGCTCTCGAACTGCTGCAGGGAGGAGAGGAGGTGCGGCGGCAGCACGTTCCGCAGCAGCCGCTCGCAATGCGCCGTCTCCTCCTTGACCGCCTCCAGCACGCGGTGCTCGCGCAGCTGCAGGCAGCGCTGCCTCCACACAGCGAGCCGCCGGTCCTTATAGTGCAAAAAACCAAGAACGTGCGCGAAGCCCAGCCAGAGGCCGATCTCGAGCACCGTCTCGAGCACTTCGGACTGCTGCTCCAGCCCTCCGTACTGCACGCGCAAGTTGGTGTGGATGGCGGAGAGGTAGACGGCGGAGAGGCCCGCCACCGCGAGCAGGAAGAAGGGGCGGCGCAGCAGCGTGCCGAACTCGACGCTGTACGAGAAGAGCGTGTGGACCATCCCGAGCAGCGTCCAGTACACGACCGGCGGGCTGTTGCAGAATCGTGTGCCATCCACCCTCCTCGAGACGCAGCCGAGCCCCGCCGCCCAAGAGAACCGCGCCTTTGGCTGCGGGCCCGCCGCTCCCACCCAAGCGACAAACTCGTCGAAGTCCAGCGCCCAGTCGCTGTCCACGTCATAGAACGCCGCGATGTTGCGGAAAGTATCGTCTGACCCGTTAACTTCGAAGCCCCAGCGAACCAAGTCTGGCAGCGCCTAAGTGATAGGGCTAGGCGTCGGGTGAGGACATGAGGGTGGGGGTAGCTGCGAGGGTGAGGGCCAGAGTGTCGCCTCTCGCAGCTCGACATGAGAGAGAGTGCCGTCGGGTGGGCTGCGGTCCATTTCGTCGAAGAAGTAGCGGGCGGGCAGCGTCGGGACAGCGCGGCCGCACGGAGGGAGCGGCAGCCCGCCCTGCAAGCCGGGGCACGCCGTGTTCTGCAGCGGCGAGAGAGCGGCAGATGCGGCCAGTGCCGCCGCCGGCAGCAGCAGAAGCAGCACGGCGGCGGCACGATCGAAGCGCCTTCCCCCCTTCGGGTGAGCGCGCAAGTAGGCCGCGAGACCCATCAGCGAGGGAACCAGCGCGAAATAGCGCAGCAAGAGCAGCGGAGCAAGCTGCGCCCACCCGTTGCCCGGCGAGAAAATGGCCACCTCGCACAGCAGAGATCGCTGGCTCTAGCCGACGCTTGGTCGAATGCAGCCGAGGTGATTAGAGATCTCAGAGAAGTGATGGTGGGGAAGGGACTCACCTCGTACAGCCCGGCGACGAGCACGATGCCTACGCCACAATCGCGTCACGCACGTGTGGCAATCACATGTCACGCTCACTCGGACCGCGGCGAGAGAGCGCTGCCGAGGAGCACGAGCGTGCGCAACTCTAGATTCCTCCGCTCCTCGGCGTGCTGCCGCCTGTGCATCGATAGTGATGTGTGAGATACGCCGCTCTTGATGCCTCGTCTCTCCTCCGCGCGATGCTACCGCGTCCAGAAGGCTGGGTCGCTGCGACGGCGCTTCGGGCGGAAGAACCAGCCCTTCGGTAGCGCAACCTCCGGACCTTTCGGGCTGTAAGCCGACGTGCGGCGGCTGCCCGCGGCAGCATCGCCCGGCTCACGCACCTGCACCGCCTCAGCCACGGACGTGTCATGGGCGTGCCGTAAAGCATGTCATGGGCGTGTCGTGGGCTGTATCTGGACGTGTTGCGGTCGCGGCGCCTGCTCCTCTTCCTCAACCTCGGGGATAAAGAAGTGGGAGGAACGACGCCGCTCGAGCCGCGGTACGCTCCCTCCCGGGCTCGGCTCGCTGCTGCCTACCGAAAATGATCGGAGCGAGCTCAAAGACACTTCCTGCAGCAGCCCCTCGGGCTCGGCTGGCTGCTGCCCGGGCTGGGCGATTGAGGGCCGCGCTGCTGCAAAGGCAGCCCTGTCAACCCGTCGGCTGCCGCGGGGAGGGCCGACGGCAGCGGCGATAGCTCCGCCACCCCCTCGCTGCGCGAATGAAAGGGGGAGAAGGAGGAGAGGCGCCGCGCCGAGTCGCCGACCGAGTCACGCCTCTTGCCCGTCCCCGCGGGGCTAGCCGCGGGACTAACCGCGCTGCCCACGCTGCCGCGGTGCGACGACGAGAGCCGCGTGCTCGCGCGCGATTGCGAGGCTCCGTCGGGTGTCGAGAGCTCGAAGCCTGAGCGGCGCAAGTGGAGGGCGACGGGGGACGAGTGCCACTTCTGCCTGTGAAACCGTGCCAGTGGACGTGTCATGAAATGCCATCCGCAGATGCACACGTGATGCAGGCGCTGCTGCCAGTTAGCGCTGCGGAGCGACGGCAGCTCGGAGGAGGCTTCGAAGCTCAAGTTGCCTACTCGGTGGGGCATCCGGCGGGCCGCGTGAGGGGTGTGTCGTGGGCGTGTCGGGGCGAGACGCGTTGTCAAGGGGCTGCCCGGCGGCGCCCTTCCAAGCACGTGCACCGCGCTGCTCAGGCTTGCGAGCTCGCCTGGCCGGATGCCCCGATGGATGCCCCGGAGCTGGCCCCACCCTTTGGCTGCCGGCGGCGCCACAGGGTCAGGGTCTAAGGGCCGGTACCGCCTCGGGCGCGCCGTCGCTTGCGTTGCGCCGGACGGTGGCGGCGTAGGCGGCCCGTTGAGGTGCGGTGAACCCGCCCGCGGCGCGGAGGCGGAGGAGTGGCCGTCTGAGCGGCCGTCCGGCGACGGCGGGGGCGTGCTGCGGACGAGCCAGAAGGAGGAGCTGATGGAGGCGGCGGCGGCGGCGGGGTGCGGAGGCGCGTACTTGCGCGCAGGGCGGAGTCCAAAGCCTCTCTCCCCGAGGAGGGCGGCCGTGGCGTCCGAGGCGTGCACGCGCTGCGGCTCACCCGCCTCCTCCATCAGCATGGCGCCGTACACGCCGCCGCCCCACATGTCAAAGTGGAAGCGGACGGTGCCGATGATGCCGCCGACTGCGCCGCCCGTGTGCAGGCCGACCCGCGCAGAGATGTCGACGCCTCTCTCCGCGGCGACGTCGGCGACGACGCCCACCATCTCGCACGCCATGGTGGCGGCACGGACCGCCGCGTCGCGCGCCCGCACCTCCGCCTCCTCCCCCTCCCCCGGCGCGTCGACAGCCAGCCCCGCCTCCTCCGCGTCGTCGTGCGGGCCCGCCTCGCCGGGGAACGCGCCTGTTGAGCACTCAGATCACGACGCTTCAGCTCATTGCCCGGCTGTGTGTGGAGGACCCGCCTCGCCGGACGAGGCGCCGGCGCAGGCGACGTACGCATCTCCGATCGTCTTGAGCTTGTGCACGCCGTGCCGCACCTTGATTAGAGGCACCACTAATGAGTACACTTGAGATGGTCTTGAGCTCGTGCACCGCCCTGCCGCGCACCGCGAGGTCGTCGAAGCGGCCGAAGAGGTCCGACATGAAGACGATCACCTCCTCGGGAGAGAGCTTCGCCTGCAGCGGGCGCGCCATGGACGTGTCGCGGACGTGCCGTGGGACGAGGGCATGGACGAGGGGTGCTCGAGATCCTCACCGAGAGGGCGGTGTAGCCGCTCAGGTCTGCCTGCAGCACCGTCACGCCGGCGTACCGATGGGCAACCTCGACCGAGCCTCCTCCGATCATGATGCCTGTTCACGGCGAGAGGGGTGAACGCGGGCGCTCTCCTCACACCTCGACCGAACCTCCTCCTCGGTCAGAGATGATCTCCTCCGATCTCGCGTGCGATGGGCTCGGGCAGAGTGTTGAGCAGCAGCCTGATGGAGAAGCGTGAGTGGTGAGTGGTGATTGACATCTAGTGGTTGGTACTCGGGCAGCGTGATGAGCAGCCGCCGGTGCACGTCGTCTCGCTTGCGCTGCTTCGCCGCCGAGTGTCGGACGAAGAGCTTGGCGTGCCTGATGTCACTCGGATCGCTCTTCTCGACTACTCGGTACTCGCCGAGAGGGGCGCGGGGAAGGCTGGCGCGTGCCGGAAGAGTGCGCGGTGGTGCGCCTCCGCCGGGGCGGCGAGGCCGAGGCCGAGGCAGACGAGCAGCAACTCCTCGCACAGGCAGCGCAGCAGCAGCACCGCGCCCACGTTGAAGCCGAGCAGCCCCGCGCAGAGGCCGATCGCGACCCGGCCGCACGCCTGCAGCGCCATGCCAATCACGACGAAGCGGAGCTGGACGCGCGGCACGAGGAGCGCGAAGCCGGCGAGGCAGGCGAGGGTCGCCTCGAAGTGCGGCGGTGCGCCCGTCTGCCGGGCGACGGAGAGGGCGAGCAGGCTCGGCAGCAGGGCTGCGGCGGAGAAGACGAGGACGGAGAGGAGGGCGGTACGGCTGGGCGAGACGCTGGAGCCGTGCAGGTGGATCCAGCCGCCCGCGCAGAGGGCGCCCGCTGCGAAGGAGAGGTTGAGGCCGACGATGAGCGCGCGCTGGCTCGCCGGCGCCGCGACGAGCCGACCGCTCAGCACCTCGTCGAGGAGGTCGAGGGCGAAGATGCACGCGCCGAGGACGCAGAGGTGTGCCAGCTCGAGGCCACCCGCCGAGCCGCCCGAGAAGGAGAAGTAGCGGTACTCTCGCTCCGCCTATAGAGGCCGGCGGCAGGTCACGCACACGACCCGAGGCGCGGGAGGGAGGGAGGGAGGGAGGGTGGGAGGGACCTCAGCGTCGTCGAAGTATGGAAAGACGGAGGAGGACAGCTTGGAGCACAGCGCCATGGACGAGGGTCGGACCTCCCGCGAGGTGTCGTCGCAGGCGTCCGGCACGCGCGAGGCGACGGCGAGGAGCGTGTGGACGCGGGTGAATCCAGAGTCACGGCGGGACGGCGGTGCAAGCTTGGGCGGAGTCGTGACAGCGGCACTTCCGGCGTCCACAGCTTCTTCCCGCCGCACAGCATTGACGCCCGGGAGCCAGGAGGACGGTCCAGTGCTGCTTTCGCCCGCACGAGGCGGCGCAGCGTCGCGGAGGCACATTGACGGACGGAGAGCACGCTGCGCCGCACGCTGCGCCGGGCGGCGTGCTCGTCCAGGTGGTGCGGCCGTGCAAAGTCACCGACTCGGGTCAGACGCTGTTTGCATCGAAAGAATTTTACAACCCAACTCCCTCGCACAACACTGGGCACGGGACTGGCGCGCACTGGCACTAACACATCGAAAGAATTTTAGCCCCCGAAAGAATCCAACCCGTGAAGACAACCGTGTGCGTGTGTCACTCACTCACTCACACTCACACGCAGACAACCCTTACCGTAGTCAACAAGTAAACTTTGTGCCCTCAGCGCTTGTCGCATACGGTGAGGCGTCACTGAGAGTCGCTCTTCACAAAACGCACAACCCCGGGACCGAAATCGCACAGAGACAGTCACGCAACACGGGGTCCCAGGGAAGGCGAGCAAAAACCTTACCGCGCGCGCTAGACGCCGCGACTCGGAGGCTGACAAACAAAAGGTATTGCTAAAAATCTCTCTCGGAGGCTGCACCGGTCAGGCGCGCAGCCGGAGCGAGAGAGGGAGGCGCGCTCAATCGCCGCACGCGGCGAGCGCCTCGCTCTTCACATAAACGCACTTCACATAAACGCACTTCACATAAACACAACCCCGGGCCCGAAATCGCCACTTCACACACAAAAACACAACCCCGGACCCAAGTCGCTCTTCACGCCGCGTGGTAGATATTATTTTGTGCAGAGGGGGGGGAGAGAAGCGGTCACGCACTCCGAGAGATAGTGCTCCACAAGTTGCGTGAACGAGGTTTTCTCTTACACTTCCTCGCGAAACCAACCGACGAGGCAGGTGCGCTGCCGCCTCGTCGGCATCACCTCGTGCGAGACCCGCTTGCTATCAAAGAGCACCAGCAGCCCCGCCGCGGGCAGCACCTCCTCCTCCACCTCCTCGCCCAGGGCGTCACAGAACACGCGCAGCGCGCCGCCGTCGCTCGGCTGCCACGGCTGCTCGCCCGTCAGATAGACGACGAATGAGTAAGCGCGCCCGCCGCTCCCCGCCGGGTCGACGCCCGCGAGCGAGTCGACGTGCCTCCTGTAGAAGCATCCCGGCTCGTAGACGACGAAGGTGGCCTCGACGCCGCGGGAGAGGGGACGGCCGAGCAGCGCCTCGAGGTCGCCGCGCGCCTCGAGCAGCTGCCCGTAGAGCGCGTCGAAGGCGGCCTCCTCCACGTCTGGCCGCGCGGTGTACGCGCTGCGCAGGTCGTCGACCGCCCCGTCGGAGCTGTACGAGGCGGTGGGTGTGAAGGCGTACTGCCCTGCGGCACGAGCAGAGCGAGCGGGCTCAGCTGGTGCTTGGCATTGGCCGCGCAGCACGCAGGGTCCCCAGAATTATTCCAAGCACGGTGTGGTGAGGCATGGCCACTGAATGCTGCGTGAGGGATGGCCGCTCACCGAGCGAGCGGCGGAGCGCGGCCACGAGCGCCGGCTTGGCGAAGGCGCGCTGCTTGTGCACCCTGCCGGCGGCTAGCGTCGCTGCGCACGAATCGTCCAGGCTCCTCGAGGAACGCCACAGGGGCTGCGCCGAGGGCTGCTCTGCCGGCTGCGACGTGCATGTCGCCACCAGACCGGTCTCCGCCTTCCCCGCGAGCTGCGCGATGATGTCGGCCGACTCTTGGTTGGCCCGCACTCGGTGGCGTTTGGCGGCGGCCTGCAGCTCGGCGCGCGTCAGCTGAGCGAGCGACGCTGCCGTGTGCACGCCACAAGCGTGCGGCGAGGCAGTGCACGGAGTTGCCCCTTCTCCGACTGCCCCGGCTAGAGCGGGCGTCCGTGCCCTGGCGACGCGGCTCATTGCTCGACGCGAGGAGTGGCGCGTACGGGGCTCCGCAGCACGCGCTGCTGAGGTGCGCAGGCAGCCGACGACTGCCGCAGGCGGTGGCAGCTGCAGTGCGAGAGACTTGGAGCGACGATCATGTGCGTCCACAGGCAGCCACTTTGGCACGACGACGTACCCGTTGCCCTCAGAGAGCTCGCACATTGCTGCTGCCGCAGTTTCGGGTGGCGACGGCGTCGGCACACTGGCAGCAAAGAGCCACGCACTCCGCAGCGCCCCGCCATGAAGCATGGCCGGCCAGGCTGACGTTCTGTAATTCTTTGTTTTCGGGCGAAGACAAGCTGATGAGTCGACTCTTTTACAGAAGAAATACGCGGACCTTGTTGTCTGATTTGGCGCTTGGTTCCGCGCGCGCGGTGCGCGCGCGGTCGGTCAGATCCTGGGAGGTCATATCGAACCGCTACCATCTGTGTGATGTCGACTTCCTCCAGCAGGAAGCGCGGTCGTTCCTTGCACTGCCAGTCCGCGTCGAGTGCCGACGGCCTCGTCGAGCGCTTCGCCGCGTGGCAGCGCCGGCATGCGTGGCGGCACCTCAGCGCGGTCGAGCGAGTGTGGGCCATCTCTGACCTGCACATGGAGCACGAGGCCAACTTTGACTTCGTGAGCGGCCTCGCCGGCTTCGAGCGCGACGCTTTGGTCGTCGCGGGCGACGTTTGTACCTCGCTGGCCTTGCTGCGGAGCGCTCTTAAGCTCCTCGCCGAGCGGTTCAGGCACGTCTTCTATGTCGTGGGAAACCACGAGCTGTGGCACGACGCCCAGTCGGACGGCGCCGACTCCTTTGATAAGCTGCTCGCGTGCTACGAGGCTGCGACCGCCGCCGGCGCGCACGCGGCGCCGGCGCTTCTTGGCAGCTCCTCCGGCGGCGTCGCAATCGTGCCGCTCCAGTCGTGGTACCACTTTGGCTTCCTCGGCGGTGGCCCGGCGGCGGACATGCCGGCGGGCCATGCCCTGCGGATGATGGACTCGGGATGCGTCTGGCCGGGAGCGCTCGGCGGCTCGTCGACTGCGGCCGGGCTCGCGCGCTTCTTCGCGCGCTGCAACGAGGAGAGCCTCTCGCAGGCGCTGAGCGCCGAGGGGCGGGCCTGGCTGCTCGGCCGCGCCGGGCAGGAGGAGGACGCGGGGCGGGAGGAGGAGGACGCGGGGCAGGAAGAGAACGCGGGGCAGGAGGAGGGAGCGTCTGGCGGGAAGCGGCAGAAGAGGCTGCCGGCTGTGGAGCGTGCGGTCGCGGGTGCGCGGCGGCGGTCGCGTGCCGGGAGGCGGTCGGTCGGGCAGTCGGCGGGCGCGCAGGGCGGGCCGCCCGAGCGAGCCGGCGATCGCCGAGCGGTGGTCAGCTTCAGCCACTTCTTGCCGCGCGCCGAGCTGCACCGGACGCACCCGAGCCGGCTGGGCGACAGGCTGGGCGATGTCGAGGGATCGGCGCTGCTGGGCGAGCAGGCGGGGCCCCCACGCCGCCGCCGCCCTCTCCGCCGCTGCCCTCGCCACGAACGACCCCTTTGCCTGCCTCCCGTCAGGTGGCGCGCCTCGCCCCGGACGTGCACGTCTTCGGTCACACCCACTTCTCGATCGACGTGACCCTCGGCGGCACGCGCTTCCTGCAGCACCCACTCGGCAACCCGACCGAGCGTGAGGCCGAGCGCGGCGGCGGCGAGTTCCCCGTCTGCAACCACACCACGGCGCGCGCTCCGCTCGCTCTCGTCTGGTGCCGCGCCGAGGGCGTCGTCCCCGGCGCGCCGTCCGACCCGTCCGAGTTCAGCAGTTGGCTCGTCCGGCTCGGAGCAGACTGGCGGCCGCGACCCAGGGGCACGGGTGCGCGCCGCGTGCCCGGCACTCAGTCCGAAAGGAAAAACATCCCCACGCCCCCCTAGGCCCTAGCGGCACCGGCACGGCCTAGGCCCTAGCCGCTGCGCACGCGGCGAGAGCGTCCAGCGCGTCCGCACGTCTTTTTTCGCATGGTTTTTTTGCGGAATTTCTGCGCGCACTCTAACACATACACACAATGTGTGACAGAATGACGAGACCTATCGCACATCTCGATCGCCCTCTCTCGTTATGCACACGCCTGGGGCCTAAAAACTAGAATCAGACTAGAATCCACTCGCATTCTCTCTCGATCGCGAAAGCTCACAGCCGACACGTGTGTGGCTCGCTCCTGGCTCGCTCTCGCAAACGGGCACCCCCCGCTGCGCTTGGCTTGCGGCCCCGAAAGTTTGCGCTGCGATTGCGGTACATCGAGGCTCAGGAGCAGCCGCCGCCTCTGCAGCAGCCGTCCTTGTCGTGGTTGCTCGCGGCGCGATTGGCAGCCTGCACGCGCTCCTCGATGGCGGCCTTGTCGTAGCCCTCGTTGTAGAGCTTGCGCTTGACATCGTCCGAGAGCACCTGCCGCAAGCCACGAGGTGTAGAGGGCCGCAGATCGCCGCGGGGTGGGAATGGGGGGACGGGCGGGGGTCGCACCTCGAGCGCCTCGCCCAGCAGCTTGAACTGCGCCTCCGCCGCGGCGCGCGCCTCCTCCGTCTCGCAATTCTTGTCGGGGTGGAACTCGAGCGCGCGCTGCTTGTACCCGGCCTTGATCTCGAGCGTGGATGCGACGGACGGCACGGCGAGCAGCGCGTAGTAGTCAGGCCGCCGCTCCTTGCGCACCTCAAACTGGGCCCGCTTGTACGCGGCCGACACCTGCGTGTCCTGCCCGAAAGTCTGCATCAGCCCCTCGAGCATCTGCAGCGCCTCATTGTGACGGCCCAAGTGGTGCAGCGCCGAGGCGCGCGTCACAAAGGCGCGCGTGCAGTCGTCCTGTGCGTAGATGGCGACGGCGCAATCCTTGAGCGTCGCGTCAAAGTCCTTGAGCCGCAGCCACGTCGCTGCGCGGTCCGCGTACAGAGAGGCGGAGAGGGGCGCGTGCTGCGGCGCCGACGCAGTCTCGAGCGCCTGAGTGTACTCGCGCGCGGCGTCCTCGAAGTTGCGCGAGAAGGCCGCCTGCTTGGCGGCGTCCACGTGCCGCTCGAGCTTCCTCACCTTCTTCATCGTCCGGCCGGCCTCCGCGTCGTCCGGGTCGAGCCGCAGCGCCGCCTTGAGGTGCTTGTGCGCCTGGTCCAGGTCCGCCGAGTAGAAGAGCGCGAGCGCGCGAAGCACGTACGCCTCCGACGCGTTGGCGTCCTGCTTGATCACCTCGCGCGTCGTGCGCAGCGCGCGGTCGCACAGGCCGAGCGCCAGCTCCGCGCGCACCAGCGAGAGGCGGCAGCGCACCGCCGACGTCTTTTGCAGCACGTTTGCGAAGAAGGTGCGCGCGAGGGTCGCGTTGCCTTGCTCGAGCGCGAGCTCGCCCTCCCGCTGCCACTCGCAGAGCTGCGTCGCCGTCCGCACCTCCTCCGCCAGCACCTCGCCGCCGCAGGCCGCGACGCCGGCGTCGAGGGCGGCGGCGGCCTTCTCGAGCTCGCCCCGCTCGATCAGCGCCTTTGCGAGCCGCTTGTGCGCCTTGACGAGGGCGGGGTCGAGCCGGAGGGCGTCGGCGCAGTCGTCGATGCACGAGTCGTAGTCGGCCGTCATGAAGGAAGTGGCCGCGCGGTTGAGCCGGTAGGTGGGCACCTGATCATTCATGGCGCTGGTCGGATGCGTCACGGGGGAGCGTGGTTGAGGCTGGCGGGCTCCTCGTGCAGGGTGTGTGTGTGGCGGCGTCCGCCGCACCTCGGGAGCAAGGTTGATCGCCTTGGAGTAGAGGGCGAAGGCGTCGCGGTAGATGCGCTGCTCAAACTTGGAGTTGCCGGCCGCCTTGAGCTGCTCCGCCTGCGGCGAGGGAGGAGGGCACGAGGGAGGAGGCATGAGCAAGCTTGCGGTGTCGGTGATCACGAGTGAAGCCCGTCTCCCGCTCGAGCCTGCTGCAGCCGCGCCGCGCTCTGCTGCCGCGGCGAGGCGCCGCCATCCTCTGTGGCCGAGCCCGCAGCTCCGGCCTGGTGCGTATCCGACGACGTCATGTGGTCACTGAGTCCAGTGTACTCCCCATGCCACGTGCACCCCTGCAGCGGGCACTTCACACGGAGCCGCCCGAGGACCCGCCACGCGAGTGGGGACGCGAGGCGGAGCTCTCCGGCCCCATGGCGCGGGTCGAGCTCGAGGGAGCACGTCGGGCACGACGGCTTTGTGGCCAGCCAGTCCTGCAGGCACGCGAGACAGAAGATGTGTTGACAGCGCGTGAGCAGCGGCGCGTCAACCAGAGAGCAGCAAATGGCACAGGTGAACTCGGCGGCGTGGTTGTCCTGGCCGTCGAGGAGTACGCCCTCGAGGCCCATGCTGAGCCGGCGCGCCGGCGAGGAGCTGGCGCTGTGGGCGATCCGAAACGAAGGCAAGAAACGCGCCGTAGCAGGCCAAGGATCGAGGCCACAGCCGAGGAAGAGGCATCAGAAACGACTGCGAGGCAGTCTGGTAACGCCCGGAAGGCGAGCAAGGGAACGGGACGAGCCGAGGGCTCGCCCCGACGGGCGAAGGAAGGGACTCGGGGACCGGAGCCGGGGCGGGCGCACACACATGAGGCGTATCCGTGTACGTACGTGGTGGAGTACAGTGTGGTGTGTCCGTTAGGGAGAGGGGTGTTCTCTAGGCCCCTAAGGGCCCTACGCGCGGCGTGAGAGCTCGGAAGCGAGCTTTGCACGGCGATCGAGGATGGCGCGGTTCACCCCTGCGCTTGTCAGGTCTCACGCCCAAGCAAATGCGGATAGCCAAAGCAAGCGAAATCAATGTGGAGCAGCTCATCAAGCGCCGCACGCAGCGGCACGTCCTCCTCCAGCAATGCACGCAGGGCGCTCCTACGGCCACTCTTAGCAAGGGACGACTCATGCTGTCCGAGGCTGTTGATGAGCGCACTGTACGGCGGCGCAAAGCCGCCAGTGCGCCGCGACAGTTCATCCCAGTCGGAAACAAGTCTCTCGACGCGACCGACGAACGTCATACGGTCGCCGTATGCACGCAGTGCGCCCGCTTCCGCGTGATGGAGCCGATGGAGGCTCAACCTCGCCACATGCCTTGCAGAGAAGAGTCTCGGCAAGTCTACGTCAAGAAGAGCGATGACGAATTCGCGAGCAAGGCCGGTGGAATTCGTTATGTTACGCGGAAGACAAGCATCAGCAGACTGGCTGCACCACTCCTGCGTTTCGCCCTTTTTCCTAGGATCGCGTAGGCAGCACATCTTGTGTGTGTAGAGCGTTGCCTCATCATAGCCAGAGAGGAACCGCTCCATCGGCTCGCGTACAAAGGCAAAATACGTTCCACGCACGCCAAGCGCCGCCTCCGGCCGAGAGAGCTTGGATGACGAAGTTGGAAGCAGCTCGAATCTCTTCGGCTTCGCTCTGCCACGCAGTTGCGGGTGGGGGACTTCAAGTGCGCGCTCGGGTGTGATGATGCGAGCGTGCGACACATCAGGGGCGAGTGAGCCCTCCGGCGACACGAAGGCGTGGTCGAGGTCGTTGTAGCGGAATGCGGATGAATGTACCCGCGCACTTATAGATATCGACGAAAGCGAGCACCACGTTGCCAGTCTGGTTGAGACTATTGCGGCGGCTCCACACCATTGTTTCGTGCCCACCCTGGCTTGTGTAGAACTCTCGCATGAAATGAAGCTCTTCTCTGGATCGCTTGCGCTTCCAAGGTGGACAAGACGAGCGGCAGCTCGAGCATACTCCCACTGTGCAAGCACCCAACGACACTAGAAGAAAGAATTTTGGCCGCCTCCCATACTTTAACAGGGCCGAACCCGCTTTTTTTTCTGCGTGTTGTCAAATCACAGCAAAAACGCCGAATGGTGGAGTCGGCGTTGTCGACTCGTTCTATCTATCTATACAGTCGAGCTCTTCCTTCGAGCGCAAAACATGGGAAGGGGGGGGGGGGGGGGGCAAAGGCTTCCCAACATGCTAGGGGGGGGGGTCCCCAGCGCCTGCACCACATGCTGGGGGGGGATGGGGCGTGGAGAGAAGGGCGCCCCCCTCCCTGGAAGCGATGTCCGCCTGCTCCGGACGCTGGAGGATCGTTCGACCTATCTTTCTGTGGCGAGCGCGGCGGAAGCTAGCGCCGGCAGCAGGCCGGTCCTGTAGAGACTTCGAGCCGGGAGACACCTTTGTCATCCCGGCGCAGGCTGCACGTCAATGACGGTGAAGGTCGCGTCGTCGACGCGCAAGGTCTGCACCCCTTCCGGGGTCGGCTCGAGGTAGGTGAGGGGCGGGAAGAGGTACTCCTCCTCGGCGGGGAAGGCGGAGAGGAAGGAGATCGCGGGCCCGCGCACCATGAAGTTCTTGGCATCAATGCGGAGAAGCAGCGGGTTCTGCGCGCGCGTCGGATGTGCGTGAAAAGGACGGCATACGTGATTTGGGGGGGGGGGGGTCAGTGTATCGCGGCGAGGGCGCCTCGGACGCCGCGTATTGCATCGCCACCTTGAGGCTCCGGGTGGTGGACATCGGAGCCAGCTCGGTGCCTCCGCGGCCTTGCTGGAGGAAGTTGTCCTGGACCTGAGGGGCGCATGGGAGGGGCTGCGCTGACAGACTGAGCGCAATGTGTTGGGGGGCCAGTCGGACGCACGCCTGCATGCCCTTCATGCCACGGTAGAGGGTGACAGACACGTTTGCCCAACTCTGCTGTGCTGCGACGACTCGCAGAAAGCCGAGGGCCTCTTTGATGAACGCTACCGTGACCGGCAGCGGATGCGGCCGCCCTGCCCTGTAGCGAGCCTAGATAGCGAGAATTCGGATGTGCTAGAGAGGCGAATGGCGGTTGGGTGCAGGGGTCGGAGGGTTCGCTCTCCTGGTCGCGCAAGCCGTTGTTGATGGTGGCGAAAGCCGCGGTGGTGTAGAAGCGCAGCGCCGCCACGTGCGCCTCGCCCAGCCCGGCGAGCAGCGCGTCCTTGTGGGCGACGAAATCGCTGAGCCGCATGCCCCGCCCCTCCGCAGTCAGACGGCTAGGCAACACGCAGCCGTCCTCGTCGCAGTCGCGCTTCAAGCCGCTCTGGAAGGCTTTGTCGCTGCTGCCAGCCTCCTTGTCGAGCACGTAGGAGAGGCACTCCTTGTCTTCCTCGGTGCCATTGCGCGCAACCTCCTCCCGGATCGCCTGCAGCCCGAGATTCATGCCGTCGCGAACCTCCGTGTCTCTGACGCACAAGTAGTGCGCGACGCCCCGCGCTGCCTATGTGATAGGGCGTCAGAGGCCGGTGAAGGAGGATAAAGGGGCATGTGGGCATGCATGCGCGAGCGCGGGCACCTGCTCCGGCCGCCCAAATATCAGGTCCTTGGCCTCAAAGCGAACATCGCCGCTTGGGTCTCGCAGCTGACTGTACCTCCCTTCCAGTTCGTCCGCCGCAGCGAACATCGCCTTGTGCAACTCGTTCTTGGCGTTGGCGCGCGCCTCCATCGACTCGCGTGATTTGATGCTTCGAGCCAGTTCGCGCGGGGAGAGCTGCTCCGAGGGGCCCCAGTTCTCCTCATCGAACGAGCGCTCGCGACTCGACGTGTGCGCTCGGGCTTTAATGCGGCGGCGGCGGAGGAGGACGAGGCACAGTAGGATGAGCAGGGCGAACCCCGCGCCGGCGCCTCCCACAATGGGGCTGATGGACGAGGGCGAGGCCGACGGCGATGCGGAGAATTTGGACGGAGGCGGCGGTGCGGACGGAGGCGACGGTGCGGACGGAGGCGGCGGCGACGGCGAGGCGGACGGTGGCGGCGGCGACGGTGAGGTGGAGGGAGGCGGCGGCGAGGGCGAGGCAGAGGGCGGCGGCGGCGACGGCGGCGGCGACGGCGGTGAGGAGGGCGGGTGGGGCGGCGACGGCGGCGACGGCGAACGAGGAGGTGGAGGAGGCGCGAGAGGTGGAGGAGGGGCAGGAGGCGCGACGGGTGGCGGCGGAGGCGGCGGCGGCGGAGAGGGCGGCGATGGAGGCGACGGCGACGGCGGCGGTAGGGGCGGCGAGGGCGGCGGGGGCGGCTGCGAGGGCGGCGCAGGAGGTGGCGGCGGCGGCGGCGAAGGCGGCGGCGGGGAACTTGGCGGCGGCGGCGGCGAGGGCGGCAACGGCGGGGTAGACGGCGGGGACGGCGACGGCGGCGGCGACGGCGGGGACGGCGACGGCGGCGGCGACGGCGGCGGTGACGGCGGCGGCGAGGCCTGGCACGCGGCCCGAGCTTCGGTGTAATGACCATAGTTCGCAGAGTAGCAGCCAAAATAATGGCAGTTGACCCCGTAGCACGTGGCAGTGCAGCCATTGACTTGGCAGGCCAGATAACTGCCGTCGTCGTAGCAAAAGCAAGGAGGAGGAGGAGGCGCGACGGGTGGAGGAGGGGGAGGAGGGGCGATGGGCGGCGGCGGAGGCGGCGGCGGCGGAGAGGGCGAGGTAGAGGGCGGCGGCGGAGCCGGCGGCGGCGGCGAGGGCGATGTCGAGGGCGGCGGAGGGGCGGGTGGCGGCGGCGAGGGCGATGTCGAGGGCGGCGGCGGAGACGGTGGCGGCGGCGAGGGCGAGGTGGAGGGCGGCGGCGGGGCTGGTGGCGGCGGCGAGGGCGACGGCGACGGCGGCGGTAGGGGCGGCGAGGGCGGCGGGGGCGGCTGCGAGGGCGGCGCAGGAGGTGGCGGCGGCGGCGGCGAAGGCGGCGGCGGGGAACTTGGCGGCGGCGGCGGCGAGGGCGGCAACGGCGGGGTAGACGGCGGGGACGGCGACGGCGGCGGCGACGGCGGGGACGGCGACGGCGGCGGCGACGGCGGCGGTGACGGCGGCGGCGAGGCCTGGCACGCGGCCTGAGCTTCGGTGTAATCACCATAGTTCGCAGAGTAGCAGCCATAAGAATGGCAGCTGTTTCCGTAGCACGTGGCAGTGCAGCCATTGACTCGGCAGGCCAGATAACTGCCGTGGTCGTAGCAAAAGCAAGGAGGTGGAGGAGGCGCGACGGGTGGAGGAGGGGCAGGAGGCGCGACGGGTGACGGCGGAGGCGGCGGCGGCGGAGAGGGCGGCGATGGAGGCGACGGCGACGGCGGCGGTAGGGGCGGCGAGGGCGGCGGGGGCGGCTGCGAGGGCGGCGCAGGAGGTGGCGGCGGCGGCGGCGAAGGCGGCGGCGGGGAACTTGGCGGCGGCGGCGGCGAGGGCGGCAACGGCGGGGTAGACGGCGGGGACGGCGACGGCGGCGACGGCGGCGGGGACGGCGACGGCGGCGGCGACGGCGGCGGTGACGGCGGCGGCGAGGCCTGGCACGCGGCCTGAGCTTCGGTGTAATCACCGTAGTTCGCAGAGTAGCAGCCATAAGAATGGCAGCTGTTTCCGTAGCACGTGGCAGTGCAGCCATTGACTCGGCAGGCCAGATAACTGCCGTGGTCGTAGCAAAAGCAAGTCTGCGTTATCGCGAGGTCGAGACCGGCGGCGCAGGGGAGCGTGATGGCTAGCAACGTGAAAGCGCCCACGATCGGAGGGAGTTGGCCGTGCGAGTAGTGCGAGTAGTAGGCGAAAGCCTTGGTGCTCACCCCGCTGACCGCGATGACGCAGCAGACGCAGAGCAGGTTGAGCCAGCAAAGATTGGGCCAGTAGAACCAGCCGCAGGCAGAGCCTTCCGGCGTGGCCGCCTCGATGTACGCGCTGTCCATGTCCGTGTCAGCCAGGGCGAGGCCGTATGGGTAAGAGTTCCCGGAGCCAGACCAGCCGACCTCAGGTGTGCACGCCGACTCGAAGATACCGTAGCAGGTGAGAGGACCGGACGGTGGCGACGGCGAGGACGATGGCGGCGACGGCAGCGAGAGCGGCGGCGGCGGCCCCGGCAGTGGCAGTGGAGCTACTGTTGTGATGTCGAGGATCGGCGGCAGGAACTTGACGAGGATCGCGGCAGTCGAGCCGCCCGTGCTGAGTACCGCAAGGAACGCGAAGAAGATGCTGAGCAGGCGGAGGCGATCGGTGCTGGCCAGCATGCAAAACCAGCGCATGCAAAACCAGGCGATCGGTGCTGGCCAGCACGCAAGGAGGGAGGGGAACGCAGGAACTGCCGAGATCATTGCCACTGATCGTTCCATCGTTCCCCCCCCCTGGATTCTTTGTTGGTAGAGTACATCCGGACCCAGTACCCGAACCCATGTGACCCCGTAAGTCGTACAGCCCGAAATTGGCCTTGTTCGAACCGCAAGAGTGTGCTCTGCCACCCCCCGCCCGGTCCGCGCAAGATCTTGTTGGTTTTCAAAAATCTCTCTCCCGGTCCGCCACACGCCGTGAAAATACTTTTTCAGTGCTGTCAGGTTTGCTGTCAGGTTTGGGTCAGCACAGTTCTGAGACAGGGCGTGGAGTCGGCCTACACACAAAAGGGGGGCAGAGATAGATTTCCTTCTAGAGAGAGAGATTTTTGAAGACCAACAAGAAATCACGACTTCACAGTGATCTCTCCTTCTACTACTACGAAAAGAAGTACAGGGCCCGAGGTAAACAGATGCGCAGCCATGTCGTCCACCTTGTGCAAGGGTGTGTACCTTGAATACTGTTAGCTCCGAGTAGAGGGGGCGTTCTGCAGTTAAGGGGAAACCCGGTACACGGAACTAACCCTCGGAGACCCGTGTTTACTTTACGGCCCTTTCCCTGCGAACGCGCACCCCCCAGGGCTAGGGCTCTCTTGCCCGCAACCCGATCCCGATCATCCGGCCCGCTGGGTGCGCTCCTCAGCTCCCCGGCCCTGGATGTGAGGTTAATGACTGCACTCCAAGTGCTCCAAGTGCTGGCACCTCCGTGCGAGCATGCTCCGCCTGCGGCGAGGAACTGGCGCTGCTGCAGGCTCGGCGAGCGGCTGACGGCGATCCGAAACGAAGGCGAGAATTTTACAACCCAACTCCCTTGCACAACACTGGGCTCGGGACTGACTCGCACTGGCACTAACACGAAGGCAAGAAACGCTGCCCCTTGGGTGTTGCCCCAATTGCCCCCCCCCGAGTCGCCAATTGCTCCGCCCCTTTGAGTCAAGGTTCAAGTGCTCCGCACTCTTCCCCCAAATGATCATTAATAAGATATAAACAACGCCGCGCTGCAGTTGAGGCTACCTGCCAAAACCTTAATAGCTGACGTCGGTAGACGGTACTGCGTACATGTACTCTACTCTGAGAAAGAGAGCGCCGGAAGGTGCGACGTGCGCTGCGCGGTGCGCTGTGTAAACTCAGCGCGCGCCGGCGCTAAGGCGCCGGGGAGGAGCGGCCTCCCAGCACGCTCTCCACCCCCTCCTTTGCCGGTTTGAGCAGGGAGTCGAGCGCCTGTTGTCGGGCGGCAAGTACGCGTGAGGGATGTGCCCGTGGGCGGCGTGGCGGCTGGAGCGAAGGGGGCGGGGTGCCGCCGCCGGGGCACCGCGCGAGAGGGCGACGGTGCGGAAGCGCGCGAGCCACGACCGCAGCACGAGCGAGAGGCGGCGCGCCTGAGTCGCAGAGGCGCGAGCGTGAGGGCGAGCGCAGGCGGCAGGGGCGCGCGGCCGGCGGCGCACCGCGGCGACGCACGAGGCGGCGGCGGTCGCGTGCGGCGACTGCGCGGCGGCAGGCGGCGGCGGCGGCGGCTTGGGCAGCCGCTCAACGCGCGCGACGCGGCCGCCGCGCTTGGTGTATCGCGCGCCCGACCAGACAACGGAGCGGCCGAGCACGCCGTGCGCGGCAAAGACGGGGCAGAGAGTCGTGTAGAGGAGCCAGCCAAGCGGCGCGAGGAGGAGCGAGCCGCGCCCCTCGCGCCGGAGCCGCTCGACGGCGTCGCTCGACGTGGCGGCGATGACGGCGGCCTAGGGGCGGGGGGAGGCCTCCTCGGGGGAGGGTCGGGGAAGGGGCGCGCTCCGCGGTGGCGGCGGGTGGTAGCCGCCTGCGCGCGCGTGATGGCCCACGCGCCCGCGCCGCAGCAGAGGGCGGCGGCGGCGAGCAGGCTGAGCGAGGCGAGGTCGGGCCGCGCGAGAAGCAGCGCGCAGGGCCCGCCGGGCGCGCCCCGCGCCGCGGCGGCGGAGGAGGCGCCCCCGTGCGAGAGGAGCCGGAAGAGCTGCCACGCGACCGAGGGTGCGGCGGCGGCGGAGAAGGCGCCGCCGAGCCCCATCAGCGAGGCGAGCGCGTAGCTGCAGGCGAGCGGTGGGGCCACGTCAACGGAGGGGAGGCCACGGGAGCACTCGGCCGGGCCAAAGGTGCGAGAGCAGGGCGGGAGAGCAGGGCGGGAGAGCAGGGCGGCGGGAGGTGTCTCGGAAGCGTCCCTCGCCTCTCGAGGCGGAGCCGGTGGGCTTGTATGCGCGGCTCGTCTGGCGACGGCTGGGGGTAGGTGTCGAGCACGAAGAACTGGCGGTGGAAGAAGTTGTAGAGCTGGCTCGGCGAGCGGAAGTCGACCAGGTTGAGGAAGAGCAGCGGCGGGTTGGCGATGCGGCGGCGCTGCTTGCGCGCGACGGCGGTGATGATCCAGTCGTCCGAGTAGCCGCGGTTCTTCCAGTGCGCCATCACGCCGCCCGGCACGGACTCGAGCAGGTCGGCGCGCCTGTCCACGAGCTGGAGGTGTGAGGAGACGGTGCGGAGGGGCGAGGCGGGCTCCAGCCGCGCCGCATCAGGCAGCAGCCGCCCCACGCGTGCGACCCCTCGCCGCCCGCCACGGAGATCTCGAGGATGAGGCGGTACACGCACGCCGCGTGCGCGAGCACCGTCCAGCGGCCCGGCGCGTCGCACGAGAAGCCCGAGGCGGCGAGCGCGTTCGGGTCCGAGAGCAGCTCGTGCGCAAGCAAGTTGACGGCGCCTGGAGAGACGCGTCCCAGCAGCCGTCACGCACGCGTCGCGACAGCTGTCACGCACCGTGTCTGGGACGCTGGCTCGTGCGCCACCAGCCCGACGGCGCTGCTCAAGAGGGTCGGCGAGGTGAGGCGATCGCACCAGCAGCCCGCCTCGGACCCTCTCGGACCTCTCAGGCCCTCCTTCTCGGCTCCTCCCTCGCCTGGCGCGAGCAGCATGTCGTCGTCGAGCATCAGCACGAGCTCGGACTGCTCGCCGATGCGCTCGACGGCGTGGATGAGGTTGTGCAGCTTCTGGCTCGTCCCCACCGCCAGGCCCGCCACCAGCACGCGCACGTTCTCCGTCGGCAGCGAGCCGCTCGCCTGCAGCTGCTTTACGAGCGAGTAGGCCTCGTCCTCCTCCTCCTGGACGACAAAGAGGAAGGAGACGGGCCCGGCGTAGCCGTGGCTGCAGCACTGCGCGCGCCAGTTGGCCGCGCTCTGCGCGTGCGCACCCTTGACCGGCAGCACCACGCACAGCGGCGGAGCCGAATCGCCCAGCGCCCGCGAGGCGTCGGAAAGCATCGCGGGCAGCGCCCGCGCCGATCGCCGCCGCAGGCGCGCCGCGTGCAGCCAGAGCAGGCCGAATGCGGCGTACGCGGCGGCGTGGGCTACGTTGAGGTACACTGCGGAGCTCGGCGATTCCATCGTTCGGCGCCGACGAGGGTCCTTGGCCACGGAGAGAACCCGCCGTCGTGCCTTTATCTTCTCTTGCCGTACCCGTAGGCGGACTATAGGGTTTGCGTTGAGCTAATCCAACACTAGGAGGGCCAATGAAAAAAGAAACTCGGTTTAGGTAACGTTGGTTGGGCCTCATTGCCGAGCTCACAGATCGCAGCCCCATCCAGCTTTTGCCCTCGTTCTCTGCCCCGCTGCGAGTCTCGCTCGATGAAGCTGGAGCCGCTGCTCCCTCCGTCGACCCTTGAGGAGGCCCTCCAACCGTGCGACAACGCTGCGTCCATCATCACTTCGGCGGCGGCGCCGTTTGTCGTTGTGCACGTCAACGACTTTTTCTGCAAGGCGTCCGGGCTGGAGGCCGAGGACGCGCTCGGCAAGGACTGCTCGGCGGTGCCGGGGCGCGGCACATGCCGCGGCACCCTCGCCATGCTCCGCCAGGCGCTGCAGCTCGGCCGTGCCCACTTTTCGGTCGGCCTGCTCAACTACACGCAACGAGGCAGGCCATTCATGTCGACGCTGCGCGTGGTGCCGCTGCTCGGCGAGGGCGGAGACCCGGCGCACTTTCTCGCGACTGTCACCTCCCACTTCCTCAACGGCGGCGGCCCCGTCCCGCCCTCAGTCCAGCTCCATGCCGAGCCGGTGCGGCCAGCACCCTCCCGCGCCTCCCGCCGCCTCGCCGCCGCCCAGCCCCGCCTCGCCCTACATCCGCCCGCCTCCTCCGTTTTTTGGGCCGCATGGCTGCGCGTCTCCTCTGCGGCGGCTGCCTTGCGCTCCTGTAAACACCTCCGCCTTCCCAAGCCCGGCTCGCCCCCACCGCCCCCCTCGCCGGCCGTCACTTTTGCCTGGCCCGCCCCCGTCACCCGACTCCGTTCTGCTCCAGGCGCCGACTGCCGCGCTAAACAGCCTCGCCGCGCCAGCCGTGGCGGCGATGCAGGTGCAGGAGCAGGCGGCGCGCGCCATCTCGGCCGCCGGGCTGGCAGAGCGAGCTAACGACGGCGCGCGCTCTATTCCCGCCGCCGCCCCTGCGCGCTCCCCCCCCCTCCCCTCCCTTCTACCTCCCCGCGGCTCCGTCCTCCCCGGCACTTCGACCTCTGAGCCCGCTTCTCCTCCGCGGGCAGGCTCCTCCGCCACCTCCTCCACCGCCTACCCAAACAGCGACGACGGCTCCTCGCCTGGAACAGACATCCTCTCCCTCGACGGGAGCAGCAGCGGCGGCGGCGGCAGCGCCGCTGGCAGCGTCAACGGCAGCAGCAGCAGCGGCGGCGGCAGCAGCAGCGGCAGCGGCAACAGTGGCGGCTCCGGCGGGCGTGTCCCCCCCTTTCTGACCAAGCTGTCCGAGATCCTGACGTATGAGCCGCGGGAGCTGGTGAGCTGCCCCCCCGACAGAGGAGAGACAGTCACGGCCCCCCCTCTTCCCCCCCCCCCCCACCTCTCTCCCCCCCTCTCCCCCCTCTCCCCAGCGGCACCGAGCGCGCGCCTGCACCCGATCTCAGGCGAGCCTGGACGCGGGCGGCTCCTCCTTCCTCATCCACGACGCCGCCCGCTTCGCCCGCGAAGTGCTCCCTCGCTACTTCAAGCACAACAAGCTCGGCTCGTTTTCGCAGCAGCTGCACACCTACGGCTTCCGGCGAAAGCAAGGGCACGCGGACAACACGCTCGCCTTCACGCACGAGCTGTACGCGGGCGACCCCTCCCCCGCCGCATTCCTCGAGTGGATCCGAAAGGGCGGCGCGCACGCCCTGGCCAAGCGAGACAAGGCGCCGCCTTACCCCGCGGCTGCGGCGGCGGCGGCTCCGGTGGCAAACGCGCCGCCCGCGCTGCTGCAAGGGCTGGCGGCGCTGCAGGAGGGGACGCGCAAGCTGGCGCTGAGCTTCCAGCAGGCCAAGAGCGCCGAGACGCTCCAGCTGCGCGCCGTCCTCGTCGAGCTCGTGCGGCGCGGCTGCATCACAAACGAGCAGGCGCCGCCCCTTTCCCCCCCCTTTCCCCACCCCCCCCCCCACCACCCTCCCCCGCCCTCCCCCGCCCTCCCCAGCCCTCTTCAACCCCCCCCCCCCCCCTCCCCCTTGCAGGCCTGCCGCGTCGGCACCATCCACCCGCACGGCGGCGGAGGCACAGACGGCGGCGCCGCCCCCTCGCCGCCCATCCCGGACGTGCTCTCCACGCCGTCCACCACCGCCGCCGTCGGGGGGCGCTTCGGCGGCTGGGGCGGCGTGCTGGGCGGGTTGCCCCTCAAGGCGAGCCGCAGCCTCTCCGCCGACGGCTTGCTCGCCCAGCTCGACGCGCTCGAGACGGGGCTGCCGCCTCTCTCTGCAGAGGGCGGAGGCGGCGGCGGCGGCCCCCCTGATCTGCCGATGCGGGAGGCGGTGTCGCTGAGCGGGCTGCGGATGGAGAAGGCGCGCGCCTCGCGAGCCGCGGGGGGCGGGCCGCCAAGGGGCCCCTCCTCCCACCCCCGCGTGCCACCCCCTCCTTCCACCCCTCCTTGCACCCCTGTGCCCTCGCAGGCCCCGTCGGACCTTAAGGGCGACGAGGCGCTCGAGCTGTTTGCAGACGTCTCCGCAAAGTCGCCTCACCTGGGCGGCCTCGCGGGCCTGTCCTCGCTCGTCCCGCCCTTTGGCGAGGACGCTGGCGGCGCGAGCGCCGGCGGCCAGCTGCCGGGCATCTCCTCCATGCTGCCGCCCGCCGCGCGCCACCCGCAGCCGTACCCGGTCTGCTCGCCGTCGTGCCATGCACCGCTCACCGCCGCCGCCGCAAGCTGCCTCTCGCCCCTCTCGCCGCTCGACCGGGCCGAGGCGCTCGCGCCGGAGCACCCCGCCGCCTTTTGGCGGGAGCGGCTTTCTGCGAGCGCCGACCCTGTCCAGCCGCGGATGGTGGCATCAGGCGAGCCCCTTCCCTCCCTCTCACCACCCCGACTCCCACCCGACCCAAACCCCGAGAACCCCCCTCCCCTACCCCTCCGCACGCCGCGTCCTCAGAGCCCCACGCCCCCAGCCCTGTCCCCCAGCCCTCGCCCCCGTCCCCCCCCGACCCGCAGGCCCCGCCGTCAAGTGCGAGCCGCCGCCCGACATCGACCGGCCCGCCAAGCGGCTCTGCACGCCTCCCCCAGAGCCGCCCGCCGCCGTCGCCGCCACCGTCGCGACCCTCTAGCCTCTCACTGCGCGCCGCCTCGAGCCGTGCCGGCGTGCTGCCATTTTTGTTCGCGAGTTCATGTCCCCATTTGGCCTTGGGCTGACCGCGTCTCCGCCAGCTGCGCGGCGCGCTGGCGGCTGTACGCGGCACCTCTTGGCGTCCCCTGCGTTGCTGCCTCTCGTACGTCCATGTGGAGATTGGCCCCGCACGTGTCCGTTGCTGCACGTTGGCCCGGCACGGGGGGCGGTCGCGGATCCCCCACGTTCCACCCCTCGCGATCCGCCCGCCTTCCCCGGTCTCTGTCTTGTCGCTCATTTTGGTTCATGAATGCATCCCTTGGTTGTGTGCTGAGGGAGTTGTCGATGATTGTATAGCCCTAGTTTATGTTAGAAGTGCCGGATGCCCGCCAGATTCACCGCGCCACGAGACCTCGCGATACGCAGTTAGCATGATCCCTGCAACGATGGAGCACGCGGATTGCACTGTGACGGCTGTTCGTACTCGGGCTGTTCGTACTCTCTCCTTGTCGTGCATGGCGTCGAGCATAAACTCCGAGCTCGCCCAGAGCGCAGACCTCTCGAAGGTAAACGGTGGTGACGCGCCCCTCCACCGCGCTGTGAGAGCGGCATGCGGAGAGCACGAGCCGTCGTTTGACGTGGACGGCGACAACGCAAGCCTTGCGGCCTGCCTCGACGCGGCCCTGGCCCGCTTCTCCGCGGCCGCGCTCGCAGCGGCTTTTCGCCTTCACAACCTGAAGGACGGCCAGACCCCGCTCCACCTCGCCGCCGCGAGAGGCAGCTTTCCCGTCTGCGAGGTGCTCCTGCAGCACGGCGCCCCGATTGACTCGTACACGCTCCGGCGCGCGGCCCTCCCCCACTTTTACGGCTGCACGCACAACTGTGGCTACTGGGTGGTGCGTGGCAGGGCGGGGCAACTCGAGCCTCTCAACAAGGCAACTGACCAGACCTGCCTGCATCTCGCCATCGACTATCTGGCCGAGGAGCAGAGCGAGACACAGCGCGTCGACGACACCGCCCTCGTGCGGCTGCTGATCGACCGCGGCGCCGACGTCGGCGCGCTTGACAGCCGAAGGCGCACTCCGCTCGAGAAGGCAGTCTGTGGAGGCTTGCACGCGGTGGCGGAGCTGCTCGCAGAGGCGGCGGGGCGAGGCACGTGGCAGAGCGGCTCAGCGCTGCATCTGGCGATCGGCCGCAGGGACGGCCGGATGGTCGAGATGCTGCTGCGGCTGGGCGCCCGCACCGACCTCCTCGGCAGCCACGGCTGGACGCCGCTCGGCCTTGCCGCCCGGTCCGGGGCCGCAGACGTGACCAAGGCGCTCCTCGTGGCTCGGGCAGACGTGCACGCCACCTCGGCGAACGGCAAGACGGCTCTGGAGATCGCAACCATCAACAGAGGCAAGCCGAGCAGCCGGCCCGTGCTCGAGGCTATCCAGACCGAGGTGGCCGCCTCCGTGCTCGAGATTGCGTTTCGGCGCCAGCCGCGCGACCCGTTCGCAGCGGTCAGAGGCGCCCCGCTGCAAGCTGTGCCCCACCTGCCGCGCCTCGCCCCCGCACCAGGCCCGCTGCTGCCACCCGTGGCGGCACTGCCCCCCTCGCCCCTCTGTGCAAGCAAGCGCCGGCCAAGCGGGGGCTCCTCGCTGCTCGTGCCCCCCGTCGCTCGGGCGGGCACCTCCCGCCCAATCCTGGAGGGGATGGAAGGGTCTGCAGCCGGGAACTGAATTTGAGCTGCGGGGCCAACCCTCGCTGCTCGGCCAAACGCCTGTCGCCTTCTCTCCAACCCTTTGCAGCTGCGAGCTCTGTCTAGTTCCGGAGAGTGGCGCGGTGTGCCGTGTGTCTGAGGCGCGACCGCGTTTTGTTGTGTGTGTGGTGCATTTCGCGTTGCGCCGTTGGTCTTCGGCGCAAAACGAGAGAGACATGAAGCCTCCCTCTCCACCCCCCTCGATGCCGCCGCCCGCATTTCCGCCTTCACCACCCTCCCGCCCTCTCCCCCATCGCCACCTTCGCCCCCCCTCTCCCCCGTCGCTGCCGCCGTTACCACCACCGCCACCTCCTCCGGGTGCCTCCGCCCTCGGCCTCGCCACCCCCACCTGCACCATCGCCTCCACCACCATCGCCACCATCACCCCCGCCGTCGCCTCCTCAACCACCGTCACCTCCGTCGCCACCATTCCTGCCCCCTCCTCCGTCGTATCCACCTCCTGCCTCGCCGCCGCCACCCCCGCTGCCTTCGTCGCCCCCATTGTCTCCCTCTCCACCCAGCACGCCGGTCGCCGCCCTTGCCGCCGCCACCGTCACCGCCGCCGAGCTCGCCGTCGCCGCCCTCGCCACCACCGCCCTCGCCCCCGCCACCGTCGCCGCCGCCTTCACCACCGCCACCTAGCCCGCCACCCTCCCCGCCACCGCCTTCGCCCCCTCCCCCGTCGCCGCCGCCTTCTCCACCGGCACCTTCTCCACCACCGCCCGCTCCACCGCCGCCGTCGCCACCGCCGCCGTCGCCGCCGCCACCCTCGCCACCGCCGGCATCACCACCGCCGCCACCTGCCCCGCCGCCACCCGCTTTCCCACCTCCACCCTCTCTACCGCCCCGGCCGCCGGAGACGCCTCCTTATTCGCCGCCTTCTCCGGCCCCCACCAACGCAGCCTCTCGGCGACGGGGCTCCACCAAATGCACCGCAGCCAAAAGCCCCCCTCCCGCTTCCTCCACCTTCGCCGCCTTCGGTGCCACTCACCCTTTCGACCGCCTATCACAACTTGCTCGTGCCACAGCTGCAAGAGCTAGAGGTGGACCGCCAGGCCATGTGTGCAGCGGCGGATCACTTGAGGACAGTCCTTGATACGGTGATCGAGGAGGCGGACAGTGTGTGGCAGCTATCTGCCGCTGCAAATAGCCACGGTGCTCCCACATGGACGCAGCGCTCGTGGAGCTCGAGGCGTCGCTGAAGCAGGCAGTGGATGGTCCTCTGCCTACTGCTGGGGCTGCAAGCCGTGCTCGTCTTGCTTGACGCTGTCCACGCCGTTCACTTGGCTAACCTCTCGCGAGGTCTTAGCAGAAGAACCGCCCGTCCAATATACTGGGAGCAGAGAAAGAGGCAGCGGCACGGTGGCGCCGACGGTGGCTTGGAGTTTGGCAAGGAGCAGACGGACAATGGGGCAAAGGAGCCCCGGCGCGACGGCTCGAGCACGACGAGGGACGCCGCCGTGACGGACGGCGAGGGCGGAAGCGGCGCCAAGGCGAGCGCGATCAGGAAGCTAGGGCGGAGAAGCAAGTCTGGCTCGGAGGGGAATAGCGTCTCTCCCTCCGCTCAAGCGCGCTCGAGGCTCGACTAAGCGATCGGCCCCGGCCGTTGCTCCGGATTTCCGGGAGAGCCTGTTCCTCGACGAGAGCCGTTTCCAGGCAGGCTCGGAGGCAGGCGTGGGCAGCAGTGAGGCATGGAATTCACAGGCAGCCTTCAGTCGAGTGGCGGGAATGCAGCAAGTCATCAGCTACGATGAGGCCCTGCTGAGACGGCCGGTCCGCAGAGTGACACAGCCATGAAGATCCGTGGCAACCTCCAGTGGTGCCGCCAACGCCGCCCCCGCCGCAGCGTTCGCCACCTGTGCAGCCATCGCCATCGAGGGAGCCAGTCAACCCCCTTGCGCCTCGACACCAACCCCAAACGTCGCAACACCTTCATCGCGCCGCGTGGAGAGGCTTGAGCAGATGCAACAGCAGTTGCAGCGACAACTCCAGGTTGAGTCGCAGCCACCGAGCGAGAAACCTGACGAGGGCCGGAAGGACACTCGCGCCGGCGCTAGGCGGGGAGCGGTGGCAGGCCTCGGGCTCAGCTGAGCTTCCGCAACAATCGGGACAATCTAGTACTGAAGTACAGTGTGGGTACCACGTATACATCTTGTACTGAGTTTAGTTAGCGTTGCTGCGACTGCTGCGAGTTCACTGTTTCGCATGAGCAATGTCGGGACCCTAGCTACGGTGAGTGTCGTCATAGTAAACAGAGAAGAGAGAGAAATCAGGTTTTTACGAAGCTTGTTCGCGGACGCGCTCGCCATGTCCGGAGGCGTTGCTTCGCTCGTCGTGGCCGATCCACGAACACAAAGAAACCACCGTGCCGCACGCCAAGCCGCGCGCTCAATGAAAGTGGAAAGGAGCGAATGAAACGCACACCCCACACGCGCGACCCCCCCCCCAGGTCCGGTCCCCCAACACCCTCTCACTGGACACACACACTCACCCCGAGAGAGAGAGAACGTACACCCCCGAATGAACTCTCTCTCTCTCTCTCACTCTCTCCGCGCACATGCTGATGTGCTTGCTATGCATGCTATGCATGCTATGCATGCTATGCATGCTATGCATGGTGGCAAGTGGGCATCCCGGTGAGCCGGCCGTGGCCCCTCCGGGCGCGCGCTCGGCCGCGCGTCTACTTGCACGCCGGCGGCTGCGGCGGCGCCGGGCAGGAGGGCACCGGGCCGCAGACGTTGCCGTAGATCAGCGGCACGCCAAAGGGCTTGACCTGGACCGCGAGCAAGCCGTAGCCCGGGCCGCACTTGATGTACCCCAGCCAGGGCTCGAAGGCCATGTTGAGCCCGTTGAGCAGGTCGAACACGAAGCAGAGGCCCATCCTCTTGGCCGTCCCGGGGCAGCAGATGTCGTGCTTCGGGCAGAGGATCCCCTTGAGCAGGCAGATGACGTCGTGGAAGATGGCCGACACGAGGCAGTTGACGCCGCCGAGCGTGCAGTACACAAACACGGCCACGTCCTCCAGGACCACGCACAGCTCGTGCAGCACCGAGCCGAGCACGTCGCGGACGAGCGCCGTGACGTCGCCGAGGATGGTGCAGACCAACCACTCGACATTCTTGAGCAGGCAGCAGGTGAAGTCGAAGATGCCGTGCAGCAGCGCCGCGATCTTGCAGAAGAGGCCGCGCAGGTCCACCAGGTCCCTCACCTCGCAGAGGATGGTGCCGACAAGCGCCGCGATCTTCTCGCCGATCGACGCCAGGTTGAGCTTCTGCAGGAAGCAGACGACGCCCGCGAGCACGTCCTGAACGAGCCGGCCGACGTTGGCGAGGATGCACTGCACGATCTTGAGCGTCTTGCCGACGAGGCCGCCGACGCCGCACAGCAGCGCCTTGACGGCGCAGAAGACCTCCTTCACCGTGCAGCCCACCTCCTTGGCGATGAACTCGAGGAAGCACCGGATCGGCTTCAGAATCTTCGCCACGGCGCAGCCGATCGCCTCGAGAAGCAGCTTGACCTGATCGAGCTCGTCCTGGACGACGCAGGCGACGCCCGAGAGGATGTCGCTGACGATGCCGTCGATGCCCGGCAGCAGCGCGCAGATCGCGGGGAAGATCTTGTTGACCTGCCCGAGGATCCAAGACACGCCGTGCAGGATGGCGCCCACCAGCTTGGAGACCTCGGTGAAGAGCCAGCAGAGGAAGGTGTCGATGCTGCCCAGCAGCTCCTCCACGAAGCAGCCGACCTTTTCCAGCAGGCCGTGCACGTAGCACAGCGCGTCGCCCACCACCTCCTTGACGAGCTCGAGCGTGTTGTGCACCACCTTGCCCGTCTTGCAGAGGACGCCGTTGACGAGCTCGCCGCTCTCGGTGAGAATCTCCCGGACGAGGCAGCCGACGCCCGCGAGCAGGAACTTGGTGAAGCAGAGCACCTCGCCCACGAGGCCCCAGATCCCGCGGAAGAGCTTGCGCAGGTCGACCAGGTTGGCGACGCTGCAGAGGATGGTGGAGAGGAGCTTCTCGATGCTGCAGAAGAGCCCCGCCGGCAGCACCTTCTTGAGGAGGCAGACGACGGCCTTCTTGATCCCATCCAGCAGGCAGCCCACGTTGGCGAGGATGTAGCTCACAATCTTGCTCGTCTCGCACGCGACGCCGTTCAGGATCATCCGGACCGCCGCGAAGACGTCGGACAGCGTGCAGCCGACGGCCTTGGCAACCATCTCGAGGAAGCCCTTGAGCTCGGTGAAGAGATCGCAGAGGAAGTTGCCGGAGACCTCGTGCAGGCAGAGCTTGAGCGCGCCCTTGCTGTCTACGCCCTTGCGCTGGATGTGGCCGAAGAGGCACAGCGCGCTCTGCTCGATGGCCGGAAACACCTTGCCGATGGCGCAGCCAATCTTGTCGACGGCGCCGAGGCAGTGGTGCGGGCCGCCGAGGATGGAGCAGAGCAGCTGCTCGATGTCGAGCAGGAGGTGGCAGAGGAAGCCCGAGACGCCGCCGAAGAGGCCCCGCAGGAAGACGGCGACCTCGCACAGGGCGTGCCTGACCAGGCGGAAGACGTCGCCCAGGACCTCCTTGACGAGGCCCATGGCGTCGCTGACAACCTTGCCCGTCGCAACGAGGACGCCATCCACGACCTTCTTCGTGTCGCAGAGGATGGTAAAGACGATCGACGCCACGTTTTGAAGCAGAAAGCGCACCGCCGAGAAGACCGTGCACAGGAGGTGCTCGATGTTCTCAAAGAGGCAGCGCAGGTCGACGAGGCTGGACACCTCGCGGAGAATGCCGCCCACGAGCGCCTCGATGCTGGCGAAGAGCTTGGTCGGAAGGATGCACTTGAGGAGCGCGACAACTCCCTTCTTGATCTCGGAGAGCAGCTCGCCGACATTCTTGAGGATGCACTCGACAATCTCGCCGATCGAGCCGGTCAGGTCCTCCACACCGCCGAGCAGCGCCTGCACGGCCTGGTAGACTTCGTCGAGCGTGCAGCCAACCGTCGTCGCGATGTTGCTCAGGAAATGCTTGATGCCGTCGAAGAGGTGCCCCGTGGACAGCTCCTTGAGCAGGCAGGCGACGGCCTCGAGCGAGCCACCCGCGGCGTCCACCACGGCCTTGAAGATGTGCTGGAGACCCTTGGTGAGGCCGGCCTCGCCCGGCAGGAGCTGGCAGATGGCGGGACCGATGGCATCGATCAGGCCGGCAAACTCCGCGAGCAGTGCAGGCTGCGTCTCGATCTTGCCGCGAGGCACCTTCGCCGCGTCGTCGCTGATGTCCGCGGACGACAGAGCGAGAGGAGCGAGCTTCTTGGGCGGCGACGCGCGCGCCTTTGCGATGTACTCCCTCGAGGGCGGCGGCATCAGCGGCGAGCCGGGGCTGTTCTTGCTGAAAAGCGGCATGGCTGCGAGGGTCGAAAGAGGGAGTGTGGCTGTTCCTGCCGCGCGAATTGCAGAGACCAACTCAGTCACGCTGTGATCTCCTTGCCCGGGTTGGCGATCGCCTTGGTTGTCCCTGAGATCCCTAGGACGTAGGGGCGGCTGTTTCCACTGGGTCCGAGGCTGTTACCACTCAGAGAGAGTGCGACGCTCCGGCAACTCGTGAGGGATCGGTCGGGGTTGCGGGCGGACGAACGGAGTGAGATGACGTTCGTTCGTTCGTTCGTTAATAGATAGACGTAAGAGCTAGACTCAGCTAGACGGGGTCTTGTGGATGTGGTACTGGTAGACGTGTGTAATTGTATTGCCCTGTTCTTGAGCGTACTGTAAGCGTTGAGGGGCATGGGGGGGCTGAGAAACCAGAAACACGCACAGGACCACGCACATGCTGTCTCAGGTATGTTGTTAATACACCACTCACGGCCATGCTCATGCAGCGTTTTATGGAACACCGCTTATTATCCCGCACTCGGATCACTCATCACTCGTGTGTCCGGGTGTTACGCTTTTGCCAATTATGGTGCCGTCCTTCTTGCTTGACTTCGGGGAGACCCGTTACCCGCCCGAGGTGATCGCAAACGGCCAAAGAAAGGCGGCGTCCGACTCGAACGACCTCCCAGCACCACCTCTCAGCATCTCTGGTCTACGCCGTCGCGGGGCGATCGACACGAGCGCAGAGTGCGAGCTCCGGGAACCACGTCGGCGCCGCTGTGTCAGTGGGAGCGCGTGCAAAAAAAAAGGGCCACAGCAGGGGTAAATGGCGGAAGAAGGCGCAAGAAAAGACCGACCAAAAACTCGCTTATCAAGCCGGCTATTGGTACTCCAACGGCTCCACCCGCAGGTCGCCGGCGTGGTAGCGCGCGATCGTCGTCCACAGCGGGTACCCGTGCAGCACGCCTACAGCCCCGTGGCACCTCCGTGTCATCTCTCGGTGACTGGCCCACGCGGGCGTGGCCGGCGGGCAGCGGCTGTGCGCCCTCCAGCCAGCCCATCTTGTCTTCGACCTCAGCGACCACGTACCGCGAGGCGAGGGCGTTGGCGCAGGATTGCGACCTGCTGTCGCCGTGAATCCGGAAGCGCTCGACCTCGCGAGCCACCGCCGGCAGTCCCGCCCGTTCGTACAACCTCGCCAGCCCCTCGAGGTCGACCTGCTCTAGATCCACGGCTGTGAAGAGAATGGGCCCTCTACGCGGCTCTCACATTTGCAGGAGCGCGCCAGCTCGTGGACGCGCCGCGTCTGCGTCGCGCATATTCCGAGCACACGCGCGCCTAGCGAAAAACCGTGGCTTGTTAGCCCACTGCGGCTTGTCTTCTACTCCCGCTGCTATCCTAGGCGCACCGAGCTCGCGGTCAGTGTACTCGGCGCAGTGCAAGCGCACCTTGGCCTCCGCCCGCAGCAGTGCCTGCTCCTCATCGCTGAAGCGGTCGACGAGCAGTCGTGCGACCTGTCACGGACGAGCGGCGTGAAGACAGCTTTCGGTGATGGCGCGCGTTCCGCGGCTCGCGACCGGCTTGCGCCCATCGGCGACCCGGTCAAAGAGGGCCAACGCGGCCTCGAGTTCGCCGGGCTGCTTGCGCCGCACCTTTCCGGCGGTGGATGAGGCCAGAGGTGAGCCGATGTGAGGGCCGGCAGCAGAGAGCAACTCCGCGCCTTGTGGGGGCTGGGTGGCAGCCCAAGCAGTTTCGGGATGCTCGACGCAATATTGTTGTCGGCGCCGCTCCAAAGAAAGTTAGCGCCGCAACGTCGGCACCAGAGCTTCGACGAGGAGCAGCACCAGCCGCCTATGGGAGGTGGCGATTGAGCAGGTCACTGGCACGGCGTGGGACGCCCGGCAGTGAGAGCTGCGCCACTGCCGAGGTCTGTGCCAGTCTCAGAGTCGAACGCTCTTCGGGTCGCCTGTGATTTTCGTAAAAGAGGTTTGGATGAAGGGCAGACCGGTCTTCTTCCCAGGTGCCAGCGCGAGCGCGATGAGCACATTTTGGGAGGGAGCGCGATCGCTAGACTGGAGGCTGACGCGAGCTCTAATAAGTTGTTGCACCTCTTGGAGGCGGAGGGAGTGGCGGTCGATGAGGACGGCAAGGGTCTGTTCGTCGAGCTCCTCCTCCTGCTCGACCTCGGAGATGGGCAGGTCGCGAAAGCCCATCGCCAAGAGGAAGGGACGCGCGCCCCGCAACGAGACAACTTATCGCAACTTCAGTAGGCAAGGAGAGTTGGAGTATTTTCTTACTTCTACTTCGCGGAGGCTGTCCAGATACTGGGATACTTCGCAGCAGGCCTCGAATACTGGGATACTGTGAAAGATTTCCCTGTGAGATATGGCGCAGTAATAATACTTCAATACTCCGAGTTGGTACCGCAGATACTTCGATACTCGTGTTGATGCACCCGGTGAGTATCACAGTACTCGATCCACGCCGGCGAAGTATCCCAGTATCACAGAGCTAAATGCCAAGTAATAATACTGCAATACTGGGCGCTACTTGGTCCTCCAGCCCCGCCGAGTATCCCAGTATCCGCATCAGAGATGGCCAGTATCCAGCAGTATCCCGCAGTATCCTGCAGTATCCTGCAGTATCCCAGTATCCGGGGTCGGCCCTCGAGCGATGCACTGCGCTGCGGCCGCAGTCGTACGTCCAGCAGCGGGATGCGAGGCAGCAGCTAGGTGGGGAGGGATTGAGCCAATTGAGCAGCGTGGGCAAGCGAAGACTGCCGTAAAGTGTGTGCCCGCGCCCTGCCGGCGCAATGGTGTAAACGCGTGTGCAAGGGCTGGCGGGGTGGGGAAGGCGGCAACGCAACGAGGTGGGCGAAGACGGCTGAGGCGCCAGTGCTGGAACTGAGGGAGAGTGTCGTGGCAGTGCACTGGTGCTGGTGCTGTGTGGAGAGGAAGACCCACATCGGGGAGGCGTCACGGCCAACATTGAGAGCAGCAAGGTGGTCACGTCCTGCGGCGCACGCACAGGAATCATAGTATATCACACAGCAGCTGTGCCGTAAAAGGGTCCCAGAGCTATCTCGGTGGCTAGGGGCGCTGGATTGGCTGGGCGCGTCAGCTCCCACAAGCGCACTGCATGCGATATCAACGTTGTGATGCAGCGTCAGCCTTGGCAATTGAAGCTTGGCGCCGGCACGCAGGAGCACCAGCGTCTGCAGCGCTTGAATGGCGTGTGCAAACTTTTGCATCTCAGGCGGCCGGGCGTCGCGGCGCCCTCTCGCAAGTGCTGTGACCCAGGGAGGGCGCGTGAAAGTGTAGAACGGTCGAAAAGTTCGAGCGTCATTCATGTCGCCGAAGTTCCTTCGATGTCTCCTCCCGCCAACCCCAACCAGCCCCGCACGACCCCAATCGGCCGCACACCGCCACACAGCAGGCTCTGGTGACCGACACAACTCTTTGCTTGGCGCCGGACCGTCTCGAGTGAACCCACCGCTGTGGGCGCCGCCGCTGAGCATCACGGCAAACGGGTGACGGACCTACACATAAACTGAATCACCTCGGCCGACCATGCCGCTGCGGCCGACGATGTCGGATGCTCTCGAGCACTCTCCAGCGCCGGGCGCGGTCCTGACACAGCCGGCCGTGCTTCACCGCCGCTGTTCAGCTCGGCGGCAGAAATGGCAGCGGATACGAGCTCTTTACCGACTACCGAGCGGCAGTCGGAGAACTCGTGAGCTTCCACACATCACAACTCCTGCCGATGCATTCTGGAACAATCACATAACGCCTGCCATCACCACTGCCCACTTGCGACATTTGTAGCCCAAGCCGGTCCGTAGTATCCCAGTCTCCCAGGATCCGGTATCCACATCAGCCAGGGATGCTCTAGGGAGGGGTGCAGCTGCATGGTGACAACTACCAGTGAGAAGGATGGGGATGCAGCTGGCTGCTGGACCATGGCTTACACACGGGCACACTTCCATGAATTGCCAGTATCCAGCAGTATCCAGCAGTATCCCGCAGTATCCTGCAGTATCCCAGTATCCGATGCGCCGGCTCCGAGTATTGCGGTGAAAATACTGCGCGATACTGCCATGGCCACACTACTTCAGTAACACAGTATCTGCATGCCCCAGGCCCAGTATTGCAGTATCACCCTCGCGACAGAGAGGTATTTGCGCCACCGATACTAACTCCGCCGTCACAGGGACACGGATATGAAGATCCCTCACACCAAGATCGTGCAGGGCGGGGACACACGTCCCTAAATCCCATCTCGTCTCAGAGTTTGACCGTTTTCTTTATTTATTTATTACATCGGCTAAGTCGGCCGGACGGCCTGGGCCACAGTCCCAAGCGTGAAGCGAGAGGCTCCCACCGTGATCATAGATCAAAACACGCGTACACACGATATACGGCGCAGCACCCCAAATTTTCTCTCGCCTGCGGCGGGCGATCGATCCTCCTCACTGCGTCTGCAGCAATCGCCGCCTCAGCATCCTCCTCTTCCCACTTCCGATTCTCGTTGCTGCTTCTTGAGCTTCAACCACATGCGCAAAGCAGCGGGGTCGACCACGGGGTCGACCACGATTGCGTGGTTTCAGCACATCGGCCAGGCCAGGAACTTCTACGTCACGGCAATGGAGTTTAGCTTCTTTGCCTCCACGGCATGGCTAACCTGTCACCCCAGCTCATTCGTTGTCGTGCCTCTGCGCGAACCGATATCTCGCCACGTCTCCGAGTACCACCACGCCGGCCCACCGTATCGCTGCCAGACGACTCCGATACGCGACACCGCGTGCTTCGCCGAAGCATGCAGCGACGATATGTGGATGTGATGGTTGGACCACACCGCGACAGACAAACCCACGAGAAATGTTCGCAATTTCTCGTTCCCTCGTGGGAAATACGTTGCAAACACGTACGTCAAACGTCTGGGCGGCAACTGTACGTTGAGCAGCAACTTCAAAGCGCTTCCGCTGTTCCAGAGCAAGTCGCTCAGGCAGAGCGTGACGCTCCAGATGAGTCCCATATACGGCGTGCCCCGAAACGTCACCCAAATGAAATGCCCGATGCGGTGCCCACACGAACAGAAGTTGGAGCCGAGGCTGGCGCTCCAGGCGCTAGGAGCGCACGACTTGGTCCTGATCTCGGAATGGCTCAACGAGCCTGTCTACCTCGCGTGGCTTGACTGGCTGCCTCGCCTCGATGGCGGGGCCTCGCTCCCCCCGCTTCCCCACTGCCTCTGTGATGGCACGCATGCGTGCAGAGAACGAGCTTGACACGATGCTGTACGCGCATGCCAAGTCAATTGCTGCCAATAGGGTGCGCCAGTGGCTACATAGGGAGGGCGCTGCGTGGCTACATAGGGACAGCGCTTTTCTGTCCTCCCGTTTGGAGTCGCCAAAATGAACTCGCCGCGGACGCGCGCGCGGAAAGAGGCACACTGTGAGACGTGCACACTGCAGCACACGCGCGGGGGAAGCCCGGCAGGCCGTGCAGCAAGCGTGGCCACTCCTCCGCCAAGGGCGAGCGCCCCACTGGCCGTCGCCGAGTGCTCCAGGCACGGGTGGACGGTCCTCCCGCACCGGCGCGATCACCGCGGACAAAATAAATCTGATGGGAGGGGACGGCACGCCGCCACACCACACAGGGATTTTAAGGAGAGGAGTGTGGTGCTAGCCGTCGCCCACCCTTGGGCGTCGTGATCACGCTTCACGGCGCGCGCTGCTGGTGAACCTTCTTTTCTAGACGGCTAGGATTGAGAGCAGCCTCGCTCTCAATCCTAGAAGTCGAAGGATTGTGAGCAGCACTCCTCGCAATCGTAGGCTCGTAGCATCTCTGTGCGATTTGTGAGCACCCACGCTCGCAATCCTACATCTTCTAGGACTAAGAGCAGCTCCGCTCACAATGTGACTGGTGACGCCTACGACTACTACCAGCGCTCGCAATCCGAGCAAAGTCTAGCTAGGGTTGCGAGCAGCGCACTGGCCACTGCTCACAATCCTAGCAACATACATTGCCTCCGATTGAGACAGATATTTTTAGCAATACCAAACAACTCTAACACTCACACATCATTTGGGGCCTGGAGCCCTGTTCACGCGCGCGCGAGACGTGCAGACAGGGTTGCCAGGTGAGAGCGAATGGCGCGGTTCCGATTGCGAGCAGTAGCGCTCGCAATCCTACATCTTGTAGGACTATGAGCGGCTGCGCTCACAATCCTACCAAAGATCCAAGGATTGCTAGCAAAAAAAGAAACAAAACGGACAACCCAAGGGAGGGATGGGAGGACGGCACGCCGCCACCACACAGGGATTTTTGCTAGCAGTCGCCCCGGTGTCCTTTTTTTTCGCTCTCTCAAGCTGCTAGGACGCCCCCCAGCTGTTCATCAGGTGTGTGCTTTGGAACGACCATGAAGCTCTGCCTGCCGCTCGCTGCCACCTGCCGCTCCTTAATCTGCGTCCCTCGCGCGCACCCGTTCGCCACCGCCGCCTCGAGCGGCGTGGGGCTCGGCCTGCCACGAGTCGCCGAGCTCATCGGCAGCGCCACGCCCGGTTCGGTCGTCGTCATGGCTGGCGCGGGCGTGTCCGTCTCGTCGGGAATCCCGGACTTCCGGTCGCCCGGCACGGGCCTGTACGACAACCTGCAGGAGTACGGCCTGCCGTACCCTGAGGCGATCTTTGATCTCGACTTTTACCGGCGGAACCCCAAGCCGTTCCAGCGGCTGTGCAAGGAGCTCTGGCCGGGCAACTTCGCGCCCTCGCCCACGCACTACTTCTTCAAGCTGCTGCACGACAAGGGGAAGCTGCGCCGCGTCTTTACGCAAAACATCGACTCGCTCGAGACGGCATCTGGCCTGCCCGCCGACCTCGTCGTGGCGGCGCACGGCAACTTCGACGGAGCGCACCGCGTGACCGACACGGGGCATCCGGGCGCGGCGGTGCCGCTCGAGGAGGTGCGCCAGGCGGCCCTCCATGGCGGCGACGCGGAGTGGGACGCGCTCTTCGAGGCGCACGGCGGCCCAGTCAAGCCGTCGATAGTCTTCTTCGGCGAGCAGCTGCCGCGCCGCTTCTTTGAGCTGGCGAGGGCGGACTTTCCAAAGTGCGAGCTGCTGCTCGTGCTGGGCACGTCGCTCGGCGTGCACCCCTTCGCCGGCCTCGTCGGCGAGACGCGCGTCGGCGTGCCGCGCCTCCTCATCAACCGCGACAGGGTGGGCGAGCACCTCGGGCTCGACTTTGCAAGCGGGACCGACGGCTGGGTGGGGGGCGACTCGGACGCGGCGGTCCGCGAGCTCGCCTCGCTGCTCGGCTGGACGGCGGAGCTCGAGCAGCTCGTGCAGGGCGGCGGCGGCGGCGGCGGCGGCGGCGGAGGAGGAGGAGGAGGAGGGGAGGCGGGCGCGGACGGCGGGCGGGGCGACGGCGCCGCCGCGGTGGGAGGAGGCAGGCCAGCGGCGGGCGCGGCCGAGACCAAGGCGGCGCTGGCGGCCAAGGCGGAGGCGGAGGCTGCGGCGGCCGCTGCCAAGGCGGAGGCGGCGACCGCGGCGGCGGCGGCGCTGGCGGCCAAGGCGAGGGCGGGCGAGCTGGAGGCGAAGGGGAGGGAGCTCGAGGCGACGGTGCTGTCGCTCAAGGCGGAGCTGCGCGCGAGCCAAGCGGCGCTCGCGGAAGAGGAGGCGGCGCGGGAGGCGGCGGAGGCGGGCCGAGTCGAGGCCGTCGCCAAGGCTGACGCGGCGGCGACGGAGACGCGGGCCGCCGAGGCGCAAGGCGCGGCGGCGGGCGGCGCACTGGTGGTGGGTGAGGTGGCGGCGGGAGGAGCGCGCCCCGTGCGGCCCGCGAGCGTGGAGCGCGCCTCGACCTCGGCTACAGAGGAGGGGGTGGTCCACACCAACTCGCGGGGATTCACGTGAAAGAGAAAAGTAAGAGACCGTTGTTCTCACACCCATACAAAAAGAAAACCCTGCAGCTGCACCGCAAAGATTCTTAACATTCTTTCAAAGATCGCACTTTTTCGCACCTGTTCCTTGTTATAAATAAATAAATAGAGCAGTCATCTCCAGGAGAGATGGGCGACGCACGAACACAGAGAGGCACAGTGCGCACCCCGCCCCGCTCACAGGGCGTGCATCACACAGGCGTGGACTGTGTGACTCCTCGGGTTTCTGGGACTCGACAGAGGTGTGCTAGTCGCTACAGTCGGACGGCTCCGGCACGTCTGATAGGCAGTTCGGGCTCGAGTGAGGGCCGCGGTCGCGGTCGCGGCCAGCGCGCGGGGCCTGGCTGGGGCTGCCGGGGTGAATCTCGATCCACGCGCCGGAGCGCGCGTTGGTGCTTGAGCAGCCGGGCGGTCGCCGCAGCACCTCGATCGGCAGCACGTCGAGCCACTCGGCAAAGGTTCCCTCGTCTTGCGCCGCAGCGTTGAACTGTTCGCCTAGGTACGCAGCTTGTGTTCTTCTCCCCTCGGTTTTTTTTTCCAAACTTTACCAACAGCAATGTCCGAGGGTGTACAGGCGGCCGCGGAGTCCTCGCCGGACGACGACGACGACCCGACAAATCACCTGCGTGCGCAGTGCAGCGTCATCGAGTCTGCAGTCTCTCGCCGGCGGCCTCGATCGCGCACGGCCGACGACGACGAGGCCGAGCCGTGCTTCGATCTCTCGATGGTGCAGGCACTCCTCGCCAAGGCACACGCGTCGGTGAGACTGCCTCCGTGCGAGCGGGACCCCGAGGTGTTGACGCTCGTGCTGCGCTGCCTCGCCAACGGCGCGCTACTGCACGACCCGAGCGAGCTCGCGGAGGCCGACGGCCTGCTCGCTCTCGTCGAGGCGGCCGCGGGGTCGGCAGACGTCTTTGCGCCGCCGACGACGCAGCACGTCGCGATGATGCTCCTCCTCAACCTCTCGCGGGCGGCCTCCGCGGCGCCCGCCGTGGCGTGCCTCAAGCCGATGCTCGAGGGGCTCGGCAGGTCGGACGACCCTCGCCTCCGCTCGCTGTCGTCCGCCGTGCTAAAGAACCTCTCCCTCCACGGCGGCGGCCTCATCGCGCGCCTCTCCCTGCCCGACAAGGCGCGGCTGCAGCAGGTGACCCCGGCGACGATGCTCGGCACCATCAGCCGCCTCGAGTCGGGAGTGTCGACCGCATCGCCGCCTCGAACGCCGCAAAACACCCGCATCCCGGGCAGGATTGTCGACGCCACAAAGGCCGAGGCGATCCTGTCGTCGCCTTCGGCGGTCGCGGCCGTCGAGGCGGCGGAGGCGAAGGCGGTCGGCGAGGAGTTCAGCGCTGGCGCGGGGGGGGCGGTCGCCCCGTCGGCCGATCCAGCCGCGGGTGCGCCGCCGCCGTCGCCACCGCCGCCGCCGCCGTCGCCGCCGGAGGGCCGACTCTCGGCCAACGGCGGCGAGGCTGCCGCCGCCGGCGGGGACGCGGCCGCCGCCGCCCGCGGGTCTTCGGCACTCCTCACCGGCGAGGGCGCCGCGGCGCTAGCGGCGCTGCGGATGATGTCTCAGGAGCTCTACCTCTCGCTCGGCCTCGCGCCCATCGCCCGCGCGACCGCCGCCTGGGGCGCGCGCAAGGCGGGCGTGGTGCTCTCTGCCGTCGCCTCCGTCCTGCAGAGGGTGCCTGCCGGGCGCGCGTGGGTCGTGGCGGGGGTGATGCACTCGGGCGGCGCCGCGGCGCGCCTCGCCACCGTGCACGCCGCAGCACGCGCCGACGGCGACTGGAACGCGGCCGAGGCGGCGCTGTGGTGCCTCGCGTCGTACGCGCACGGCTGCGGCGGCCGCTTTCTCGAGCTGGGGGAGGAGCGGATGGCGCGGCTCCTCTTCGGATGCCTCGCCCCTGCCACGCCGCTGTGCGAGCGCCTGTGCGCCCTCTCTGCGCTGCGCTGCGCCGCCGCCGACGTCCGATCGGTGCCCATCGTCGCTCGGCACGTCGCAAAGGTGCACGAGCGGTTCACCTCGCAGTCCGACGAGGAGGCGAACCCGAGACCCGCACGCCCTGCAACCGCCCGCACGCGCCCGCCCTCTCTTCGCCCC